CATGATGTGCCAGGGATGGCAAAGGCAGTGCAAGCAACTTTGTTGCACATGACCTCGACAGATGAAGCCCCGGACCACAGCCACTGTCCCGAGGGGGACAGTTCCTGGTGCTCCTACAACCGGGCACTGGCCAACCACGAGGAGCCACCACCACACAAGAACTTCCTGCCAGGCTTCATTCGCACTGCGCTGGAGCCAGTCTTTGAGAGGCTGGGCAGCCGGGCACTCCTGAAGCGCTGCAGTGGCGGCATGACGCAGAACGTCATAGAGTGCCTACACTCTGTGATTTGGGGCCAGAGCTCTAAGAACACACATGACTCTCTGCTGTCAGTGGAGAGGGCTGTCGCTGAAACCGTGTCACGCTTCAACCAGGGATTGGCAAAGACGAGCAAGGCTGTAGCAGCACAGCTTGGCTACAGCACAGGTGGCTGCCTGATTCACAGGAGTCTTCAGAAGGACAGGCAGAGGCTTCGCAAGGCCAACAAGGCTCACTCTGAGAGTGAAAAGGTCCAGAAGAGGATGGCCTAGAGACACAAGCCTGCCAGGACCCAGGACTACTGCCCAGGACCGCTATGACCTCGTGGCACATCGGAGACTACTGAACTGATTTCGTGGTTTCATGTTTTTTTTGTCAGGTGCCATTTTTCTACGGAGGTTTTGATTATGTTTCCATAAGCCGATTGCAATAAACTTGGTGTTGTTATTTTCAGCAACAACTGAACTGCACCCTAAAGCTTTTCTTTTTTCTCTAGACTTGATATATAAAAGTGCCAACAACGGAGAAACTTCAAGTGCGATTTTCTCAGCTTTGTTTTTTTTTGTCCATAGCCATTGCCTTATGAAAGTTTTCATAATGTTTGCACGAGCGGATTTCAGTAAGCTTGGTATCATTGTTTTCAGTAACAACTGAGGTGTATCCTAAATCTTTTCTTTTTCATCTAGAATTAATAGATAAAAAGTAATTAGCTGAAACGTGTAGTAACAAGTTTTTGCTTTGAAATTCCATGATTTATTTCTGGTGGACAAAATGGCTTTGTAAACATTCAATTAGCTTTAGGATATATGGTGAACCCCTGGAAATCACTGCATATTGTTAAAATATAAATTTTTTTATGTGAAATTACCATAACGACCCGTAAGAAACTACCTTATTGGAATTTTATATTTTGCCATATATTTTGTTCTAAAAGTGATATCTGAAATTGAACTGCAGATTTGAAATCACCATCAAATGATATATATGCATGCCAACTTTCAGCGAGGTATCTTAATAAATAAAAAAACCTATTTAAGTACCCTAGTCCCACCTTAAGACTAAATCGAGACACGTACCATTACGAGAGGTGGGTAGCTTTACGTCGGATAGTACGCACAAATTGAGTTTTACGGCGACGAATCTGTCGTCCCCCACACAACCGCAGAAGACACTGCCGCCCGGCAAGAGCCAAGTGTGCGCCTTTTGCCCGGCGTATGGGGGCGGTGCACGTGGAACTGAACCTTCAGCCCGGCGCAACGCCGGCGTCGCAAATACGACTGGGGAGTCCCCATAAGAGCAATCACTGTAAGATATGTTTACAGTATAGACCACCTACAACGTAACCACCTATAGTGCAGGACTGGATATAACGCGGCTTTTTTAAACCACCGGTTCGCCTCCCATAGAACTCCATGTAATTGCATACCGCTTAAAATGCAGGCGCGCGAAGGGAAATACCGGTTATAGTGCGGTTTCTGGAACAGCCCGCCGACCGTGCCGACCGACCGGCGCAGTGAGCCTAGGTCACCTAGGTGGTGTTGAGCGAGCACGCTTCCCTGTGCGACACTAGATAAAGCCACAAGCGGCACTCGTGAGGCAAGGAGGTTGCTCGAAGAAGTGGGAAGAAGCGAAGAGAGAGGCTTCAGTTGTCATAGCGACGGAGGGATGTACGCACGTGTCGTTCACGTGAGTGCGTCCCTCCGCTGCGTTGGAAACAACTGCAACGACAGACCGATCGCAGGTCGAGGAGAAGTGTTTGCGCGCGTTGCACGCCGATGGCGGGCCGGCTTCTTCTATCCGCAAACATGGCGTCGGTTGTGATCGTCGACGTAGACGGCGTGGTGGAAGCTCATCGTTCCGCGTAAAAGAGCTATCCTTGACTGTGAATTTTCGTTGTGTGTCGCTATGATAACCCAGCACGTACTAGAAGGGAAGATCCACCTACTCGTGCGGCGATGTCGTGGCGGCACTCTCAAGACGGCAGAAACGCCCGTGTCGTCGTGTTTGTTTACTTCGACTACAGTGGTGATTTCTAAGCATTTGTGTTTTCGAACATCGCCCGGATTTCTTATTTGGAGCATTTCATGCCTGTGCTCAAGTTGAAGGTATTACTGGCGTGTACCGTATAAAGGATGCGAATTTTCACGCGTTTTCATCTCCGGAGAAAAGTGATTAGGGTTAGCAATCCTGAACGCTTGCAACGTCCATCCGCAACACGCGACGCCGTTAAAAGACTGCGCCAGGCAAAAGTCGCTCATTTTTTTCGAAATGTGTGACACACTTGAGAGAGAAGTGTACTAGTCTGCTGAAATAAAGACTTTCCTCAAACTAAGCTTTATTTTTCATCTAACATAAAATAAATCCTTTTACAAAAGTAAGTTGTCTCATGGCATGTATTTTGGCCTGAAAAATTGATGTTTTGGTTATAGTGCGGTACCACTCATAGAGCAGATTTTCGCGACTCCCACGACATACGTTATATGCGGTCTACACTGTACTCAGGGGTAGGGACAACAGAAAAAAATGGACGCATCTCCACGTGGTGAATGATGTTGATTGGGGCGAAGCTCTGGTGGTGCTGATGATACTGATTTTATTGTTCATAGGTAGTGCTCATGATGCTGATGTTTTTTTATTGCTCATAGGTAGTGCTGAGTCCCAGGTTGCGTTTCGACTTCATTATTAGTACTGCTTTATGATTGGTGAAATGCAGAGCCAGTGGTTCTTCTAGCAGATCAGCTTGGATCCACTAGAAGCCGTGGGAACATATATCCACCGCTTAAGTCAACGGTCCATTTCAGAAAGAGAATGTGTGGTATGGATCGTGGCTATATACGCAGTTGAGCATTTGACCGCAGCGCCCTCTCGTCTAAAAACGTTGAGCCAATGCATGCAAAGTTTAACGCAATTATATACGCATTTGACCCCAGCACCCTCTCCTGTATAGACGTTGAGCGGCTACATGCAACGTTTTATCCATGACATCCCCAGCTCTTGAGTAACTACCACACCTCAGAGCCCCCTACTCGTCCCGCAGTCGTGGCCAAGTGGTTAAGGCAATGGACAAGAAATCCACTGGGGTCTCCCCGCACAGGTTCGAATCCTGTCAAATGCGCAAACATTTTTTTCTTTTTTTAAGAAGACAGACGGGATGGCAATCGATGTAAGCACGAACGCCGGACGGACAAGGCTAAACCCTAAGGAGCTTCGCCCCTAAAAAAATGGTCACTCGAGGTACCCCGGAGCATACTCTGCGTTTCTAGGAACCCTACATACAATGGCCGGCGGTATGAGCTGGAACGCACAGGCGGTACGGGCCACACAGCCGAGCGAAGCGTCAGACTGGTAATGCGGGTGATTAAATTTGTGGAGGCACCCCCCCCGCGCGCGATACCTCTCCCCATCTTTGCCGAGCGCACGATAGCGTGCTTATCGGATGTTACAGCTCGCACGTTCTAGCTCGAACAGTATAGACCACTTACAACGAAACTGCTTATAGTGCAGGACCGGGTATAACGCAGCTTTTTTAAACCACCAGTTCGCCTTCCATAGAACTCCATGTAATTGCATACCGCTTAAAATGCAGGCGCACGAAGGGAAATACCGGTTATAGTGCGGTTTCTGGAGCAGCCCGCCGACCGCGCCGACTGACCCGGGCAGCGAGCACGCTTCCCTGTGCGACACTAGATAACGGCGCGAGCCGCAAGCGGCACTCGCGGGGCAAGGAGGTTGCTCGAAGAAGCGGGGAGAAGCGAAGGGAGAGGCTTTAGTTGCCATAACGATGGAGGGACGCACGCACGTGTCGCTCATGTGCGTGCTGAGCATCCCTCCGCTCCATTGGAAACAATTGGAAACAACCGCAACGACAGACCAATCGCAGGTCGAGGAAAAGTGTTCGCACGCGTTGCATGCCGGTCGAGGGCCGGCTGCTTCTATCCGCAAACAAGGCGTCGGTTGTGAATCTTGTGATCGTCGACGTAGACGGCGTGGTGGACGCTCATCGTTCCCCGTAAAAGCGCTATCCTTGACTGTGAATTTTCGTTGTGTGTCGCTATGATAACCCAGCACGTACTAGAAGGAAAGATCCACCTATTCGTGCGGCGATGTCGGCGGCACTCTCAAGACGGCAGAAACGCCCGTGTCGTCGTGTTTGTTTACTTCGACTACAGTGGTGCTTTCTAAGCATTTGTGTTTTCGAACATCGCTCGGATTTCTTATTTGGAGCATTTCATGCCTGTGCTCAAGTTGAAGGTCTTACTGGCGTGTACCGTAGAAAGGATGTGAATTTGCACGCGTTTTCATCGCCGGAGAAAAGTGATTAGGGTTAGCAATCCTGAACGCTTGTAACGTTCGTCCGCAACCCGCGACGCCGTTAAAAGGCTGCGCCAGGCAAAAGTCGCTCACTTCTTTCAAAATGTGTGACACACTTGAGAGAGAAGTGTACTGGTCTGGTGAAGTAAAGACTTTCCTCAAACTAAGCTTTATTTTTCCTCTAACAAAATAAATTCTTTTACAAAGGTAAGTTGTCTGATGGCATGTATTTTGGCCTGAAAAATTGATGTTTTGGTTATAGCGCGGTACTGCTTATAGTGCGGATGTTCGCGACTCCCGCGACATACGTTATATGCGGTCTACACTGTATTGCCGAACGCTGTATTCTGGGTTCGCAAGTTCCCGGTCACTCAGTCCGAGATCACATCCTGGCACGAAGTTAGAAATGCGTGGGAGGGAGGGGATGGGGCACCTTGGTGTGGCTCCGCAGGTGTCCCCAGTAACCGCTGAAGGTCTTCAGCCGGCGGTCGCACACGTGGCACACGTAGCTGCCGTCACCGGCGTGCTCCACCTGCAGCAGTTGGTGCTTCAGGCTCAGGTGCTCGGACAGCTCCTCCTCCTTCAGGAAGGCCTGCTCACACTTGCTGCACCTGCACGTGGACGGCAAGCTCACTCATGCGTGTGGGGAGACCGACGAGTCTCGTTGAGAGGATTTGAGAACTCGTTATGTGCCCGAGTCCCCCGGAGTTCTCGATATGCGCTCGAGGCCCCAAAAGTTCTCATTATAACTAACCGAGAGGTAATTCGCTCCAAGTAACCAAGAACTCCTGTTACAAGTAACCAAAAAGTGACTCAATACGACGGAAGAACGACTGCTACGAGTAACTAACTCTTAATTGTTACGAAAAACCGAGAACTGGCATTATAAGTATCGAAGAAGTAACTCGTCACCAGCAACCAAAAAATCTCTTTATGTGCCCAGAGCCCTAAGAACTCTCCTTACGAGTAACCTGAAAGTAACTCATTACGAGTAGCCAAGAAAGCTCACTATAAATAATCAAGGAGTAATCTGTTAAGAGTAACCAAGAACTCTCGTTACAAGTTACACACAAGCAAACTTGTATGTACCTAACTTAAATACTCTATTCAAGTTACTCTATCTTAAATACTTTTGGGAGAAACTTGGTATGTTGCAAATACTTTCAAAAGTCAGTACTCAGTACTCTAACTTAGTACTTTTTGCAAATAACTTGTACTTAGTTCTTAAGTTGCTTGTAAGTTACATCCGCCTTTTTTCAGAAGGTCGGCAGTGGCCTAGATTCATCTCTGGAGACATCGCTTTTGTGTCCATGGCAGATTAGATTTTGCCCCCAAGTTAGCACAAAAAAGCTTGTTCCCTCTCCTTCCTACTGGCGTTTTTTCATTCTACCTGTTCGTATTCTGCGAGTCGCAGAATAAAGGCCCCATGACCGGCGAATGGGCTATAGAAAGTAGAACATTTATACCATCGAAAGAACACCATCCTATTTACAGATCGAACATCGAGCAGCCAGCCGAGCTAGCGGAGCATCCACCTTGTGAGCCCCGCGTCGCAGCAGCCGACGCCCTCTCTAGGTCTCCAGTCCGACAGTCCGAAACAACAGAGCTCGCCGAGGAGATACAGGGCTTCGTAGAGCATGTGACGTCCTCTCTACCGGTGACTCATCCGAGCCTGAAGCAAATCGCCACTGAGCAAAAGCTAGACCTCGTATGTAAATGAATCATGGAGTTATGCACGAGAGGATGGCCATCTCGCCGCGATGTAGGAGCAGACCTCAAGGCATATTGGCCATTCAAAGACGACATTGCCGTGGGGGAAGACATCCTGATGTGTGGTCCCAGGATCGTTATTCCTCGAGCCTTCCGAGAGTCAATCCTCAATCAGCTTCATGAAGTACATTTTGGCATAAAAAAATGCCGAGCACGAGCAAGAAATTCCGTGTGGTGGCCCCATATTGACATAGACATTGAAAACCTGGTAAAGAAGTGTCACGTCTGTCTGAAGCACAGTCGAAACAGGAAACTGCCGATGAAACCAACGGAGTTCCCACAAAGGCCCTGGCAACGAGTTGGGATGGACCTGTTCTTCTTAAATGGTCAGTGGTGGTTGATAGTCACTGACTATTATTCACGGTATCCCGAATTAGTCAGCCTTAACAGCCTTATCGGAGCAGCAGTTGTCAACCACTGCAAGTCTCTTTTCGCGAGACATGGGATTCCAGAAGTGGTAGTCTCAGATAACGGGCCCCAGTTTCTCAAGACGTGCCATTCTGAGTTTGCAAAGTTTGCGCAGCAGTACAGCTTCTGCCACATAATCTCGAGTCCCCATTATCTTCAAAGTAACGGGCTTGCCGAAGCAGTGGTAAAAATAATTAAAGGATCTCTAGATAAATCAAAGGATCCCTACGAGACGTTCCTTGCATACCGGACCAGCCCTCTCGAGAATGGCTACAGCCCTTCTGAGCTGCTGATGGGAAGAAGGCTTCGAACGACACTCCCAGTGGCCGCAGAGAGTCTTCGTCCCTATACGCTTGACGGCAAGCTGCTAAGATCGTTTGAGGTTGAGCATCGCCGTAAGCAGAAGCAAGACTATGACAGACGTCACGGCGTCCGGGATCTGCCCTTATTGGAGGACGATATGGACGTCTGGCTGATTGATCTACAACACCAAGGTGTCGTCAGCGGCCCAGCAGAGGAGCCTAAGTCCTACTGGGTGGAAACTGATGGAAAGTCTGTTCGGCAAAACCGCACAGACCTAGTCCCGCTTCAAAAGCAGACTTCCCGTAGTGTCGACATTACCGATGACTCGGACGCAAGTACAGAAGTGAGCACATTGTGCCAAGACCCAACTCATACACACACAAGGAGTGGAAGATGCGTTGCACCTCCTGAACGCTTTCGGACATCGTAGGCAAAGCGCAGGAGAGAACTTTTGGTCTGTACCTTGGTGCTGGCTGACAAGAACAAACGTTTGCAGGACTGTAGAACTATGTACAGTCTAGCATTATTTCATTTCTCTTTTTTGAAAAAAAAAAAAAAAGGAAGGAGATGTGTGACATAGCACGGCTGCGTTCGCGCGTGTCACATCGATGGTCACGAGCAGTGACGCGGGGCTCACGAGGTGGATGCCCCGCTGGCCTGGCTGGCTGCTCGCTGTTTGACCTGTAAATAGGATGGTGTTCTTTTGATGGTATAAATGTTCTACTTTCTATTGCCCATTTGCCGGTCATGAGGTCCTTACTCTGCGACTCGCAGAACAGAGCACTACCCAAGATAATCCCCAGACATGGGGCAGCCCTAGGCGAAGGGTTGGGGCGAAAGGACATATTGTTTTAGGGCACAGCTCTTAGGTGCCCGTTTCCGACTTAAGCGGCGTCGCCGTCGCCGTCAGCGTAACCGCGCGGTGCATTATAGGTAAATTTCCCCGCTAAATCTAGCAGAAAAATTTCCCCGCTATATCTAGCGGAAAAATTTCCCCGCTAAATTTAGCGGAAAAATTTCCCCACTAAATTTAGTGGGAAGGTTTCCTCGCTAAATCTAGCAGAAAAATTTTCCTGCTAAATCTAGCGGCAAAATTTCCCCGTTAAATCTAGCGGAAAAATTTCTCTGGGGGGGGTCACGTGACCCCCCCCCCCCCCCCCCCCCCGAGAATAGGTGACCCTCAGTACCCTTTCCTCCTCCTCCTCAAGAGCTGCGCTCTAATTCGGCTTTACAGGGAGTTGTAAACAGCTTTCACTTTTTCTCACACTCATTGGAAAGAAAGAGAAACTTAATATATAAAACTTTGTTTTTTTTTGCTTCTTTTTATTTTTGCTTTTTAACAATTTGTAACTTGAGAGTATCTTGTAAGTAACCAGTCACTTTTATGAGTAAATTTAGTACTCTACTCAGATACTTTTCGAATTTGGGTATTTACTTGTCTACTCAGTTACTTTTGAGTCTGGTATTCAGTATCTTAACTTACTTTTTTGAGGATCTTGTTCAAGTCTGCCAACAAGTAACAGTAATGAAAAAATAATCTGTTATGTGCAACCTAGGACTCCTGTTACAAGTAGCCAAAAGCTTTCGTTATGAGCATTGAAGAAGTAACTCGAGCAACCAGAAGCCTCATTATACGCATCCCAGGGTCCCAAAAGCCTTTATTACAAACCATGGAGTAACTTGGTAGGAGTAACCAAGAACTGTCAGTACGCACCCTGGGCCTCACGAGCTCTTAAACTGACCATTAACAAGCCCAGGTTACGAAACTGCATTGTGCAAACTGACCCCGAAAGCACCCTTTGTGATAAGTTTGTCGCTGCGCTTCTGTTTCTCTTGCACTTGTTTGTGTGAGTTATTGACAGCACGTAAAGACGTTAGTGTGTGACATGCAATGTCGTGGTGCACCTGGACCACCAATGCTGGTTGGCCATGTCTCATTGCAGAAGTATTTGTGGGAGGGAAAAAAAGTAAAAGAGAAAAGAACCAGATCAAGGGGGAAAGTGCAAATCATATGCCAGCCTTCAGACGGGAACAGAGACTGCACAGAAGGGCCTCCTGGGACACAAAAGGCTGTTCTGCAACACAGAGGCTGTCCTAGAACAAAAAGGCTGCCACACAGAGGCTGTCCTGGGACAGAGAGGGTATTCTGGGATACAGAAACTGCCTAGGGACATAAGGGCTGTCCTGGGCCACAAAGGCTGTGCTAGGACATAGAAGCTGTCCTGTACAGAAAGGGTGCCGTGCGACAGTGGCTGTCCTGGGACAGAAAGAGTGTTCTGGGACACAGAAGCTGTCCTGGTAGACAAAGGGCGTTCTGGGATAGAGAAGCTGTCCTGGTACACAAAGGACGCATCCCAGGACACGGAGGCTGCCCTGGGACACAGAGGATAACCTAGGACATACAAGCTGTCCTGTACACAAAGGGTGCCGTGCGACAGAGGCTGTCCTGGGACAGAAAGAGTGTTCTGGGACACAGAAGCTGTCCTGGTAGACGAAGGGCGTTCTGGGATAGAGAAGCTGTCCTGGTATACAAAGGACGGATCCCAGGACACAGAGGCTGTCCTGGGACACAGAGGGTAACCTAGGACACAGAAGCTGTCCTGTAACAAAGGGTGCCGTGCGACGGAGGCTGTCCTGGGACAGAAAGAGTGTTCTGAGACAAAGAAGCTGTCCTGGTAGACGAAGGGCGTTCCGGGATAGAGAAGCTGTCCTGGTATACAAAGGACGCATCCCAGGACACAGAGGCTGTCCTGGGACACAGAGGGTAACCTAGGACATAGAAGCTGTCCTGTGACAAAGAAGCTACCCTGGGACACAGAATCTATCCTGGGACACAAAGCCTGTCCTGGAACAAAAAGACTCTCCTGGGACACAAAAGCTGTCCCAAAGAGGAGAGAAGGGACCCAGCTCACCGCACTGTGGGCACCTCCGGGTGGCTGGAGGCCGTGTGTTGGGCCAGTTGCTGGGACTCCGTGCACCCGAATGTGCACAGCGGACAGTGCAGCTCCACGGGCTGCGAGTCCAGGCAGGCGGCCACCTCGGCCACACTTTCCGGGTCTCCTTCCTCGACCAGAGAACCGTGGTACCTGCGTTGCACGGACAATCTTAGTTCAGTCGCAACTCATCAATATGAATACCCCACCAAAGGGGTTCTAAACCTTTTACAGCTGTCTGTGGATTTTTTGTGTGCTTGACCAAAAACTCTACGCTCACGCCGCCGCACGTGCACGCCTTCCCCGTATAAAAGATTTAAAGTAAATAACCAAATAAAGCATTGACAAACGCGCGTGCAAGATGCCATTTGTTTTAGGTTTTTTGCTTTAGAACAGTTACTGCTGCAGACGCCGGCAAGTGCGGCACGTGGAACACCATTCCCTGCATTCCCCTTGATGCTTGGGTAATTTAGCAATAGGCCTATTTCACTTCTCTCTCGTCGTAATGGGGAGGCCGCATATAGTCCGAACTCCCGAAGAGCCAAGGCGGCAGCGAGCAGAAACATCACCGATGAAGACTGTTGTGCACAGAAAGCCAAGTGCATGCGGCAAACCAGGCAAGACGACAAACGTCGCGAGGCGGAGAACACAACAAAAAGACACGGGTACCATGCTGCTAAATTGGACAACATTAATGTAGCATTTGTTAAATTCTGTGTCACGTCTGTGACAGTGTGCTAAACAGCCTCACTGGTCATCCACCTTTACAGAGTGGAACGGCTCATGATTTTTTGTTCCAGGGAACCCCAGCAAGCCTCAAAAAGTACCATGGAACTTCCCCTTGTTGCCAATTGATAATACTAGGCAATAAAGGCATTTAGATATTGAACGAGAGTCTATTGCACTGACAAAATAAGACAAAATGGAGGACTAAAGACTGAATAAGAGGGCAGAGGGGTTAGCCTGGGACACAATGTAAAATATACACACATATAATAGCGCGAAGGGTGAGGTTGCCGCTCTACGTGCTAAACCAACTAAGGGCATCTGGCACACATCAGTGGAGGACTGAGTATATTAACTTCGACTACCCAGGGACCTCTGGATGTGCAACCGAAATCTCCAGAACAAGCATCCGTCGGGTTCCAGTCACCTCCGCCAGAATTCGTTCCCACTGCCTGGGGGATCCGCAGCCAAGCACTGTGCCTCTGAGGAGTGCACTTGCAGAGTGAGGCCATAGTGCTGAATTCTCTACATCCCCTACTAGAGGCCAGCGCAGGGCAGACCGGACATGAGTGTTGGGCAAACTTTTGAGTCCTATCTCAAAGCACAGAGCACGAGCAATGCCGCAGATATCGTTCGAGTTCGGCAACCTATATCATTGCCGTAATCGGTCAAAAATGCAGACTCATACTTTTGCCGACGGATCGATTGTTACTGAAGAGAAGCTGGCAGCGACAAACTCGGCACCGTTTGGAATCGGTCGCATCAGAATGAAGTCTATGCCTTCTGACGAAAAGAAAAACATAAAGTAATCCCTCATTATAATGAAATCACTTTTTTCGAATTATCGCTTTTATTGAAGTTCAATGTGGTCCCGACTGAAATGCATACATTTCTAACTGGATTATATTCTAACTGCATCGGCGGCCGACCATGCTTATTACGAAGGCCGAGGTCACAAAAGCATGCAAGCCTATATGGAGGCACATGGAGACCCTTGCGTTCCCTCCCCCTTCTCCATTGAGGCAAACGGCAAACTGAGAAAATGGAGTAGACGTTTGATGGAGGCACAGCGTGCGGAGCTGGCAGAATGCCGCTTCCGATGCCAACGTGGGGACGCGGGCAACGAGCAGCGTTAACGTTCCGACGCTACTCACTGCACCGACGGCCGATGCTGCCAGACTCTTGCCGGAATCTGGTCAAGGGAGTGATGGAGTCCAGAGGAGATCATCCGTTAGAGAGTCTCCGATGCACGCACCTGCGGCGTACTGCACGCACACGTGTGTCTTACGGAAGATTGAGAGTGTTTACCGAAAGTCACTTAGATCTGAGAGGTCGAGAAGAGTGGCCGGCCCAACTCAGAAATCATTAAAGAATTCGACACTGTGGCATCCGCTGTTCGACACTGTCTACCATTTTGCAGAACAAGCAAGGCATATTAAACGGGTTCGAGAAGTTTCTCATGCAAGCGAAAGCGTGCCCGCAACCCAAATATCAGGGTGTCTATACTTCGCGACAACTTTTCTTGGCAATGCAGAGGAAGTTGAGGAGACCCCGCGCACAGCCTTATCCAGCCCTCAAAATGGGATAGGAAATGCGTGTTTGTACCCTACACTGCGCTGCCAAGAAAAGTTGTCACCAACTATACTGACCGGGAAAACCTGGAATTGTCAGGAAAATTGTCAAAAAGCGAGCCTGGTCAGGGAAAATGAGCCGGAAACGCCATTGAGTGCCCTGAGCAAAGGCTTGAGGACTTGGGGGCAGAAAAATAGGCAATAAACTCTGCTTAGAGCGGAGCGCGGGCTCTGCTCACTCGATGTAGAGTGTGCTACCCGATGGAAAGGGAACAGCCGAGAAATCCAGTCCAAGCCTTGGATTCAATTGAGGGCACGACACTAGGCTAGAACCAGTTAGAGCAACCAGATTTAGTAACAAATGGGGAAAGCTGCAGACCCCAATGCAATTCAAGCCTTAAGCCGAAAGTATACAAAAGTGTGCATCTGGCGGCCATGCTGCCATTGGGTAATTGACGTGTGTGGTTGAGTGTCGTGTTTTCATCGTGTTTCAGAAGTGCTGCATCAGTGTTTGGCCGAGACTCGTGTTCACGCAGCGAGGATGCGAGTCCCAGCCAAACACTCGTTTAACACTCGTCTGGCAGCCTTCCATTACAAGGCTGCTATATATGAGAGGTGGCTATGAGCCAACTATATAGTAGAATACACAATGAGTTTTTATAGGGTTGGCCTTAGTAATTTTGCGTCCACCGTTGTAGCTTCTATGAACGTGCAGTGTGGAGCGTGCAGTATGGAGCATGCGGTATGGAGCATGCAGTTGCCGACTGCATGCTCCGCTTGTGCACTAGGCAACTATACTCTTGGTGCGGAGACTGTGGCAGGTAATCAAACTAAACGCTCTACAAAGGCTTTTGCTAGTACCGTATTTACCCGAAAATAGGTCGACCACGAAAATAGGTCAACCCCTATTTATTGAGCCCACCGAGAATAAAAAAAAAATAATTCAAATATAGGTCGACCTTTCTTTTTTTTTAAGGAACAGGGGAAAGTTAGGGCAAAAGAAACAAACCTTTATTTACAGCACTCTCAGCTAAATCACAGGGCGATGTCAAAAACTTATTCATCGTCAGAACGTCCGAAGCTTCGTCAGCTTGGTAGACATCCTCGCAAATTGGCAACAATACCTCACTGACACCGTTGTAAAATGACGACAAGAAACGAAAGAAGGTGGAGACGGGCGAGCGACGAAAGAAAAAATACAAAGACATGAGCAACGCTGCGAGCCCCGTGAGCAACACGCAACCCGCCGAAGAAAAACAAACTAAAGTACCTCCGAATTTTTTTTTTTTTTTTTTTTTTTGCGCGTTTGCGAGGGAGAGGGGAATGGAGCGCATAGGAGGGCAAAGTGCATGGCGCATCGCGTTCCTCTCCCTCCCCTTCCCCCTTGCCCAGCGAGGGGAACGCTACAGGCGTGATGGCGCAACCCGACGCCCGAGGAATCCGCGCGAGAGCCGTAGCCGGCGGCCACGGGCTGTCGGCTGCTGCTGTTCGGTTGTTTTTGTGCATCAAAAGCTTTTTGAAAGAAGAAGCCGCGCGGCTCTACCGCGACGCCGGCTAGGTGATTGATAGCTCCATACCCTCGGTAGGGTTTCAAAATTTGGTCGCGAATTAGGTCGAAATTCTTTGGTCACGATTATAGGTCGACCCTTAATTTTTGAGTACATTTCCGAGAAAAAAAGGTCGACCTATATTCGAATAAATACGGTAGGCTAAACGTAGCCCCAAAGTGGCACCGAATCGCCAACAGCGAGCGCAGTGGGGCAAAGAGGGATGAGCAAGGGATGTGGCTGCAAAACGAAAGCGCCGGGCCTGGCCGCAGCAGGAAGCTGGTTGATGTCATGCAGTGGCCGACTAGAAGTTCAAGCGCCAGTTCACGAACAATCCGTTCGGCGCGGCGCGTCATGTGCGCGACAGATTGCGGTTTCAGGCGGACAGGAGCGGAGGCATTCTTTGTGCTAAGCACCTTTGGGAAATGTCAAAAAGGGAGCCAATGTTTTTTGTGATGAAAGTGCAGCGTCCCTTTATCGAGCGATTCCACTCCCGGGTTTGGATCGAGCTTACCTGGCAATGTGACGCTGCAGGCCTGCCTTGCTGAGAAACAGCTGCTCGCAGTGCACGCACAAGAAGGTCTCTCGCCCATGCTGGTGACTCTGCGTAGCCACACCCATTGCTCAAATTAATACACAAAGGTACAGCATTTCCCAGGCCGTGACCCGCGAAGTAGGCGGGTAGAGACTGACGTAAAGGCGGAGATGAGAGCGTGCGGGGACGTCAAAACACCGAGCTCTGTCTCGAATGATTACTGGGTGACGCAAAGCTAGCTGCCTTCATCTCCACTGCACTCGCCGATCGAGTTTGAACACAAATGCCAAATGCCAGGTTTTAACGCGTTAGGTGAGTGGAGCAGTGACAAACACAGCTAGCTTTGCGTCACCCAATAATCATTCCAGCCAGAGCTCGTTGTTCTGACGTCCCCCAGCACACTCTCGTCTCCTCGCCCCCTCAGTTTCCGCTTGCATAGGGATGTTTCACGTGATATACTTCGGGCTTAAAATCTCGCCAGACACCATGTTTATGAACTTATACAGGATTTCTTTCTATGTGCAGAAGCAACGTTTTTCAGCTCGCTAGAGTTATTTACTCCCGTTATCAACTGCGCCAGCAAGATTAGTTGAGAACATAAAAGATCACCGGCTGATACTTGATTTTTATGAATACTGGTCTTTATTCAAACTTAAGACGGGCCAGTGACTGAGAATTCAACCCGTCGGCGTCCAAAATGGTTGCGGTAGAGGCCGTCTTGGCATCTGCCTTGGTTAGGGATAAACTGTGAAGGAAGATCAAAATTCCCACCATCTCCTAAGTGGAATCCAACAAATGACCCCAGATATGCGAGCTCGACAATCATCCACGGCAGCAAAGGAAAGGCTAATTTTTTTCTTTATTAACAAATGGGAGACTTGTAAAGCGGTGGTTACTGAACGCAATAACATTTCTTTCCACATCCAACACCACGAAATGTGCAAGCAGCATGAGCTGGTAGTTTCACCTTTTACGTTTATGTACATACAGTAGTCATGTGTGAATAGTAAAGTTTGAAGCAAATTTAAGGGAATAGTGGTTTTGGTAAAATATTTTCTGATAAAATATTAAATAGTTTCTTAAAATCTCTTACTACCGTTCACCATGCCTAAACAAAAATTCATCTGAACTTGTGGAGGTTGTTCGCAACCTTCCACTTGTCTGCTTCTAAGCTCAGTTATATTAATATACAGTTACTATTTGAACTGTGGCATACAAATGAGAGATTTGTCGCAGTTATGCTAATCGAGGGGATTTATAAACCTGCTTGCTATATGCAAATATTCTTTCTTCTATTTTAAATTTGACAAAATAAAAACAAAACAAGCATGAATGATGAACGCGGGCTGTCAAGTCATCGCTGCCTAACATTAACTCAAGGTGGGTTTGCCTCGTTGAGAGCGCTTCTCGCGCAGCAGCTGGGCACTTTCGGGGAAGCAATACCCATGGGTCCCGCAACTCCGTGGGTATTGCTTCCCCGCAGTGCACAGGTGCTCAGTGAGAAGCACACTCAACAGGGTTAACCTGATACGATCAACACATCGACAAATATGAATACGTATCGCAGTTCACATTGAAGCGAATACTGAATAGCATGTTATTCGAAACTATTCAAAAATTCGCACATTACTAACATCCACTAAAAGAAACATTTGAATTGCAGTAATGCTGCAACAATAGTCATTGGTTGGTTGCAGGAGGCTCGTCCAAAGGAAAGTGGCAGTTAGATGAGAAAATTAGGTGAACTGGTTTTAAATGTGACAAAAGACTTGAGGAACGTTGGCCAAAAATATTCCTAGAATTTCCACGGCAGTTCCCACGCAGTTTAGTAGAGGAACATTCACGCAGTACAAGATGGTGCAAAATGCCATCGGAGTTCAACAACAATCTGCACAGTGATTTCAGTAACAACTGTTTCTAAACTGTTTGGTGCGATAAAAACTCGGATACCACTGCCAAGTCGTTACGGCCACAAAAACCAGCTGTCAAAGATCACTCACAAAAGGAAAAGAAAGGGGGCACCGACCACGTTGTGCTTGTGCAGCTCGTCGTGGTCCCCGAAGGTGAGGTTGCACTCCCGGCACTGGGGAGCGTGGCTCTGCTGGTGGCGCACAAAGGCCGCCTGGCGCAGGAAGCCCCGCTGGCACGACTTGCACTGGAAGGGCCACTCGGACTCCGGCCTGCACCACCGAGCCGTGGGTCGCGCTAAAACCCTTCGTCCGTCGTCTCCCTTCCTCCCCCCTCCCCCCTCCCCCTGCCCCCGCCCCGCCCCCGTCTAGAAAAGACTGGACCTTCGCAACGTACAAGGCGATTTCACGAAGCGCCTTCTCATTTCCGGCAAGCCGAGTTCCACCACTTCGACCATAGCGTCCGCAACTTTCTCCGTTAGCTTGAATCACGGTGTGTGGGCTGGTGCGTTTATTGCTTCCTAGTGGTCCCTCGATTTCCACCCGACAAAGTCGTACAAGTGTCACACCGTCGCCGGCAAGATCCTGGCGATGTCGCAGCAGCGGCGGTCGCAGCAGACGCCCGCTCTACAGCAGGTCGCTCTCTATGGCTCGACAATCCACAAAAGCTTCAGCAGCAAAGAGTCGGGACGCCGCGACGACGGCGATGCTCGCATTCTCTCGTCCGTTTTCCCGGAGCTTCTACGCACAACTGCCAGGATTGCGACATCCGACGGCGTGACACTCCACCCTTTGTGACGTCAATCGTCACCACTTCGGGACCACTTTCGACGAACTATAAGGATGGGATGTTAAACACGCGCGTCAAAAACGCGTTCTAGCACCGCAGTTGGCGCGCGAACGATTAGTTCTCGACTCCTCAACTCGGCGGCCGCCGCGCCCCCGCGCCCGTCGTGGGCGACGCGCCCAAGTTCCCCCACCTGTGCTTCCACTTGTGGAGCAGGCAGTCGGCACTGCTGGGAAACGTCTTGCGGCACACCTTGCAGCCGTAGACCGTCTTCACCGGCTTGGCGGTTGCGTTGCTCCGCGCGTGCGTCAGGGCCCGGTGGATCTGGAGCACCTCGACACTGCAGAACCAGCCGTTGCACGACGTGCACAGGGTGCCGCACTGAACTCCATCTCCGTCCCCGGTGGAAGGGGCCTTGGCATTGCCTGCGCCCAGCCCTGCTTAGTCGCCATCCTCCGAAAGACCATCCAAATGAAACACAACAAATGCCGTGCACAGCAAAAAAAAAAAGACGTGTACGTTTTTTAGAAAGCATGAGAGTTCATGCACGTGCATCCGCTTTCAGTGAGGATATCAACCACACAAGCAGCACGGCTTTCCCCATTGCTTCCTAGGCTGTTGTCTCTTCCCCTTGTTTTCCAGAGATTAGAAACCAACGACGGCGGCGCAGACCTCCACGAAGGCCAGCAGAGTGAGTAAGTGCCTGTCCGGACCAACGTGATGAGCACGCTCCAAGCCTCTGTCCAAGGACACAAGCGGAGGATACTTTCCCCAGAAATAACTTTACACAACACTCCCAAAGTATACAAGAATGTGGTCTATTTGACTTACATTTGAGGCCTTTTTACCCATTTTCTGCGCAACGAATCGGACTTTAAAATCTGAAGCGACGACGGACTTGCGGCAGTCATTTGCCTGTAACGCTAGGTAGCTTTACTTTCCTGTCACAACGAAGTCGGCCACGCGACCTTAAAATCTTTCGTGCGTCTAAGTTAACCGCCAAGATCGGCAAACCAGCCCGGGACTGTGGCAAAGTGCAGCATCACATGTCGGCTCCTGTGACATACTTTATTTCCACTGAGGAAAGTAGCACCCTTGCCTTCCCTGCCTGCAAGCAGGAGACGAAAAGATACTCATATATAAAGAATCAGAAGCTCGCAAAGCTGAACGGCAACTGTTGCCACGGCAATCTCCATTTTGTTTCTTTTGTACCCTCGAAGCTTTGAAAGGGTCGTCCCGAACCAGCCACGCCGAAATTGCAACGAAGCGTCGTCATGCCGACGGCGTTTTTCGCCAATATAAACGTCTATGGCACTGTTTATGCAATGAACTTATCAATATGGCTTATCTTCACAGACCTCTTTCAATAACATTGTTCTTCATGCATATTTAATAACGAGGAATTTTACTTTTAATGCCATCGAGCACCGACGCAGCATGCGGCAGCAGTGCAAAGATGTGCGCTTGCTTCGCCAGCGTGTGGGTAACAAAATCTCGCTACAGCTGAAGCGTCTTTATAAAGCAACCCTGTCGCCACGGATTTAAAACAGCTCACCGTGACTGCAGAGGTAAAAAAAAAAAACTGCTCAATTCATGGACCAAACTGGCGACCATCAGGGGTCCTTGGCACTACTTTCCGGGAATCCAGTGACTTTAGTTGCCATAACGGGAACACCCCGACGCATGGGCGGCACAGAGCGCCGAACACATCGATTGGAAGAAGCATTCCAGGCACCACGGTTCTTGTACGGTGCCAAGAATGCGTCTTCGACCGGTGTGTTTTGCATCCTGTGCTGCCCATACATCAAAAACGGTCCCGAAGTGGCAGCAAATTATGTCACAGAAGCCGGAGTGTAACGCTGTCGGATGTCGCAATCCTGGCGGTCGGTGGCAGAAGTTCCAACAAAAAGTATGAGCAAACGCGAGCATCACCGTCGCCACTGCATCCCAACTGCTGACTGCCGAAACTGCCGTGAAATGCCAAGCCGGAGAGCGACCTGCGGCAGAACAGGTGTCTGCCGTTCAACCACCGCTGCCGCGACACTACCAGGACCATGGCCGGAGACACCACGATCATGTCACCAAACAGAAATCAAGGGACCGCTTTTTGGGAGGCAGTAGACACACCGGTGGGAGACGCGTTTGGGGCCCATTGGTTCTAGGGGCCCTCCGAGAGATGGGCACTCACTGGGGGCCAGGATGACATCGTCCACCGCCTCATCGTCCTCGTCTGGGTCCGGAATGTCCTGGAGGTCGTCCGGCAGTGGGGCTTCCCGCAGAGTGCACAGCGGTTGGCGCTCCCCGTACGGTACGCTGATGAACACCTTCTGCCCCACCGGCCCTCCTGTGGAGGCCATGCCACACGGATCTAGAGCCACTGCATGGCCGCCTTGTGGTAGCCTTCGACCGCGCGGGTTACCAGACTGGCGGCATCGGTCTGGTGGCCTATGTGGCAGACTTCAGCCATACAGGTTACCAGTCTGCTAGCCTGTATTATGGCAGCCTCCCAGGAGAAAATCAGCCCACTTCCAGATGGATTATGGAACTGGAAATGAGGCAATCCAGCTAGATTCCAGCTGGGTCCAGCTGGAATTTAGCTGGATTGCTTCCTTTCCAGTTCCATAATCCAGCTGGAAGTCAGCTGATTTTCGCCTGGGCTGTATATCATCCTTCCATACATAGGATATCAGTCAGGTAGCCTTATAGCGGCTCCACGGCGACAACAATAATGATGTGTCTCATTAAACGAGCAATGTTATTAGCATGCTCCACGTGAACACTCGCTCCTCGAGAGGTGGTAGCTCGAGACGGAACGCCGGCAGCACCCAGCTCCTCCAACGGCTCAGCTTCAGGTCTGGCAACTACTCCTTTCTTTCCATGTTTTTCTTTGTTAGTAAATGAAGGGCCTTTTCAGCCTGTATGGCAGCCTTCAATGACACAGGCTACCGGACTAACAGCACCAGTGTGGTAGCCTGTACAGATACCTTCAATCATGTAGGCCAGGGGTAACTTTTTGATCTTGAGGAACCCGTACCCGCTCCGACAAATAGCCGAGGAACACTCCCCTGTCTTGGCATTGATGCAATAAAGCAGTTCAGGAGCCCCACACAGCTTGCAAACGATGATGAACAGTACTAGGAAGGGCTGGGCTCCTAGTTGTGCATTGACAGGTGGCTTAGATCTGCTAAAGTAGTGCTTCAACGACGAAAGCACTACGGTATACTTAAAGGAGCTGTGCAACGATTTTAACGTTGAAAGAATTGGCATTTTCTGCTTTTGATATTGTTCACTGTGTCACAAATGGCAGAAAACACACCTCCTTTCATCGCAATGTTGCGATTCCGCCGCGTAATAGCGAGGCAAAACTTGGAATATTTCCCGACCTGCAGCCACGAGCGGCGGCCATGAGAAACAAGCGGCGTGACGTCACTTGGGTCGTTGTAAGAAAGATAGCAAGTTGTGCGAATACCTGCTCGATAAAAGGTAACTCTTTTTACAAATCTTGTCGTTCCAACATATATATAAATGCGTCAACACCCTGGTATCATCGACAAAACTTTTATTATATGGAGTTTTAGTGGCGCCATCTATCCTAGGTCCACAAAACCGCGAACAGCCGCCAGAAGCCGGAGGGGGAGGGGGACAGCGCCGGACTGGCAAGGACGGGTGGTCACGCGGTCGGCAGCGGATGAGTTCTCGCTGCTCGCTGATGGCTCTAAAGAGAGAACTTTTCCGGAACTCCGCGCCTACTCTAGTGACGTCACTTTGCACGTGACCCGGAAGACGATGCACGAGTTGAGAGGCGGCAAAAACCTGGATCTTTTTCATTTTTTTAAGTAAAAACTAGGGTATCCAGGCAAAATCTGTTTTCTGTAGTTCACTGCAGAAGTGTCAGGCATCAACTTCCACAATTATTTAAGCAAAGCCCTGAAATTGTTGCACAGCTCCTTTAAGGGTGGGGAGCAATCTAGAAAATTTTTTACCCCAGGGAACCCATCAGGGTACTCTTCTGTGTTCCCAAGAGCCTATGTTTAAGAGCCCATGACATACAGGCTAACAGACTGACGGTATCAGCCAAATAGCTTGTAACGCAGCCTTCAGGCACAGTTTACTAGTCTGGTAGCCTGTATGACAGCTTTCAGCAGCTTCAGTTACCGAACAGAAGACTGCGTGAAAGCGATAAACACGCGATACCAAAAGTACCAATGGGGCAGAGGGTCTCCCTTTTGTATCCGAACATTACTGCTGCAACATGTTGCCAAGCAGAGACCTTTCAAGTATGACCGTTCCAATCGTTGGAACATGCGTGGAATATGTGGGATATGGTGCGTCAGCGTTATTGGACCAATTATTGAACTTGGGTGGAAGCAGCACGAGATGACAGGATCTGGCAAGTGCACACTTTCAACTTGAACTATTTTTGCAGACGAAAGGTTTCTCTGCCTCCCCCATGTGCTGATTGCCTTCTGTCATGCTTTGGCATTGCGTGCACCTGAGCATTATCAACCATAGAAAGCTTGCACTGGAGGCAAAGCTTCGATCTGCATCCTTAATCAGTCCCTAACTTATGGAACACCTCAAGGTATTAAATCACATGCCAGGATTCAGAAAAAGCCTCCAAGAGACCCCAGATGCAAGAATGCACACTTCATTTGGCAATGCTGCCGCACCAGCGTATGCAGACCTCCTGCAGTCAAAGTGCACCCGTTTCGCAAGTGCAGCCGGCTGCACTTCCAACATCGGCAGCAACGGATGCAAGGCGGCCTCACCTTGGGCGGCACCTCGCTGCAGGGCAAGGTGCTTCCTTCCCGTAGACCCCTGGTGCCGACTGAAGCGCCCAAAGACCAGCGACACGAAGGCACCCCCTTCCAGGCCGCGGGGAAACACCAGCTCCGCGCAGAAGGGATCCTCGTCCACGTTTACAAACACCCGGGTGGCCATGGCGGCCCCCTGCAACCGCGGCGGACAGCCCTTTAGCTATAGTCTGTTGAGATTAAGAAAAGCAAAACGAGCCCTCCCCCCCCCCCCCCCCCCCCCCCCCCCCCCAAAGCTCTCTGCTTGCCATGATTAGTGGTTTTCTCGAGGACTTTATGCAAGAAGCTTGTCCTGCTTTCCTTAACCTGCAACACACAAGCATTCGACAGAGCACGTGGACCGACCCAGCTCTCTAAGAAAGAATGCCGAGAACAAGGTGGTAAAGACAACGGTGAGGCATGGCGAATCGTAGGCACTAACATTCTAACATTGGTGGTTCTAAAAGAAAGAACAAGGAAGACAGATACAGAAAAAAAGAAAGCAGGCGGAATGTTAGGCACGTTTGTTTTGTCACAACACGTCAAGGTTGTGCAACTGCTCGTCACCCTTTTTCTTTAAATAGGTTCACAGTATGAAGCTTTCCAGCAAGGTAAAGATAAAAAGAACTACTGCGAGTACCGACGTTGCACGTGATATTTTGCTGCTCATTTGCTTTTATTAAAGACCTGCCAGTAATCTTTTGACCCACAAGTTCCACCAATGTCTGCCTTTATGTCCTGCCATTTTGCGGTGGCCGAAATGCATGGGAAGGTGGCAGACAATTTCTTTTGGGTTGATTATACAAACTATGGCTGACAATGAGAGCCAACACCATCAACCTATGGTACAAGAGAGTTAAGACAGGCTCTCTTGTGTTTTCTTCCTGCGTCCTTGTGCAATAGCCTTGAGGATTATGTTATATTGGTGTGGCACTTCATACTAGTAAGCTGGTTTGGAGGTTGTGGTGCCCCCCCAAGAGGACACAATGCATGCCCGACACACAGGGGAACATTTCTGCCTATAGTTTGTCCCCCCGAACAATGAACTATTGCAAAAGTTACAGGCTGCAGTCCAATCATGAGCCAGTTAGAGACCGTGTGTTATATTACTCCAACAGGGACACCGGTACAGCTCAGTGGTACATATGTCGCAACAATATGCCGTGTATGTGCCGTATATCTGGCTCATGAATGAACTTGGCAACACCTAGTTTTGGCTGTAGTTCATTGTAAGGTGAGATGAAGTAGAATTGACAAGTCTCTTGCCATCAGGATGAAGGCATGGTTGCTTTGAGTCGTGCAAGATAATTATTTTTCTTTTCGACTAGAAGGGGTGGACTTCACAAACTAGTTTTCCCTCTTTCCATTTGTTAGCTTTGGTACCACCTGTCTGAGGATGCCTACAGTTGCACCAACTCATAAATGTAAAGCTAAGGAACTCGTAGCACCATCGTCCGAGTCTCTGAATGCAACATTACGAGGCTGTGTAATCTGTCACTAATGATGGACAGAATCTGGACATTCGGCAAGAAAATTGCTGCAAAATGTGGTAAAGCCCATCCTCTGGTTACCATCGTAATGCGGCAGTTCCAGAGATGCATTGCGACTGGCAACCATGACAGCAGTGTACCAGAACAATGCAGTGTCAACACTTGGTGAGAATGACAGGTGCTTCCCAGAAGCATGCAGTGTGTTCTAAACTGGCATACACTGTAGAGACTACCAGGTGGAAACTACCAGCTTGAGCCATACTTTCAACGCCAGTGCGAGCAATCTCTATTTAAAAAAAATAATACAAAAAGTCTAAATTCAGAAATCTCAAAAAACTTTTTTTGCGATATTATTGATTTGTTACATGTCAAAGTTCTGAAGATGTGCGCTCGTTGCACCACTCTCCACGTCCGTGTCGTCGGTTAGGGAATGCTGTTCACAAATGAACCTTGATCGGCTCACCTAACTAGACACAATAACCGCTTTCAGCTCTCAGCGCGTCACCAGAAAGTGTGCATCACGTCGGAATGACGTAACCCCATGAGAAAGAGAAAACCCCTATCACCAGCTCCTTTTTCATGATGCCCTTTATATGCGCTGGAACTTTCACTTGGTTCATATGCGACGTCATCGCATCGCACTGGTGGTTGCTCTTACTTGGTCTCGACAAGGAGAACGAATTCAGTGGTGCGAAATGAATGCAGCAGAAGTTGTGCGCTCAGCAGCAAAGCCTCCCCAATCGGTGTTGAGGTTACAACAATGCAAGTCATGCATCGATGCAAGAGGGTGGTGTTCCTCGGAGGCATACATGAGAATAACCATCTATCTTTTAAGCTGCCATACAAGAGGTTTGTTCATTTGTCACAAAAAACAAGCCGATATACGAGACGATTAAGCCAGCGAAACGCACAATAAATGCTGGCTTACTTCATCCACGAACTGTCTCATTTTTAACACAAAATGTGTTACATGGCTGGCACCTAACCATATTTGGTTAGGTGCCAGCAACAGAAGTCAACAGGCCGACTGCCAGCCAAACGCCGAAGCAGTGCTCGTCTCCTCGCTGATTGAACGCCAGTGCCAGCCGAACCTCTCCCTTGGGCACCTTTGTGCGACCTCCGGCGGGGAATAAACATCACGTGTTCAGACTTACACCGGCACTCTGCTCTGTCAGACGAGCGCGCTCCACGCTTCCAGAAGAGGCACAAGAGAGGGAGACAGAAAAGCAGAGAAAGAAAAGCCTGCACTACCTTAGGCGCGCCCCTTTTGCCTTAACAGGTTGAGACAGTTTGCGTGTTTTGTTCTCTCTTGCTGCGAGCTCGTTGCAGGGGTCTGCTCGGTGCTGTAGAGGGTTTACAATGAACACAGGGTCCATCACAAACCAATGGGGAGCACTTGTAACTTAAAGGCTTGCAGACGATCAAATCTTTTGCCACCTCCTTGCAGCTCGTATTGCTAACCCGGCCCATTATTGACATGACCCCGATCGAACAGCTGGAAACCCTCTGTAACTTAGGCTCTCTATGCTGCTGCCAGATTCCAATAGCAACGTTTTCCGCATGCTCCATCAACTGCGTCTCACGCTACAGCAGGTTCTGAGAATGTTGTATCCACATTGCCACCGCTGAAGATGGCACCCATAAGTAAAGCAGCAATGGAGTGCTCAAATGCTTAACGTACACAACACGGGGCCGAGAGGACAGCCGTGCACACGGAGCCTTCAAAGTGTGCTCCCGGGTCCTCGACTGTGTGGATGACACACTACAAGCAAAGCTGCCGCCTCGTGGCGTCATCGGATTCCTCTTCAAGTGTCGAGTGCGGCGGTGCAAACGCTAGTCCTCGGCCATCTACTTCTGCCGGCCCTTCACACGATGTGAACACTAATACATCACATCTGTGTTACCAATGCCTTTGCCCTGCTAATACGGCAAAGGGGCGACTTTTTTTTAACCGTTTTTACATCGTGAACATTTGTTTCAGGCGCATCTTTAGCGAAACAGTCAAGCGTCTTGTGGGATGCATTCAGCGGCTCTCGAAGCAGTTTTCACAGCTTGGCACGCCCAACCCTAGTAGCACCCAATGTTGTGCGAACATTCTCTGGATGTTCTGAATGTTGAGAGAATGTTAAAACGCCATTCAACTTTCTAGGAACATTCGTATGCAAACATTCCCTACAAGGTAAGCTGCTCAACATTCTTGGAACGTTCGTTGGCGAACATTCCTAGAATTTTCGCAGGTGAAGCCAAGTTTACGGAGCTCTCACACAGCCTGTGGTTCGAATCACCATCCACTATATGTCACTTTGTGCCAAAAATATGCAAATTAAGTGGAGTTTCTGGGAACTTAGAATAAAAGATCAGTTTTTTCTTTCACGAGTCTACTGAGGAATGTGATATAAGGTACAGGAGAAAAGCAATGGTTTTGAAAACTTGATAATGAACTTGGCACGCACTGCATATGTGGAGGGGCAGTTTTGAATGAACAAGATTTTAGAGCGCAGCTTTTAGGCGCCCGTTTCCGGCTTGAGCGGCGTCGGCGTAACCGTACAGTGCAATATGGGACACGTGACGTCATTGTCACTGATGACGTCAATAGCGGAAAAAATTCCCCGCTAAATTTAGCGGAAACAATTTCCCTACTAAATCTAGCGGAAAAAGTTCCTCACTAAATTTAGCGGAAAACATTTCCCCGCTTCATTTAGAGGAAAAAATTCCCCCTCTAAATCTAGTAGAAAACATTCCCTGTTAAAGTTAGGGGAAAAAATTGCCCCAATAAATTTCCACCAAATTTACACGCGATGCTCTCACCCAAGATGTGCACTTTCTGCGACTTGCGTTAAGCACACGTCGATCCACACCCTTGTTAGTAGTGGGAAACTTTCCACCTTCTCCCTCAGTACCCTTCCCTCCTCCCCCTCAAGAGCTGCACTCTAATTTGACGTTACAGGGGATTGTAAACGTCAAGTTTTTTTAGTCTCTGGGGCTTATATCTTTAAAAAAGGTATTTTTCAGTTGAATGTGGGATGCCATATATATCTGTTCTTAAGCTCGGAGTGAGTAATCGGTTATGTATACAGCACATTTTGAATGGAAGACGTTGGCAAGTGACAGGTAGGAGTAAACTGTCATTAGTACGTGCCCAGGCTGGTGCGCTGGGAAAGCGGCTAGCTTGTGCTTGCGCCTTCTAAAAGTCTGTTTCGATTAAAAAATAATGCCCTGCGAGAAGCTTTATCACATCCATATATGTAGTGCGGCTCATTTGGGCTGTAGCCTAAGCAAGCTGTAATTGTGGAATCTTTGCAAATGGTCCTCAGAGAATGTTCCCTGAATGTAGCGATGTACCTGCACCACATTCTGAGGAGATTGAAAGGATGTCCCTGCATAAATTTGCAACATTTCAAGAAAATTACAGAAGTTCTTTGGATGTTCCGAGAAACTTCTTAGAACCTTGTTAAGATATTTGAATATTGATTCAATGCCCTGGTCATGTTCTATGTCATTCTCGGAAAGTTTTAAGAATGTCCCTTAGAAAACATTCCCCGATTGTAGCAATAAGTGCCTGCACCACATTCTGACAACGCTGATAGAATGTTCTTACGTAAATTTGCAACATTCCAAGAATGTTGCCTCTGTTCTCCTGAACTTTCCCGCCCGGAATGATTTCAGAACATTCTTGTGCTACGTGGGAACTAGTGTGTAAATGTACCTGACCAGAGCAAAAAACACGGTTAGGAAACCAGGGCTTCCGGTGCACCTTCCTACAGCTTGTTTCAAACGAGTTGCATACAGAGCTGTGGAAGTCGAGGGCTAGAGAAAGAGGAAAGCTCATCCTGCACGTATTTTGAGTGACGGGCTAATCTCCTAGGGAGAGAGTGGACGGGGGAGGGTACACAAGAGTATCTAGGCTAGAGGGGAGATCTCTTTTACCCTCCTCTCTTTCCACATGCTAGTTTTACCATTTCCCCAAGGTGCAGGTACGATCAGCCACAGAGTATACACCTCAGGGCTGCTTCAAGGCAGGTTGTTTGGTGGATTGAGAGAGCACTCACCGACAGCAAGTGCCTAGGCTCACGTCTCAAGAATCCCAAGTGATGGATCTTGGCATTTGCGAAAGCTCCGCCACCCTGGGAGAAAAGCTAGCCGAGGTTCGCTGTGGAGCAGCAAAAAACAAAATTAGGGAAAGTTAGATTGCTGTTCGAAACGAAACCTCCCGTAGACACTCAGATTTACAGCCAGAGTTCCGCTAAGGAGCGTAGCACGGGAGGTTCTCAGCTGTCAGTCTAACGCTACCTCGTTGTTACCTTCGCACTTAGTTTGAAGCCTGTGGTTTAGGTGTTTGGACGCTTTGGACTAGAGAGCTAGAGATCGCTTGACGCTCAAAAAAGATATGTGCGCTACTACTACTATATATAGGCACGTGGACTGGCGTACCGGCGCCGAGGTCGACGATCATGATGATGATAATTACACCGCCATAGACGTCGCCGCCGCTCTAGCCGAATGAAGCACTGGCAGTGTTGCCAATAACGCCATTGAGCATTTTTCTACAGCCTTTATTGAGTTGCTTCTTCAGCTAGCTTTAGCGGCTACAAGAGCGAGTGTTGTCCTCGCCGTTCCTTCCCCCCCTTCCCCCGTCCAGCGCTGTTTCGATCTCGTTTCGCCGGTCTTCTGGCGTCGGCGTCGGCTGATTGTCTTTTCTGACGTACGCCAGCCTTCCGCCGACCATGGCGAGCGTCTCCTATCACATCGCCAACCTCCTTGAGAAGGTGAGTCTCTGCTTTAAAGTTGAATATTTTCGCATCAGCGGCCGGCAGCCAGACCTTGACGTGCGTGTTCTAAGCCTAATACCACTGTGCGACTAATTCAAATGTCCTGACCCGTTGGCAGGATCCCGATCCTGTTACTGCGTTACCCGCCGCTTTGAGAGAACGCGCGTGGTTCGGCCTATTGTCGAGTGAAGGTGCCACAAAATCGCTGAGGGGTGTGCAGAATGGCGTGTTTGTAAACATCATTTCGACCGACTTTTCGCCGGCCTCTGGTCACCGACGTTTCGTTGAGACTTCAAACTGCGAGTGTTACCGACTTATCATTCCACAATAAAAAAGGAAACAAAACAAGAGGCGAAGCCAGGGCTGACTGGCACTCACCCTCAGTTTCCACGGCAGGAGTGTTTTGCCCAATGACGTTTCATCTACACACCGCTCCGTTGATCGTGCGATTCTTGGTGGAACCGTGGAACTTAGTTGGACAAAAAGCTGACATGCGTCATCGAAACGTAAACTTGACAGGTTTCTACTTCAGTGACCATTTTCGCCATGTCTGTACGGTGGCCTGCCATTGTTGCCGAATCACTGCACTGTCTCCTTTTCCGTGGCCTGGCACAAGCAGGCAGCAGCACGAAGCTGGTGTATCGTTGAACTGTCACATCTCTGTCCTTCTGCGAATCTTCGTATCTTTATAAACAGGCGGCTTGCCACTCATGTCAAGAGGAGCAAAGGTACAGAAGAACTTTTGAAAGCGGTCTTCAAATCTTGAGCCAAAGCCAATTTCTGACAAGGAGTGTTCGACTAGGGTTTCTGCATCAAGGTCCATTGCGTCAGGCTACTTCTTAAAATGGCCAGGCCTGGCGAAATGGAGGAAGGCCAGATGCCTGCCTTTAAGCACTATGAAAGGTGCTGTACGATAAGAGGTTATCAGGAGAGGCTGTGGCACTTCGTAACACCTGACTCGCACTCATGTTGGGGCGGTGCTATAACTCCGTTCACCCCTAAGCTGAGACTGCGGTGGAAGTTAGTTTTTGGACGAGTCGTATGCCTTTCTTTCGCCACATTATCACGCTCCTGCCCATAGCCATGCGCAGAGAGCCGGGTCAGGTGATAAAAAGGAGATGGCTGACTGGTCTGGCAGGCACGTCGCCCCCACTATAGTCTCAGCTTTGGGGTGAACGGAGTGTGGTGATCCGTGATAAACAGCTTTGCCACAATGTCACTGTAGTGACCTGTGCTGCTCTCAGGGACTGTAGCCGCTCTTGAAAAAAGAAATGTTAACACTGAGCAGGTCTAATGTCCAATTTTTTTAAGGTCTAGCCTCTATAAGAATGCTTTTTGCCACGTTAATGGTACAGGCTACCCACACCGCACATGACGAACACACAAAGGCCGAGTGGACTTTGTAAGCTCAATCGCATAGCTGAGGGCAGCTCCCAAGATGGTTGCTCTTGCATGACCCGTGCTGATGTTTCTGTCACCACCACATCCGAATAGTATAGACAGACCTACTAAAAACATTACGGGCATGTTCCTTAATGTAAAAGTAATTGACATGGCATTCATTTGACATCAGTGTCAAGCAAGAAGGCAGACCCAGTTATCAGCACCATGTCCTCCACCAAAACTGGACCAGCTTCCACCGAACACAAGTTCCTGCATTGTCACAGCTTCCCACTGTTCCAAAAATGACAAAACTGGCCCTGTAATGCTCAGGTTGTGGCCAGCCAATTCATACAGAAGGGTCCACTTTGAAGGAAGGGAAGGGTCATGCAAGCATACACTTCTATTCTGCAGTTCATGGCATGCTTAGCTGGGCCTTCTTTGCTGCTAGAAGTCTTCAATATCGCCATCCTGCTCTTTGGGTACCAGTCACACAGCCTGTCACAGTCTCTTCTGGACTAAACTTCTGTGGGCCCTTGCCACCACACAGAAGTTTTCCCGCGTACAGGTGGTAAGCAGAGGTGGACTTGTCAATAGGCAGAGTAGGCAACTGACTAGGGTGGCATAATTTAATAAACTGCCCCCAAATTAATTGTTTTTCTTTTTTTTATCTTGCTTTGAATTTAGTTACTTTGGGAATTCTAGCTACTTTTAAAAATTTTAACTCCATACTTAGCTATCTCTGCTCCCAACCAAGGGGTTGGGGGGTGCGAGGCACTGTTAAAGACTGCCTAAAGCGGCAAAATGCTAAGTCCCAGCTCTGGTGGTAAGTTAAACCATTGCCTACTACCTGTGCCCTCATAATGGTCAGGTGATGGTCTCGACTCCCGCGATACAATGAAATAGAAATAGTAGCCTTTGCACCTGCACTAGGACTATGAGTGATCTGTGCCACTAAATGCTGGCCGAGCGTTCAGCATTTCAGTCTACCAGCATGGTGCGGCCCCCAGCCCCACATGCCATGGATCATAACAACAATACAACCACCTGATTGTCTGTAAAGGGTGCTGGTAGTAGCAGGACAACTAACATTCCTGCCCAAACCGTAAAAAATGGGGCGGCAAAAAAAAAAAAAAAGTTCGCTTTCGCACAATCTTTTTTGGCAGTAACTTGACATGCCGCTCCTCAAGTATGCAAAGGCGATTTGTTTCGCTTATATTTTTCTTTACCTGCTAGCAGATCAGCACCTTTCTGGTTAAAGTGAGAATGTATTCATAGCTCATCATTTGACAGTTGTATTGGGACGTGGCTTCACCATAGTGCTGCCAGAGCTCAATGAGGTCAGATGTTACATGTCCTCTGTTGACTTCGGTGCGTTCTGTCAATATGGTGCTGCTTTTGGAGCGATATCTGACTCTGGCTTTGCCCACAAGTTTGATCTACGTTACCATCTTGCGCAGTCAACAAAAATTTCCTTTTGGTTCTTTACCCTGGGGTATTTGTAGAGCTGAGGGAAAGCTCCCTGGCGAAACCAAAATTATTTTTGTTATCCTAGTAAATGAATGTTGACTAGCAAACAAATGAATGTAGGTTATGTAACAAAGGACAAGGATTCCAAATAGATATGCAGCTCAGAATTCCGAAAAAAAACGTGTCACGACCCCATTAATATTTACTGCCGGCATTTCATAGTTGTCACGACCTTGCTCAGTTCTAGTTTCGCTATTGTTGTTATATTTAAATGCTTGACCCTGTTGTGTGAGGTTGAAGAAAGTAGCAGTTTTAGCGGCTTGGCACACCAGTATCTTAAGTAGATCATAATGTAAAAACAGTGCAAATAAACACGGACGAAGGGGAAGAAACACGCAGACGGTACAAGCGCTGACTCGCAACTGAAAGTTTATTACTTCAAAAAGGAAAAAGAAGAAAATAAGATAAAAACACACACTCCCAAGGAAGACCCCCAAAATCAGCATTCTCACTCAGACATGTACGTGTCAGCCCCTTCTCCTATCAGCAGCATCACATCACTGCGTGGCCAACTTTCACCCTCTCGCACATAAATTCAAATTCTTTTTGTGAAAGCGTTATTGAGGCCTCACTCACACACCGATCCCCCAGAGTGACAATGTGAAAGGCCTCGAGCACTTCTCTCGCCAATCTATCTTTGTTTCGTCCTAATACCGCAGTGTCAGGGAAGGACGGTTTACACTTGCATGCGTTGCAGTGCAACGAGAGGTGCCCTCCAACCGTGGCGCTAAGGGAGTAGTTGTGCTCTCTAAGCCTATCGTTTAAACAACGTCCTGTCTGCCCGACGTAGCACTTATTACATATTACATTATTACATCTTATAAACAACCCCCTCACAACATCTCACAAACGGTTTCGCATGTTTCTTTCTGCACTCTCGTTTTGGGTGCCCTTCCGCTCTTGCTTCAATCCTAGAGCAGACCCCTGCAATCATATTTAAGCGTCCACCTTTTTTGCAATTTCCACGTCTTTTGGGGTTCGGGCAAGCCAGCGGGCACGGAGAGAGTAACTAAATACCAGTGCGTCATATTTTAACCGGACGACGCGGAAACCTCCTTCACGACGAGGACGACCCGCGGTACCGAAAGTGCGCAAAATGTGATGTCCTTGGTCCTGGGCTTACTACTGGTCAGAGCCGCTAAAAGCTTCTTTTTAGTCGAAATACAAAATATAGGTGGCGCCGAACCGTTTCAATTATTTATAAAAGTAGTTTTTGTTCATTATTTTAGATCATAAAAGAAACGAATGCAGTTCATAAAGTGCAGAAACAAGAAATGACCCGTCGACATACCCACGACCAAGCGATGGAAAAAGCGGCGCATACTAGAAAGGAATAGTGGGATCAGGCGCCGACACGGAAAGGTCCCAAATGTATGCGGCGGCGCTGCGGTCGTTTGGGCAGGAGGATCCGACCGGCTCCGGGCGTTCCGAAGGCCTTCGGCGAGAAGCTTAGTCTTGCGGTTTGGTCGTTTCGCGGTATGGCAGCGCAAAGTAGCTCCCATTCTGAACTGATCTTTACCCCATGTTTGCTGTCGTTTGTGGCCAATGAACTGTCATGCCGAATTAGTATTTAATCGCGCAGCAAATGCAATGATAGCCGTTCTGGCTGCCCGCTGCATACAGCCTCTCCAGAACACGCTTCAATGGCGCCCTCTCGCGCCGTCGACTCGGAGTGCGGCAGCCGCGAGCGCTCGATGAGCTCACTACTTCTCCTCTAGTTCACGGCCACTCTCAAGCAACCAAGGACGTCACGAGGGAGGTTATTTTTTGCTTGTTTTTGTAATTTTAATTTGCCTATAGCTTTTAAAATAAAGAAAATTTCGAGAAAAGAAAAGTTTCACTAAGTTACTACGTTCAGTGCGCTCAGGTTCGGTGCAAACTAAAAATTAGTAAAAAAGTCATTGCAGGGCCCCTTTAAGTCTGAGGGGGGCTGAAAACACCACCGGTATGTTATATCGGCTTCCGACCTTTTTTAGACTATGGGAGATTTTGTGGATATACGGGATCACTACAGGCCTTTCCTTTTCTATGCTGGGCTTATCCGCCTGGGATCCTTTAGTCCGCTTCAATAATGCACTTGCAACGTCAGACAGTAACGCCGGTGGAAACCCCGCTGCTCGTAACCTTTGCACCTGTGACCCAAAGCTCTCAGAAAGCGTATGAGGGCACGACTTTTTCAAGGCTGCACCTAAGCAAGAGAGTGCTATGCCCCTCTTAATCAGTTTTGAATTAGCCGACCTGTAATCCAGAAGGCCCTTCTGAGATCGCGGAGAGTAGCACCAACACATGTGACCCTCGCTGGAGCGGAGGGAGAGGTCTAGGTACTGGAGAACCTCCCAGCGAGGGTCACATGTGTTGGTGCTACTCTCCGCGATCTCAAAAGGGCCTTCTGGATTACAGGTCGGCTCATTCAAAACTGATTAAGAGGGGCATAGCACTCTCTTGCTTGGGTGCAGCCTTGAAAAAGTCGTGCCCTCATACGCTTTCTGAGAGCTTTGGGTCACAGGTGCAAAGGTTACGAGCAGCGGGGTTTCCACCGGCGTTACTGTCTGACGTTGCAAGTGCATTATTGAAGCGGACTAAAGGATCCCAGGCGGATAAGCCCAGCGTAGAAAAGGAAAGGCCTGTAGTGATCCCGTATATCCACAAAATCTCCCATAGTCTAAAGAAGGTCGGAAGCCGATATAATATACCGGTGGTGTTTTCAGCCCCCCTTAGACTTAAACAGGTCTGCTCTAGGATTGAAGCAAGAGCGGAAGGGCACCCAAAACGAGAATGCAGAAAAAAAAACATGCGAAACCGTTCGTGAGATGTTGTGAGGGGGTTGTTTATAAGATCCCCCTCTCGTGTAATAAGTGCTACGTCGGGCAGACAGGACGTTGTTTAAACGATAGGCTTAGAGAGCACAACTACTCCCTTAGTGCCACGGTTGGAGGGCACCTCTCTTTGCACTGCAATGCATGCAAGTGTAAACCGTCCTTCCCCGACTCTGCTGTATTAGGACGAAACAAAGATAGATTGGCGAGAGAAGTGCTCGAGGCCTTTCACATTGTCACTCTGGGGGATTGGTGTGTGAGTGAGGCCTCAATAACGCTTTCACAAAAAGAATTTGAATTTATGCGCAAGAGGGTGAAAGTTGGCCACGCGGTGATGTATGTGATGCTGCTGATAGGAGAAGGGGCTGACACGTACATGTCTGAGTGAGAACGCTGATTTTGGGGGTCTTCCTTGGCAGTGTGTGTTTTTATCTTATTTTCTTCTTTTTCTTTTTTGAAGTAATAAACTCTCAGTTGCGAGTCAGCGCTTGTACCGTCTGCGTGTTTCTTCTCCTTCGTCCGTGTTTATTTGCGCTGTTTTTACATTATGATCAACGAATACCAACTAGCCCAACTCTCGACATTAATCTTAAGTGGTTTCATTGCTCTCGGCATTTTGAGGTGCTTTGGCATGATCCTGGAAAAAGAAGCAAGCCTTTCTTTTTGCTAAAATATCTTTTGAACTAATGATCAAGAAGACTCTGGCTTCATTGGCACACTTGTCGAGGGCTCGGTGTCTCTGGGGATCTCGGTCAGTCAAAGGGACCAATGACCTTTGTGTCAAGTCGGCGAGGTCAGCCACCTTTGTGTTCAACCAGAGGGTCAATGATTGAGTCGAGTCGGGGGGTCAGCAACCTCTGGGTCACTTGGGGGGGGGGGGGGGGGGGGGGGGGTCACTGACCCCTGGGCTCATCAAGAGGGGTCAGTGACCCCTGGGTCCTGTCAGAGAAGTCAGTGACCTTTGGGTTGAGTCAGAGATGTCGGCGACCTTTGGGTCCAGTCAGACGGCTGAGCGACTTTCTGGGTGTTGGCAGCCTCTGGGTCAGGTGAGAGGGGTCATTGACCTCTGGGTACAGTAAGAGTGAGCAAGCTCTGGGTCAAGTGAGAGGGGTCAGCGACCTCTGGGTTCAGTCAGAGGTGCCATTTTACCCCTGGGTCCTGTTGGGGTCGGCAACGGGCATGCATGTTCACGTGCCGTCTTCTGCTTCCTACCTACAGATGACGTCGAGCGACAAGGACTACCGCTTCATGGCCACCAACGACCTGATGGCTGAGCTGCAGAAGGACTCTATCAAGCTGGATGACGACAGCGAGAGGAAGGTGAGTGGATCATCGAGATCAAGTGACCCCATGGGGGGGAAGGGGTGACGACCAAGGGTCTGCAGGGTTGAAAGGGCGAGCCAGTTTGTTGCAGGACCTGAGCCATCAGTTCCTCAACAATGTTGTTATGTGGCAGCTGAGACAATTTTGAGGGCAGAAAAGCACTAGAAGGCCCAAAAGTGCAAAAGTTTTTTTTTTCTAATAGATCGATCTCAACAAGCATTTTGCACATGCCTCCATAGCTTTAGTACACAGGAGGCAGGCAGAAGTGCACGAGATGGCCCAGCCGTATTGTGCTCTGCACACGCAGGGCCTAATGAGGTTGTCACGCATGCTAAAGGGCTAAAGTTTCCTCGATGCATTGTGGCAAAGGAAAATAATTAAACTGGCTGGTGAGAGCAATCTCTTATAATACAACTCCTTCTTTCTTGCTGCTGCCAGGAGAGAAGTGATGCAGTAGCATTCCTTTGCACCTCTTCAGACGTTTGTCGAGCTTGGCACCTTTGGTCTTCCTCAGTCGATGCTGTTTCTGTGCCGATTCAGGTTTTCCCTATAAATTTTGCACAAAATTAGTTTGGTGTATAACTATATACCGATTCAGATTTTCTCGCTATATTTAGTGGGGATCTGCTTTCCACTAAAATTAGTGGGAAAATTTTAATGTATAATGATACGCCAATTCATATTATCGAGCTGCGACGTTAAAACGTACACAATGCTACAGTTCGGGGGCACCCTATAAATGGAGTCCTCCCGCACTTAAGAAGTAGGTAGATTCTAGACTTGGGGACGTGCCTCTACAGTTGGCAGCGTTTCCCCCGACACAGGGTGCTTGGGGGTTTGTGTGGTTGTGGAGTGTGACTGGAGCATCTTTCTGCACAGGTGGTCAAGATGCTGCTCAAGCTGCTTGAGGACAAGAACGGGGAAGTGCAGAACTTGGCTGTGAAATGGTACATTGGGATTGTGTGTTCCTGTGGGACCTGTCTTCTGGTGCTCTAGAAAATGAGGGGTGGGGGGTGGCCAGCCGGACAAAGTAGCTTCGTAGAATGCATTCGTTGAAGTCAACAGACATGCACTTAGGGGTTTGAGGCACCAGAGTGCCCTAGATATCATTCACAGTCCACGGTCAACTTCCGTTAATCCGACCTGGTTGGGGTATGCAAAATTAGATTGAATTATCCGAACGTCGAATTAAAAGATATGTGCAATGTTTTGAGTATCCAGCACTTTACATCAGGTGGGCTTGCATTTTTATAATGAGTTGCCGCACGACGGTGGCAGCAACCATGTATTCCTTGACTCTTGGACGTGGATTCCTACGCTTCTTGTAAAAGTAATGACAAGAGTGGCACCCATAAATTACATCGCAACATCGACACTGTTCCACTAGAACAGGATCACCCCTGCGGGCTACAAATCCACTTGCAGCCATTGTACGGTTTCAAATGTGATAGCATTTCTTTCAACATCCCCCCTCCCCCTTTTACGACAATTCAGTTTGTAGCACGAAAGGAATCGCATGCACAAGTGTGGTAAGCAAATAACTTGGGAAGACCAAACGGAATTCCAACCACCCCTGAGGTGATTGGGCCCGAGACCCCAAGGTTGTGAGCCCGACGTTCAAGCACCACACCAAGGTAGAGACTTGTGAAGTGACAATTATTAAATGCAAACATTTTATTAGTGAAACGAAACCCCAAAAAGCAGCGTGAGCGGGTAGCTTCGACTTTTGTACCCGTTGCAAGGTGGTTCGTACAGCCGAGGTGCGGTCAAACATGAGAACCTCGCACTTTTGTTTGCCACTGTGCAGGAATTCCACAGCATCCCACAAAGGGCGTACTTTCGGAATGGGTCTATGATTGAAGTCATACACTTCCCGGAAGGGCTCCGGTCATTTTTACAATGCCTCGCAAGAGAAAGGAGCAGATTGAAGAGGACATCGCTGAACAGAAGTTGAGACCCACTGAGGTTCAGCGTCTCCTTTATGCTAATAGGACATTGAAAAAGACAAAATAGAATTTGGCTAGGGCAGGGTTCTCCGCAGTGATATTTTAGGGGTGGATATAACCACCGTGCGAGCGGTGGGGGTGGTGGGTAGTTAGCAATGGGGGGCCACACAGTCTGGCTTGCCGACAGAACACACTTTGCATAGGGTCTCTAACTTTATGGCTCTGTGAGTGGCGCCACGCTATAATAAAAAAAATCCAAAATGCCTCGGCGAAAAAAAAAAAAAAAAAGGTGGGTAAGTAAAGGCGGGGAGTGCGCAAAGAGGCGAAGATAAAGCAAGCATTGAGCAGTGACAGAAAAGTATTCTCGGCTTTCTGCTCTCTGCCACTCACCGCCTGCAGAGAGGACTGCTGCGCGTTTGTCGCGTCTGTTCATATTGCGTTTGTCGTCCGCCGAGCACCCCCTCACCCTCCCCACACTGCCGGCGGCGCTCTGCAGCTCTGCTTTCCTTATTAGAGTGGCGGCAGTCAGCGATGCGATAACGTGGTGGTGTGCAGGCTTGCTCAGTACAACGGTCTGCAGCCACGTGCGCAGGCAAAATCGCATTATTGTCTTGTGGCATAATGGAGCGGTGGGCGGTCACTTGGGGCGATGGGTGGCAAAGCCACTGCTGCCCACCGTGGGGAAAATCCTGGGCTAGGGACAGACAAGCAAGGTTGCTTTGGTCTGCTACAACCGAGGGCTGAGTGAGGCAACAAAGTCCATCCCACCTTAGTCAGCGGAACATGGCCATCGTGGAAGAAATGCGACGGCACGTTTACGTAGCCTGCAGCAAAGCACCGCAAAAACGCAGCCCCAATTTTTAGTCTTCCGACCTTTCTGTACGAGTTTAGAGGCACGGCCTTCCCGCAAGTACAGTGCTCGTCAAACTTGTACGGAACGCTTGTGGAATATTGAATGCAGATAAAAATATAAATTATGAGAGAACTGCGCATATTATTGTGAACTGCAGGTATTTTACACACATAGTGGGACACAGGAAGAAATAGCTTAGGGCTAGTGCCAGCTTTGAATGCACACATACAAAAAATTGTGGTGGCTTAGCTCGGCTATGCCAGGATATATGTAGCGTGAGCTTATGCGCACAAAATGAAAGGCGCTATCAAGTAGCTCCGGTGGAGCGTCAGACTTGGCTACTGTGCAACGGAGGCACACATCTGGGCACGCGGCGGCACCAGTGCGTCTGCCGCGGCTATGACGTCACTCCTCTGGAATGCGAAGACCGAAGACCGGCGAGGCGTGCGCGGTAACGGCGGTTCCGGCACGCCAGCTGTGTGCCGTGTGACGTCACTGCTCCTCGCGCTTGCGTAGACCGGTGGTGGCGCTGTCGCCGCAGGCTCCGTTGCCACTGCCCCGCCAGCTGTGCGCTGTGTGACATCACTGCTCCTCGTTCTTGCGCAGCATGGAGCACGGCTCATTATGCAAGCCACGCGAAACTGCTCAACCTCTACCAGTGTAGCTCACGCTACAAAAATTAAAAAGAACAAGCCAAGAGTAGGCTTAGCATGTGTTCCAGATAAGTTTGCTGAGCATTGTACATAGTATGCAGACGTGCCAAGTCTCCCAGATTATCTGCACAATGTACGGATTTGGACAATTTTGTGCGATTGACAAAAAAATCTCCCAAACCCCCCCCCCCCCCCTTTAAAAAAAAAAAATTTTCACTTTTTTTTTTTGTGGGCAAAATAGTTGCTTTTGGCCACATAAAAGAAAAAAAAAAAAAGCGCAGGAGGGTAGTTTGAGCCAGTGGCCATCACCATCACGAAGCCAGATCAGACAAACTCATTTGGGAAACGGCTATAGGAGTATGTTTTAGAGGGCTAGTTCCAAGTCCTGAACACCAATCTCCTTGTGATGGCAGCTCTGCCTTGTCGACCACACAGCTACTGCCGATGTGCTCACCATATGATTGGGTCTGAGTAAGCATGGCGCTGCAGTATGAGAGCTCAGTTTTGGTTGACTAAATGAACCCACGTTCCCAGGGCTAGTTTCGTGGTTATACTCACTATTATAATCGACTTCAAGATTCACTTTTTTTTTTGGTCTGCATTGTTTGCTGTTGTCAGCCATGGCTCTCGCCATTAACCAACGGGGGTGAGAAAAGTATCTCGTCGTGTTTCTCAAACAGTACACTGACGAATTCTGCTGCATTGTGGAATCAAGAAAAAGTAAACATTTTACATTCTGCGAGATTTGGGGGCAGGACCGACGTGTTGCTCACGTTTCTTCGAAGAAGCACGGCAAGCTACCTGCAGTGCCAAGAAAAGCAGCAGCAGCCGGGAAAATTCTTGTCTAAACAGAACTCTGATAGTGACGTGATTTGTGTGGAATGTCTTTTTACCGGATCTCTGCCAGAACATAACCTTCCATTAGCCGTTTTTGACCACGTGGGTCCTCTTCTTTAAAAGATGTTCTCGCCTTCGAATGTCGCAAAGCGGTACGTCTGTGTCAAAACCAAATCAACTGTTATTGTTCGGGAGATGGCAAGCTATGCCCAGTGAGATCCCCTGGGTGGAATCGTATTGATTCCACACGATGGCAAATGTGAGCTACTTTTTAGCGTTGGGTCAGAAAGACGAGAACTGAGTTTCGTTCATCGATGTTGGACAAAACTCTGGGGCAGGTACTTTTGGCAGTGTCACCAGGGTGGAAACTGCCACAGCCAGACGTACCCACAGGACTTCTTGAAGAATGCCAAGTCAGCAAGACTTCTAAAAAAATTTATCCAAGCACGTACCCCCCCACTCCCCGCCCGGGCTTCACAGTCTCCCTAATTCTGTGTCCCAGTGCTTGGCAGGTCTGAGCATGCAATATAGCTGTTCCGTAGGTCGGAAAGCTCAGCTTGTGATAGTTTAGTGCAGTGGTTCTCAACCACTAATGTTTCAGGGACCTTGTCTGAATGGGTGGAAGCAATCATCAAACACTTCCCCCCATCCACCGACAGGAAGGGGAGAGTGTGACTGACGATCAATGGCTTCAGGGACTCCAAGGATCCGCAGGATCCCAGTTGAGAATCGCTGGTTTATTGCGTCTGTTGTTGTCTGTGTCCTCTCTTTGAAGCACTTTGCCACTGCTTTTGAGTGTGTTTCATCTGCTGCTCTTTCGGAATGGAGCCAAGAACTTTGTAGCCATGGCCTATTTCCTCAAGTAGCACGCATTGCCGCCTTGAGAATTGCAGTTTTGTGCAGACTGGTGTGTTCTTTCTTTCCGCAGCCTGGGCCCCCTGGTGAACAAGGTGAAAGAGTACCAGGTGGAGACGATAGTGGACAGCCTCTGCAACAACATGGTCTCGGACAAGGAGCAGCTCAGGGACATCTCTAGCATTGGTGAGTGCAAACTTTCGTCGTTGCCCTCACCGAACCCGTGGAGGCCAAGGTGCCTGGGTATGGTCATTTCGCGGGTGTGGTGCAGCGAGGATGGAAGGCGGGTCCAAGCAAAGCACGCTCACTCTTGACAGATTTTATCGAACGTGGGAGCCTCCGCTATGTGTACAAGAGCCGGGATGCCGTACCCGTGGCGTGCTGTGGGCTTGTCGATTTACCTGCGCCAGCCTACGTCGGTGTAGAAAAGTGTTGGGCAGTGTACTTTTAGAATGTGTTTTAAGATAAACTGCACTCTTGAATTGATCTCTATGGTGTGCATCCAGCGAAGCTGGTGTAGGAGGTTTGAGTAAATTGAATGAGCTTGGTGTGTGTCTATTGGAACATGTTCCATCCCCGCAGTTACGAAAGCTAAAGTGTTCCCAGGTGGTGTGCCGGAGAAATGCCCGACTTGGCACAAGCTTGGCAATCCTAGGGGCCTAACTTGGGGCTAATACGGTTTTACTCTAATGTGTCCATCACTGCCAGAGTGCTTCTTTTTCTAAGGGCGAAGCTCCTTAGGGTCTAGCCTTCTCCGTCCAGCGTCCGTGCTCACATCGATTTTGCTGGTGCTCGTGCTCGTGAGCTCACGTGCTCCTGTAGGGCAAAAGAAAGAAAATGTTTGCGCAGTCGACAGGATTCGAACCTGTGTGGAGAGACCCCAATGGATTTCTAGTCCATCGCCTTAGCCTCTCGGCCACGACTGCAGGACGAGTAGGGGGCTCTGAGATGTGGTAGTAACTCAAGAGCTGGGGATGTCATGGATGAAACGTTGCATGTAGCCCCTCAACGTCTATACAGGAGAGGGCGCTGTGGTCAAATGCGTATATAATCGCGTTAAACTTTGCATGCATTGGCTCAATGTTTATAGACGAGAGGGCGCTGCGGTCAAATGCTCAAATGCGTATATAACCACGTTCCATACCACACATTCTCTTTTTGACATGGATGAAAACGAACGAAAGGATCGGCATGCTGCGGCTCAGCGTCTACGGAGAAAAGACCACCAGAGCTTCGCCCAATCAACATCATTCACCACGTAAAGATGCGGTCATTTTTTTTTTTTTTTTTTTTTTTTTTTTTTCATTTTTATGTTTTTTATTTGGCACCTAATTGCCAAAGAGCTAGACTTGAGCCGAAGCTGCCATGTAGGAACCGAAGTACCAGCAGTGAGACCTAAATCTGGCACTTGCTTAGAAATTTAAGCCCAAAGTCGCCACACAAAAACAGAGCCACCGGAAGCAAAGCCCAACTCTGGCTCTTGTTTGGTAATTTAAGCCCAAAGCTGCCAGATGACTGAAACTACCCACAGTGAAGCCTAACTTTGGCACTTGCCTGACGAATTAGGTTCAAGATACCCAGACTCCGGTCGAAGAAGGTCATGTTCGGCTCTTCCTTGGAGTCTTCGGACTCTTTCAGGCTCTAAATTCCCAGACAGACCATACTTCGGCCCAAACAGCCGTGCTAGCTGGGTTCATAGCTGCGAAGATCAACCGACATCCAGCGCCTTATGCGTGGCCCGGCGCTTTCCCACAGGCCTTAAGACTGTGATCGGGGAGCTTCCGGCATGTAGCGGCAGCAGCCTGGTGGCCTCGATCTGCAAGAAGATGACCGGGCGGCTAAGCCGGGCCATCGGCTGTCAGGAGGACGTGGCAGTTCAACTGGAGGCCCTGGACATCCTCGGGGACCTGCTGTGCCGCTTTGGGGCCACCCTGGTGCCCTTCCAGCCTGCCATCATGGAGGCCCTGTTACCACAGCTGCAGTCCCCGAGGCTGGCCGTGCGCAAGCGCTCCATCACGGCCATCGGTACGTGGCCACTACTGGAAGTTTGCATTGAGACGGTGGCGCCACGGTGCGGATCCTAGCAGAAGCATTTCACATAGACCACAGCCGGAACTGGCATAAACATCTTGCGTAGCAGCCAGCCTTTCTTATCGATGTTGGCTTACCCGAGCACAGCCCCGTACAAAAGGTTGGGGCCGCAGTCGGCGCTGACTTTTTTCACACGAGACCCGGAATTTGAGAACAGAGATTCCCTCTGTGCCCCGGTGAAAAGTGCCGCGATCACCTCCACCCAGTATGTCAACTTGATCCGCCGGCGAGCGAAGAGTAATTCGATAATGAGAGGAACGGAAAAATATTCTGACGCGGATTTGATCATTACTGGCACTGGTGAATGTTGACCCGCAGTGATTTCCAGACAGTTGAATACACGAACGCTTCATATGCTGTTTGCTAATCAAAAGCTGGGGAGCAGACGGCGTCCCGGTTGTGCACTCCTGGTTCGTCGTTGCTCGTCCGGTAGTTAGTTGGTTGAGGTACTTCTTTTCCCCATTCGTAAAGAACGGGGGGGCTTCCGAGAGCCGCGGAAAAGGTGAGACGGCCATTGCTAGCGCTAGCGGGCGACGCCTTCAGACGGCGCCTTTACGTCGCAGCTCCAGTCGCCCGGGCTGCCCGTACACAAATGCTCGATTGCAACTATTGGTATGTGATTGTGTGCAGGGTTCCTGGTGCTGAGCTGTAGCCAGGGGCTCTTCAACAAGCTGATGGATGCCCTGCTCGAAGAGCTGTCCAAGAACAGCTGCACCTCCACTACCCGCACCTACATCCAGTGCATCGGTACCATCAGGTGCGCCGCTGCCTGTGCCCCTTGGACGTGATGCTATCTTTTTGACATTTATTGCCAAGGAATTTCTGCAAACGTTGTCAATTGGACGTCTGTTCACTCGCGTGAAATGCATACAGTCGCCGGCCGATGATTGGGACTCGACAAGGATCGCGCATAAGTCCAAATAATTGGGCAGTCCGAAAAAATGAATTCAGTTAAACAATTTTTGTATTGGCAGTTTACAGATTAAATTGCTGTAGAAACAGGGTGATTAGAAACGGGGTGGTAGTTCGCTGGACGGCATTTTGCCTCCGTGCGACCCAATTGTCTTGCATTTCAGTGGTTCACGTTTGGCGACCACCCTATGGCTGGCGCAGAGTGCACTCCACGTCCATGAACTTGTCGAATGTTGCGACAACATCAATCAATTTCTTCATAAATGAAACCTAAACAAAACATGAATCAAGGTAGTAAACAAAACAATGAATGGCATCAGACACATTTAGACGACCACAATCCCTCTGTGGCTGTGGCAAACTTCACAAAGAAACAGTACGAAACAAATGTGCGAATCGTTGGCACGGAGAGTCGTTGAGGCCGTTGGCATGGACAGTGAAGTTGAAAGATGCAGTCGGCATCACCGTTTGGGGACGATGGTAAAAGGCACGCACATAACAGCAGACAGCGTAGCGGCTTCCTGATGTTTAAGACAGGTGCAATCCCTTCACAAACAGCACAAAACAAAAGCAGGAAGGCACAAATCAACTTGGCACAAAGAACAGACGAAAGTTCCAACTATACCCTCAATCCAGCTGCTGGATTGCATCGAACGTGGTTTCGAGGCTACAGGCAAAATCAAAACAATGGTGGCTAGGATCGCAACAGTGGTAAGGCGGCTGCCAAAAGTGAAAAATTCGGCAATGGACCTTCACATCGTCCCGATTTTCTGTCGCTGTTTTACACTAACTCTATGGGGCAATCGGCAGTTCTGTGAAAATGTCTGACTGTACAGGGTTGGTGTTTTAGGATTAAACCAATAGACATGCATACCGAGTTGATTTTTTAGAATTTGGTTTCAGCTGAACAAAGTCAGTATTTTAAAGCAGTGTGGTGTAGCTGGTAGGCGTTTTGGAAGAGGGGGGGAGGGTTGTCAATCTGTGACACTAAGTTGTTGAATACTTGGCTATCTTTGGGATTGCTCCGTGTTGTGCTGGAAGGGGACAGGGTGAGGGGGGGGGGGGGGGGTGGCAATGATTTCTTTACACCTTTGTGATCCGGTTTTGTCTACCTTGTTCTCTGTTTGGTGATGGGGTTAAGATTGTTTTACAGCGAAGCTGTTATGGGCGGGTCTGGGGAAAAATGCGTCTTCACATGTCAACAAAAAGCTCCCCATTGATCATGGCAAGTATGAATAAATAAAAATAAAAAAAAAGGGGCAACCAGCTTGAGTCAGCCTTTCTTGGCATTATTAGATAGTGAGGTCCTGATCCCTTGTTATCATCTCTAGGCATCGTCCTCGAGGTCGTCCTAGAAGTCGTCCTTAAGGTTGTCCTAGGCGTCGTCCTCTAGGCGTCATCCTTGAGGTCGTCCTCGGCGTCGTCCTAGGAGTCGTGCTCGATGTTGTCCAAGAAGTCATCCTAGAAGTTGTCCGAGTGGTTGTCCTGAAATCGTCCTTGAGGTCGTCCTAGAAGTCCTGGAGGGCGTCCTCTAGACATTGTCTTTGAGGTCGTCCTAGAAGTCGTCCTTGAGGTCATCCTAGACGTCATCCTCTAGGAATCATACTCGAGGTTTACTTGAAGTGGATGGGCTCTACAATTTTTATTGTCCAAATGTCCTGCAACTTCTTTATGTATGGAGGCATTTTTCCTCGTTCTTTCACTTCGATACATTGCCTAAAATACGTCTTTGAATGGCCTGTCTACCGTCCCGTCCTGCCCGTGCGTCAAAAGTAGCTCCGAAGTGGCTAGAAAATGCGTCCCAGGAACCGGCATGTCGTGCTGTCGGACATAGCGATCCTGGTGGTTGGTAATGGAAATACCAACACAAAAGGCGAGTGGACGCGAGGGTTGCTCTCCTCGCAATGTCTCGAATTGCTGCCGTTTTGGTTTCCGTCGGCCGTCTGGTTGCGGAGCGACCAACAGCAAAACTGTTGTCTCCTGTGCCACCGCTAGGATAGCAGCAGGCAACAGCTTGACACTTTGGTGATGTCATCGGGCGGAAATCGAAGGACCACATCTGAGGACGCGGTAAACACTCCAGTCGGAAATTCTCTCCACGTGCCGTGGCACCGGTGCAAAGCAGCGAAACTCAATGCGCGTGCTGCTGTGAGGTAGGGAAGCTTGGCGCACGCGCCGGTGCAACGCGATGAAGCTCGATGCATGTGCCGGTGCGAGGCCGCGAAGCTTGATGCGTGCAACTGTCCCGTGCGGTGAAGCTTGACGCATGCGCCGATGGACAGGGGTGAAGCTTGACGCACGCGTTGGTGCAAAGCGGTGAAGCTTGACGCAAGCACCGGCACAAAGCAGTCAAGCTCGACGCGGTGCCGGTGTTTAGCCTGAAGCTGTTTGTTTATGTGCAGTCGCCACGGGGGCCACCGCATGGGCCCCCAGCTGGAGCGCCTGGTGCCCCTGGTGGTGTCATACTGCGGCCTGGAGGACGACGAGCTGCGCGAGCACTGCCTCCAAGGCCTGGAGAGCCTGCTCAGGCGTTGCCCCAAGGAGCTGGCCCCCCACGTCCCCACGGTGAGAGAACGAAGCCTCTCCCCCTTAGAGGGGGGGTGCACAAACTTGCAGAACTCGAGGTTTAGAGTCGGACCATAATGTCCCCAGGTGGCAGGGCAGAGAAATGTTTAGGGGCCTAATTTAGGCCTAATAAGGTTTTGCTTCAAAGCATTAGTTAGTGCCAAAGTACAGTGCTCAACGAAACGAAACAGACCAGCAGAGCACGTGGCCTCGCATACCTGCTGTGACATCTGCCGGGAGAAGTCGTGTAGTTTGGCTTCGTGAGTCGCGCATGCGCATAGCTGAGCCAAGCAGTCGGCAGCTGTTTGCGCTCGGGGTGCAATCCCTGATGTGACTACAAAGAATGAATTTCGAGCTTAACCGCTTTTGTTAATCATTGCGTGACACTCACACTTTTTATCTGTCCTTCAAGGTGTAAAGTTATATTACCCCAAATAAATTTAAAAAAAAAATAAATAAAGAAAAAAAGGAAGACATTTTATTTGTTCAGTCTACCAAAAGGACACACACGCCTTGACACTACACATCTATTTAATGTGAACAGTGACATCACTGTAAGTTGTGGTCACTTTTTTACAGCTTTAACATTTGGAAACAGATAAATCTGCTTTTGCTACTGCAAAGAAGGAAAAAAAAAAATCAGTAGCCATTCCACTCTATGTAGGTGGATGACCAGCGAACCTGTTTAGCACACGACACAGACGTGACACAGAATTTTGAACGAAGGTACGAACACATTTATTGTCTTGGTCGGAAGTCACCGTGAGGAAAGAATACGCACAGATTAATTTGATGCATTCTCCACCCTGCGACATTCGTCTTCTTGTCTGGTTAGCAGCATGTGCTTGCCATTTTACGCACAATCTTCATCAGTGGTGTTTGCCGCCCGCTGCCACCATTGCCACTGACATTTTCAGTGGCATTCCCACATTTGCTCTTCGTAGGCGCGTTGCTCTTCGGGATTACGGACTATGTGCGGCCTCCCCATTACAACGAGAGAAGTGAAACAGACCTATTGCTAAATTACCCAAGCATCAAGAGGAATGCAGGGAATGGTGTTCCACATGCCGTAGGTACTGGCATCTGCAGCTGTAACTGTTCTAAAGCAAAAGCCTAAAACAAATGGCATCTTGTACATGCGTTCGTCAACACTTTATTTTAGTTATTTATTTTGTATCTTTTATACGGGGAAGGTGTGTGCGCAGGCACGTTCGTCAATGCTTTGTTTTGGTTATTTACTTTGAATCTTTTATACGGGGGAGGCGTGCGGTGCGAGTGTAGAGTTTTTTTGGTCACGCTCATGAAAAATCTATAGAATCCTAGCCATAAACAGTTTCGCTGTAAAAAGGTGTCATGTTGCAAGCTCATGGCCAGCCTTGAGCAGCTATCAGGGGTTGTGCCCTGAACACAAACAGCCGCAGAGTGCTTGGCTCAGCTGTACACATGTGCAACACACGGCACCAGATATACTGCTTTTCCTGGTAGATGTTGCCACAGGTATGCGAGGCCATGCGCTTCGCTGATCCATTTAGTTTCGTTGAGCACTGTACTTTGGCTTTTCTATGGCTTTTTTCTTGTTTTTAGATAATTGCCAGTGTGCCAGACTTCAGCCAAAGATGCCACATATCAGCCGAACAACCAGTAGCGAAGCTTAATTCGGCACTTGTTTTGCCACATGAAAAGCGAACAACCAGAAGCGAAGCCTAATTCTGGCACTTGTTTGGCGATTTACCTGTTGACATCCAAACTGCCATGCAGTGAAGCAAGCCTAACTTCGCCACTCGTTGGTGACTTAGGGCCAAGATACCTTGACTCGGTCCAAAGAATGTCAATTTTGAGCTCTACCTTGGCTTCTTTTGACTTTTCAAGTTCCCGAACTTCCAGACAAAAACCAGATTTCGGCCGAAAAAAGTATGCTACCTCGGTCCTTGTCCGACGGCCTCTCGGAGCGGTAGATCCACGATAAAAAAATCCGGAAAGAAGGCGTGTGCCTGTCCGACCCTATCACTCTTAGCTAAAAAGCCCTAGTTTTTGGAATATCTATACTACCAACACACTCCAGAGACTCTTTTGAAAGGTGGGGAAAAGTCAGAAAAGACTGGCGCTCAACAGTGAGGAGTTGAGAGTGTGAACTGGTAGCGAGTGACGTTCCCCTTCTTATGCTCCAGATACTGAAGATTTGCCTGGAGTACCTGTGCTACGACCCAAACTACAACTACGATGACGAGGAGGACGACAACTCAATGGACATGGACAGGGGTGACACGGATGGGTGAGGACCCCTTACATAAGGGGGCATGTCAAAATACAGCCCCGCCTTGCTGTAATGTGACCCCGAGTTTTGTCACAACGCGGCCTTTTATCCTGTCTGAGTAGCTTCCACAAACCAGCAACGAGTTTGTCATAAAGTTGAACCCCATTGGAGTTAACGCCACTTCGTCAAATTTCTGCAACATTGAAGTATTTTCGGTGTCCCATTTGTTGTCTGCAAATGATAGTGTATAAAATTTTCATCCACAATGAACAACTTTTTAAACACGGCCTCACTTGAGTAAAGCTTTTCTGGGAGAAAACTAAACTCGGTCGTCTATATTATGAACTAAGGAAATATAAAATCCTCTTTCTGTTTGGTATTGTGGCTGGAGATTGCACCGAACGGCCAAAGAATGCACAGGTGTCGTGCAAACTGCTGTTTGGAGGCTGGAACATTGTTTGAATGGGATGATGATGTTGCAGAATGATCCACGAGAGCTCCAAAGCCTCCAAATTGCTTCCAAACACGAGGAACGTAAGAAACCCTGGTTTGCATCGGGTTTGGGCTTGTGGCAAGCCAAGCTAAATCTGCACAAGATCTGTTGGTAGTGCGCAAGCAGTGCACAAGGTTCTGGTCGGTGCCAGTACACGCGTGACTTCGCACAACGATTTGGCGTGGTTTGCCACACAAGCAGACTGTTTGCAACAGCAAATGCTATCAAATGTGACAGCATGGTACATTAGTGTAAGTAGAGAAAACGCAGTGTAGACCGCATATAACATATGTCGCGGGAGTCGCGTAAATCCGCACTATAAGCGGTATCGCGCTATAACCAAAACATCAATTTTTCAGGCCAAAACACATGCCATGAGACAACTTACCTTTGTAAAAGAATTTATTTTATATTAGATGGAAAATAAAGGTTAGTTTGAGGAAAGTCTTTATTTCACCAGACTAGTACACTTCTATCTCAAGTGTGTCACACATTTTGAAAGAAATGAGCGACTTTTGCCTGGTGTAGCCTTTTAACGGCGTCGCGGGTTGCGGATGGACGTTGCGAGCGTTCAGGATTGCTAACCCTAATCATTTTTCTCCGGTGATGAAAACGCGTGAAAATTCGCATCCTTTATGCGGTATGCGCATGAAATGCGCCAAATAAGAAATCCAGGCGATGTTCGAAAACACGAATGCTTAGAAAGCACCACTATTCGAAGTAAACAAACACGACGGCACGGGTGTTTCTGCCGTCTTGAGAGTGCCGCCACAACATCGCCGCACGAGTAGGTGGATCTTCCCTTCTAGTATGTGCTGGGTTATCATAGCGACACACAACGAAAATTCACAGTCAAGGATAGCGCTTTTACGCGGAACGATGAGCTTCCGCTACGCCGTCGACGTCGATGATCACCACCGACGCCATGTTTGCGGATAGAAGAAGCCGGCCCGCGACCGGCATGCAACGCGCGTGAACGGCTGTTTGGGCTCGGTTGGGCTCGCCAACGCCTTGCTGGCCTTGCGCCGTGAACCACACGTGCGTGCATCCCTCCGTCGCTATGGCAGCTGAGGCCTCTCTCTTCGCTTCTCCCCGCTTCTTCGAGCAACCTCCTTGCCATCCTTGCCCCCGCGAGTGACACTTGCGGCTAGCGCCGTTATCTGGTGTCGCATAGGGAAGCGTGCTTGCTGCACCGGTCGATCGGCGCGTCAGCACGCTGCTCCAGAAACCGCACTATAACCGGTATTTCCCTTCGCGCGCCTGCATTTTAAGCGGTATATAATTACATGGAGTTCTATGGGAGGCGAACCGGTGGTTTAAAAAAGCCGCGTTATACCCGGTCCTGCACTATAAGCGGTTACGTTGTAAGTGGTCTATACTGTGTACCATATTTACGCGATTGTAAGTCGACCCATCTTTCAGTTGTTTTTTTTTTAAATCTGAACTGCGGTGTTGATTTTTAATTAAAACCAAAAGATCCAACCACCCACAAAGCAGAAACGGGCACAATATCGAGAACAGCGTGGTTTTCTATGGGTTCAGCTGGCTGTACATATAGCATTGCGCCATTCTGTGTGCTAAATTCAAGATTCTTATTTTTATATCTTTTTTCATCGGCACGAAACAGTATTACAATTACGGTGATACTATTTAGTGTTTGTTTTTAGTTGGCGTAACACGCCTAAAGGCGTCCGTCGTAGTATCGGTGATCACTCAAAAAAAAAAGATTGCCTCCCGCTTTCAGGAATCGAACCTGGGTCCGCTGCACGCGAAGCGCGCGCATTCCTGCGAGGCTACATTGCGGCATCGGCAATCCGCTCTATTTTACAGTTTTTGTGGAACAAACATGAGTATGTCCCGCGTAGTGCCCGCTAGACAGCCACAGTTGCCGCCACGACGCAATCGAAAATCGTACGTCATTCTTAATTAATTCCAAATACAACGGAGGTAAATTTTGAGATTGAATGCTTCGGCTAGGCGTTTCGAGCCACCGCCCGACCAAGAGGGCTCGACCATATCCATCCTTCCGACACCCACCTAGAAGAAGGGAGCGCACATTGTATCATTGTCGGTGGATCTCCGAGTTGTCCCATGTGGCAGGCGTGCCGAATCTTGACGAGAGTATGGCGCGGGGCAGCGTCGCATGTCTTTGGGGGTTTCTTTTTCTTAGGATTCGGAGGTGCTTTTTCAAGATAAATTTTTGTTGCCGAACAAAAAATCTGCATTTATCGCACCCTATTTTAAAGGAAACTGGACACTAGCGTAGGATTCTCCAAATTCCAGAGAACACGCACGGGACCCAAATACTTTAACGTTGCGTTACCAATATTGGGGGAAAGTTCCTTGTCGGTAGTACTTTGAGTGACTACAATGTAAAGCTTACTTTTCATGAAGCATGGGTTTTTCTTGTTCAAGGTTTTTCTTATTCAAGGTTTGAGGCTTTTCTTGTTCAGCTCTCATTTGGTTTTTTTCAGTTTTCCCTAATTTCAACAAAAACGGCTCGGGTTTTTTATTCACGGTTATTTGATATGCACTGGAAGCACAGAACCCAGCCTATACATCGCCGTACTTCAGCCACTTTTCAGGGCGTTTACCTTAAAAAAAGGCCGGACAATGTTTCGTTTAGTCGTGGGATCTGCGTGGGACGCATTCTGTTTCACATCCCTTGGACCACGGCCCTTTGTGCACTTTGCAGGGAGAGCGAGGAGGAGTACAGTGACGACGACGACATGAGCTGGAAGGTGCGCCGGGCAGCGGCCAAGTGCCTGGAGGCGGTCATAGCGACGCGGCACGAGATGCTGGACGAGTTCTACCGCACGGTGTCGCCGGCCCTCATCGCCCGCTTCAAGGAGCGGGAGGAGAACGTCAAGGTGGACATCCTGCAGGCCTACGTGGCCCTGCTGCGGCAGACCAAGCCCCTGCTGGCCCAGCAGCAGACGCTCACCCCTGCAGACCTGGCCAACGCCGAGGGCACTCTGGCCCTGGTTGCGGCCCAGGTGCGTGTGCCCAACGAGAGCGGCCCGGAGTTGCCGTGCTCTAGACTCTGTCCACCCCTAAGTTGACGGTGTGGCGGGAGTTACGAGCTTGCTGGACCAATCTACCGCCTCTCTTTCGTCACCCGACCACTCTCTTCTCGTGAGGATGGGCGAGAGCACAATCGTGTGGCAAGAGATATATGTATAACCAGTCCAGTAAGGCTCTTTTTCTTCAGAAAAATGTCTGCAATTTAAGAAGCATGGTTCCTGTGACGCGCCCCCGACCAGCCTTGAGTGCGCCTCCATCAGTAGAGACGTACCACAGTACCTTATTGTGTCATATTGGCACTTAATATGACATTTGCACTTATTGTGTAAATGCAAAAATATTATCCCGCGAAATGAAATTCACCCCCCAAATAGGTGTCAATTTTTCGGGGGGGGGGGGGGGGGGGGGGGAAATGTGTTCATTATGCGAGTAAATACAGTATTTGCTTAGCTTGGAAATTATTTGATTCGGTTTGAAATCATTCGAAGAAAGGAACTTTTCACTTCGTATTCGCTTCAAAGTGAAAAATCATTCCGTGCACACCCCTAAAGCCTTTGCATCCACCCACCATGCCTCCGACAGGCTCTCTGGCATCTTGGTGCACTCGCGTCTCGTCCGCCCCCTGGGTTTCTCTCCGTCCATTGGTACGCCTGTCCGATTTCCCAGGTGGGGCCCCTGGTGCGTGCCCTGGGCCGTCCCCTGCGGGAGAAGGGGCTGAAGACGCGGCAGGGCTGCCTGTGCCTGCTCACGGAGCTGCTGCTTGTCCTGCCGGGGGCCCTGGCCAACCACCTGCCACAGCTGCTGCCAGGGCTACAGTTCTCCCTCGTCGGGTGCGTATGGCTTCACACTTGCGCAGTTTGGGACCGCTTTCGACACACGGGCGAAATGGGACGCCAAACGGGACGGTCGGAGACGCGTTCCACGGTGGCGGGGCGTGTCTGCGAGGTGACGGCGGACCCTTGCGGCTTTCACCGTACCGACAGGTTTCCTCTTGCAGGGACAAGAACTCCAGCTCCAACATGAAGATTGACACGTTGGCGTTCCTGCACTGCCTGCTGACGTACCACAGCCCCAGCGTTTTCCACCCACACATCAACACCCTGGTGCCCGTGAGTCTCTTCTCGTGTTGGGCTGCAAGTAAGGGTTGGCACCATGTTTTTCCGAGAATTTTGCTGGACCACTCCTATAATCCGTTGCAACTCAAGAAAGTAGGGCGAGGGTAAGGCGGGCCGGGGAGGAGGAAGCAGACGAAACGCTGGAGAAGAGAGGGGGAAATGTCCTCCTCTCTCTAGCGTTCTGCCTGCTTCCTCCTCCCCTGCTCGTCTTACTCTCGCCCTACCCTCTTGACTTGCAACGGACTATAAGGCAGTAAACCCTCGTTAACTCGAAGTCGTAAAAACGGGAAAAAAAATTTGAAATAAGCAGAGTTGCGAGACAAGCGGGGTACCGATTGTTTATTGCACTGATCACACGTTGTACGAATGGTAGCCTTTGAACGATTGCATCAGTTGACACTCGCACGGCGCGCGGTGCCGTGGGGAGAACAAAACAACCGCAACGAAATTATCAACAAGCAACACTCATAAGATGAGACATCAAGACCAGGAACCAAGAACGCATAAACAAAAAAATGCCTAAAAACCCACAAAAAAAAACATAGAATCACAATACGTGCAAAAGCTTTCCTGTATGTGTGTTGCATTGTGCAGTGGCCACTGAACTTCAATGAAACAAGTAAACTCATTTCATCTCTCACGATAGTGCTCTAGGCGGAACCTGGACCTTCCACTCCGTGACGAAGCGGGCAATGGAAGGGCCCAAGCATGGGAGGCCGTTCGCTTGGGTCCATAATCGTCGCCGGACTGGGTACACTTAGCCAGTTTTGCCGACCTCCTCGCTCAGTGATACATAGGTGACTGCCCAAGCCGTTGGCTCTTTCAGCTTAACGTTTTGCAATATGCAGCTATGGAGAGAAGAATGATATGCCCTCTGAACAAGCCATTTAGTAACTGATGGCTTCTACAGTCGCCCGTGCAGCAGTTGACTGGTGTCGATGAGCATTGGTTGCCTGACCGACAAGATATCTGGTGTACCAGGCCCAGCCTCGATTTTGACCTTGAGCGAGTATCCTCCCCCGTTCAAGCTGCTTCGCTGTGCAGTTCGTCGTGAGATAATTGGTTTTTTACCGCTGGGATAGTGATCCCGTGAGGTGAGACACAGTTTGTGCGTTCCGTACAAGGTAGGGGACCACTGTACATGCATGCCAATGAAGGTCACTTCGTGCTAGGACGGTGGATTCTTGTGGATGCTGAATTCTTGAGACAAGATATCACTAGCTATGTCCTGCCTGTACCTTCGCGTGACATCGGCACTGGCAGCTGCTTTTGTATTAGCAATGTTAACTTGCCGGGAGCTCAAACTTCGCAACGAAGTGACGAGGAACGGCTCGTTCGAACCGTTTAGGATTTTTATTCTTACATTCGTCGGACGATGGAAGTTTTTGCGAGCACAAAAAAAGTGGCCTCGTCGGGACGACTTTTTTGTTTCTGATGGGGCGCCTTCTTTGTGTTTTGTTTGCAGCCCATCATTCATGCGGTGGGTGACAGCTTCTACAAGATCACCTCTGAGGCCCTGCTGGTTCTTCAGCAGCTGGTGAAGGTCCTTCGTCCGTTGGGTGAGTGCCGAACGAGCTAACTGCCCGACGGTTCCTCCGCGTATGAGTGTTTATTTTCGATGCTGTTTGAGCCACCACTTTCCCTGGGTTGATAATGGGATGGCTGTGCCATTTGGGCCAAACTGCTGCAAAGGACTTGCCCCGCTACATCCTGCTACATTTTACGAAAGTGTCGGGAAAGTGTATTGCCACTTCACCGAAAGTTAGTTTTGCTTTCTCGGTACTGGAGCTTGTAGCCCGGGCCCCACTACGGTGCCGGATTGTCCCGGTAGACCTATGCTAAAGTTTAAAAGATTCGATTCTTGCTCCGAATGGCATACAATTCAGGTCGATATTCGTATTGGCTTCGGGTGTGTTCAGATAAGGACGGTCATGGGGTGTTGTGCCTACTTTTTGTTTTCAATTAAATTTTTATTTGAAGTAGCAAAACATGTCCAATTACAAAACAGAACTTATTTTTGCAAGATACTTTTTTGTTTTCGTTAAAACAAAAAGTCATGTCTGAGAGGAGGTGGAACAATTTTACCGATTGTGCCTAGACGGTACCTCGAGGGCCACAGAAATAAAGTATACAAATTTATACACCGTAAATATTTTTATGTACAAAGCACGCCAACTGTTCTACATTAATTAGAGTCTGGCTGAAAATTTTAGGAAGGCATATTTATCACCTACATGCTAATATTCCATCATCCCAAAGCTCTACCCATAAATTGCCCTCGGTGCGCCTAATTTAACTTCAAAAGCTGCTGCTTTTCAACCAAATTTTGAAGTGCACAGCTGTATTGCAACTGTGGGCCCTCCAACAAAATGTGAGGGAGTCCTGAGCCGGTTTGCTGGTGTATCTGGCTATCTCTCCCAGCGTTTCGAAGAGCCACGACGAATTTTGAGGGCCACGTGAGTGGCTCTGCAGGGAGAAAGTATCTGGCGTTCCAGCCGATTCCGCTCGGCCTTGCTCATCGTTTTCTTCAATTCTCGCTTAACACGACGTCCCTCAGAAATAAACCTACATGCCGCTGCTAAAGTACATGAATGTGGTTTGTTTCATTAGCATTTCAAGCCCGTTCATCCTTTTTCTGCACGCAATATTGGACTCGAATGATCAAAGCGAGGATGGACTTGCGGCAACCTAGAACACTGGTACCTTTAGTTTCTTGTCCCCGTGGAGCCTGTCACATGACCTTAAAATCCTTCTTGCGGCTACAAGGCCGAGACGGTCCTGGGAGAGGGCACCAAAGTGACTGTGCCCTTTCTTCCCGACAGAGGGGACAGAGCCTGCATTTGCCTTCGAGCCGTACGTGGCAGACATCTATCAGTGCACCCTGGCCAAGCTGAAGGCAGCCGACATCGACCAGGAGGTCAAGGAGAGAGCCATCACCTGCATGTGAGCCGTCTTTTCGGCTTTGTGTCAACCCCGCATCAAGCCCGTATCGGCCTCTTCTTTAGCGTCCTGAAAGCAGCGCTCCCATTTTCTGGGGGTGACAACAATTCTGAGTGAAGGACTGTGATCATCTCAGGCATCGGGGACGCGTTTACCGGTTCCGTCATCTGCAGTATGCTGCCTGAAACACGTCTTTCCAGCTGCTGCATTCAGTGTGTCTTTTCTTTGTGCATCCAGCGACGTTGCGACCATCGTATTGCCGTTCGCCGCTATCCTAGCGGTAAAAGGTGGATGCCGCAGATGCCCGTTTGGCTGTAGCATGCAATGCAGACGGCCGGCCGACCAGCGGAAACTCCCGGGGGCAGTTTGTCGACGAATCCGGGTATCTTGCCCGGTGGCTAAAATGCTTGCAAGAGGTATTTTCTAGTCACGTGACCGGCTTCATGGGGACAATGTACCTATAAAAAAAGCTCCGCATCTACTATTTTGTTTCTGCTACCTAGTCTTGGCTAGTGTCCCTTCTGCAGCACTGCTGCGAGAGCAAGTGGCTTCATCTTGCGTCTCGTTCGCAAGCACTCTCGTGCGGGGGAGTAGGCAAACGAAGCGACGCGCTCACGCAAGTATCTCTCAGAGCGTTGGAGCACCACGAAAAATCTGCGCCAGCCTCGACTTTGCGGCGCAAAATTGTTGACACCGGGATGGGCATTTCGTCCTCGCTTCAAATATTCAAGTCCGCTTTTGCGTGCAGGAAAAGGGTGAACACGCTTGAAATGAAAATGAAACGAATAGCTTTCGTGTACTTTAGGAGCGGCGTGTAAATTTATGTTATTTCTGGGAATGATTGTGTTAAGGCAAGGCTTGGCTAGTGGAATCGGCTGGAACGTTAGGTACTTCCTGCCCTTAGAGCCGGTCACGTGACCAGAAAATTCCGCTTGCAGCTATGTTAGCCACTTTAAAAGTGGTCTCAAGGTGGCAACAAATTACGTCACAGGAGCCAGCATGTCACGCCACCTGATGTCGCGATTTTGGCAACTATTCGTAGAAGGTCCGGCAAAAAAGACGAACAAACGCAAGTGTCGCTTTGTCCCGATCCCCTGCCGCCGAAGCTTCTCTGGGCTGCATCACGGGCCAGAAATTAAGGGACCACAAATGGGGAATGGAAGAAAAAGGCCAGTCGAAGTTTGTTTGAGGCACCATAATTTGGAAACACGGTTGTGGCGTTGTTTGACGCCAGGACAGTTGCTATGATCGATTTACTGGTTGTCTAGCAACCAGGGAAACCGGGGATTGTCAGGGAAATTTTAATCACCGGGAAAAATCAGGGAGTTGTCAGGGATATTGTCAAAAAGCGAGCCCAGTCAGGGAAAATGAGCCGGAAACGCCATTGAGTGCCCTGAGCAAAGGCTTGAGGACTTGGGGGCAGAAAAATAGGCAATAAACTCTGCTTAGAGCGGAGTGCGGGCTCTGCTCACCCGATGTAGAGTGTGCTACCCGATGCAAAGGGAACAGTCGACAAATCCAGTGCAAGCCTTGGATTGGATTGGATTGAGGGCATGACACTAGGCTAAATCCAGTTAGAGCTACTAGTTTTAGTAACAAATGGCAAAGCTGCAGACCCCAATCCAATCCAAGCCTTAAGCCGAAAGCTTGCATCTGGCGGTGCTGGCGGCCATGCTGTCGTTTGGTCATGGACATGTGTGGTTGAGCGTGGTGTTTTTATTGTGTTTCCGGAAGTGGGGGCCTCTTCACTGACGATGTTGACGCAAAGGAAGTGCTCGTTTAATCCAGACTGGACGAACCAGAATATTTCGGAATATGCAAGTTGGATTAAGTCCGTGCAAAATGATCCTCTCAGTGCTTAAAGGGGCGGTGCAATGATTTTAACACTGAACGAATGTGCAGCTTGTATTTTTTATATTGTTTACTTCGGCATAAGTAAGAGAAAAAGTGCCACCATACCCAAAAATACCTCTATTTCGCTGCATAATCGCAAAATAAAAAACACTTTTTTTCCCAACCTGCGGCCACATGGTGGCCGCAAATGGAACCTGTGGTGTGACGTCATTCGGAGTGGTTTTTGTAAGTGATAGTGTTAGGCAATTGTAAGCTTGATTTAAGGTTAAGTTTAAAAATCTTGTTGTTTAGGCATGCAGAAACGCTTCAAAAGCCTAATATTGCCGCTAAAAGGGTATGAATTATTTGTGGCGCCATCTACCGCAAGTCAACAAAACCTGCCGTCGCCATCATCCGTCGACGCCAGAGGCGCTTACGGCGGCTACACGAGCAACCCGGACGTTTTGTCTTTCCCTCGCTCGACGGAGTGCGTTGGTCGTGGTCCGTAGTATCATGGTATCGTTATTGTTCCTGGTGTCTCGACCTCGACTTCGACTGCCCGCCGCACAAGTCCAACTGACTTACTATACGCAAGCATCTTGCGCTCGACGTCGCTCAGGCCGTCCGCCCATGCTGCCATGTTGGTCGGGAATCGGTGGGAGAGCGGGAGAGCTGCGAGCCTGGCGAGCCGGCGAGCACTGGGGAAACGGAAGCCAGAAGAACCCAACCGGAAACCAACGCCACTTCGAATGACGTCACAGGCGAAGCTGGTGCTGCTTCAATGTTGAGTTGAGGGGTGCCAGAGATACCAATTTCTTTTATTTTTTTTAATGAAAACTAGGGCAAGCAGGAAAGAATAGTTTTCGGTCCTTCGTTTTATATGTGGCCGGGATCGATTCCCGCAATTAATTAGCCAAAGTCCGCAAATTGTTGCACCTCCCCTTTAATGCTCAATGCCTTGTGTTGTAATGGTCTTACACAGTCGAACCTCGATATAACGAACTTCAATGTAACAAAATCCTCGATTTAACGAAGTATTTTATTTTTCATAATTTCTTGCCCATAGACCCCAGGTATTTTTAGTCTCTATATAACGAAGTCTATTTTGCTGCTATTTCAATGTAACGAAGTGCCATTGCCATAGAAGGCAGTAAAAAAATAAATAAATAGACTAAAGAACAACTTCGCAAAAAAATTGTGGTTAAAAAAAAAGTTATGCGCAAACGCGAGCGCTTGATAGGTTACTTCACGGCGACAGGCCTTCCAACGTTCCTAGGCTGCCCGAGGATGCGGCAAAGCGCATTCCGCGGGGCTGGCCAGAAAATGCCGAGCAAAAAGTTAACATGGCATAACAGCACCACCACTGACATTCACTGATCATCATAGTCCACTGTACCGCGAGTAGCGCGGGAGCCAACTTCAGCGGGGGAGCAACGTGATGGCGCGACCGCTCGGGCAGTGCCATCTAAAAGAAGACCAATTATCGTCTTGCGAGCGTGATGTAAAGCAAAGGCGCAAGCACACTCCGGGCGCAAGGGGGCAAGTAAACTGTGCGGGCAAGAGTGCTGTGTAGGTTGGAAACATTGGCACCGCCTAAACAGCTTTATTCTTCAACTGGGCGGTTCACTCACGTGCTTGCTGCCATAGGGAAACGTAAAGTTCTTTCTTTGGATGAGAAAGCAAACGTTTTGGACGCCATCCTGAAGAAACTGCCGAGATCACGAGCACTCGGGAAGTGCTCGACGCAATGGACGTACTGAGGAGGTTCACGGCATCATTTGGGCAGCAAGATGCCGTGCAAGCGTTCTGGGCGCTCGAACGCCGTATGACGCCGCTGCTACTGTCGAACAAGGCGCAACCAAAACTCGCGGACTACTTTGCCCCTAAATAAATGTCATTTTCGGTGAGTTTTCATACCCGTAAAATGTTTCGGAATTTTTTTTTGCATGCTAAAGCCAAATTTCGATTTAGCGAAATTTCAATGTAACGAAGTAAATTGCGAATTTTACCGACTTCGTTACATCGAGGTTTAACTGTATATTTAACCGCCTCTACAGTGGTCAGGGAATTTCGAAATAACTTGCTAAGCACCCTGGATTTAGCCACACCTCCTGCACCAGCTGCATCGGGTGCACACTGTAGTAAAGTCGAATCTCTCTAATTCATACTCGAGGGGGACCAAAAATTTGTTTGAAAAAAGCAGAGTTTGAATTACCGGGAGTTTCCTCCCATAGAGACACATAGGATGGGACTTGCATGTTAGTTTGAATTATCCGCAAGTTTGAATTAACGAGATTCGACTGTATTCAATTTACAAGTGCAGTCCATCTTGGAACGCATTCCGGAAATGCACTGCATGCAGTTTCCTGCACCGGTGTAGGCTGGTGCAGGTAAATCGATTGATACTGGTGAGACTGTCTCTTTCAGGGGCCAGATCCTGTGCCACCTGGGAGACCGGTTGCAGCCGGAGTTGGCGGTGTGCCTGCCCATCTTCCTGGACCGGCTGCGCAACGAGATCACCCGCCTCACCACCGTCAAGGCGCTGACCAGGGTGGCCGGGTGAGTGGGCCCCTTGCACCATGCTCGCCATTTGGGGCCTCCAGCAACCCGATTGCTACGCCACCGTGCTCACCTCCTCTGGCTACGCTAATTGCCGAGCCATTACAGTGGGCACTGCAAATATTCTGGACTTTTGAGTGCAGACTCGAAAAAGGGGCTGCTTTACCACGTTGCTTTGCTGCAGGCTACGTTGTAATACGGCGGTATTTCAACGTTTCTTCTGTGAAGGTCATATTCCGCCGATTAAAGTGAGATGGCCTCGTTTCCTCACCCGACCCTCGAAAGTAGAACAATCCCACTATGCTGCTTTCCCCCAAAACGCCATTCTTTCTTTTCTGACATCTCGTTGGCACGACAAACACGCAGAGCCTCAATGGGCTGCCGCCTTTCCTTTCATCGGTGTCCTCTTCACTCCGTTCTGTTCTCGTGTGGGGCATTGCGAAGACGACCAGAGCACTTTCAGCAAGGATATGACTTGAATCATGAACTCCCTTCAAAAGTGTGCCCTCTGTTGGAAGCTGCGGGATCCCTGCACGATGCCGGACGCAAGCACAAACTTTTTGCGTACAACCGCACCTCGGCTGTACGAGCCCTTGTGCAGTGGGAACAGGAGTCAAAGCTGCCTGCTCGCACCATGTGCACATTTCACGGTGTCGGTTGGCGAAAAAATTAGTATTGCAGTTAATATAACTGTCACTTTAGAAGTCTCCCTCTTGGCATAGTGGTTGAACAAAGGGGTTAGGACACTAAAATTAAACAGGTAGAATTATCATTGAAATGGAATGCTCATAGGCTACTTAGTTGTACACCTCTTGCACAAGGGCACAGCCATCTTGATTGTCATCACTTCTGACATGCTTTAAAACATCTTTTGACCTCTCCACGCCGCTAGAAAGTGTTCACTAAAAAGGTGTGATTGTTGCACATTCTTGTTTTGCCTCACTTATATTTTCTCGCATATTCCAGGTTCAAATGTCTTGTTATTTTTTCGTCCCGCATACCAGATACGGAACCCACGTGACTGAGAACGAGAGAAAACAAAAAGCGTCTGTTTACACCAAGTTTTATGATTTTTAGGGCTCTAGTAATTACAAAATTCACAGGGTCTCTTGAGTTATCCCTAAGACGACTTGAAGGCGAAAGCCCAAGAGCCGATGTAAACATGATAGCGAACCTCCGAAGACAGCGCGCTTTGTGACTACACACTTTTGGCGCCGTTTCATTGGCTCACTCGGATTGTGGCTTCTGCTGTGGTCCCGGTGATAGCGAACCTCCAAAGACAGTGCGCTGTCTGAGGACGCACTTTTGGCGCCGTTTCATTGGTACCTTTTGCTTTGGTACCTTTCATGTTGCCGACTTGTTTCCATACTTCTCGTGTCGCCAACGTGTTTTCGCTCAAGGACTTTGAAGGTCAACTGAACGTTGAGACATATAAGGCTTTCGCCTTAATAATCAATTTACGAATTTTGTTCATTTTGATCTGGCAACCAGGCAACACTGCCCAAGTTAGTCACACCATGGTGGCCATGAACCATGTTATCATGAACGCTCTTTTATTCTAGCTGCCCCCATGATCGTCCAAGCTCACCTCGCCGCTGTACGATCAAAAACACTTGCGCAACTCGGCAATGCCAATGCTATTCTCACTGTCGCCCCGGCCTTATGACCTTGCACCCTGTATGCACCTGCGAGATTGTCTCGCACGACTGCAACCACGGCGAGTTCGTCCATGACTCGTCGTCACTGGAGCTGGTTGCCAGCGGGTGGCAGTCAAAATGGCCAGCTTGCAATATCTCTTGATAACAATCACTTTCATCGCTGCTGCGATCAGTGTCAAAAGCTTCGACGAAGCGAGCGATGCCGTAGACGTAATATTTACGGACCGCATGCTCAAGACGCGGACGGTAAATGAGGAAGCTGAAGCTCGAGAGGCCAAGAGAGCCAAGTTTGGTTGTGCGTGAAAAAGGACGCTGCGCGGAGGGCAGGCGACATCGCCGACCCGCGAACCACGGCAGCCTTTTCAAAAGGGGCAGATCCGAGGGTTCCTCATATAAATTGATTTATCCTTCAATCTATGGCGTCATTTTCAAAGCAAATTTAGCAGGATTCTAGCAAGATACAATGGGTTCTGGCAGTATAGTTATCTCATATTTTATTTTTGGCTTGTCCTAACCTCTTTAAAATACTAAAAGATCAAAATCGTTTTTTTTTTTTTTTTTTTTTTTTTATTATTATTTGTAACGATTGAAATTGATGCTTGGACATGACCCTCAAAATTCAAAGCTTGGGAACTCTGTACTTGTGAAGTAAAAAAACAACTTCGAAAAGTTGAATTTGAAGTTCCCGCACGATCCGTGCGAGTACAGTGGCGTCAAAGATTGAGTCGTCTTGTAACTCGAGTTTCTCTCCAGCGTCCGTGATCAACTGCGCTTCTCCGTGCATGCCGCCTATCACTGTGAGCAGACGACACTTCATTATTGAGTTTGAGTGTCTTTTAAGGCCCTTTCAGCAATCTCGAAATCTTTGATAGGTGCAAGGTCGAAGCGGACGCGCAGTGGACTTTTGTGAGAGACGTGAGGGGCCGTGTCACACGGTGCTGCATCAAAGGCTGCCCCGACAGAGTCACAACCGAAAGTATGGTGCACAGGCACCAAACCCAGTTGTTTGAACCGTTTGACGTTTTCCTTTTTGAAGTCTGAAAGGTCGTCGGGCACCGAAAAGAGAACTTCGTCAGGTTCCCTGACTCCTCTATCATCCTCAGTGCTACATGTGCCGACCGGCGCCTTGTTTTCTGAGGGAAGATAAAAATGCAGGAAGCGACATAATTTTCAGACTGATTTTCGATATTTCAAAGCAAGGGGTGTAGTGCATTTGCAATTGCATTAAGAAACATGTTTTACGTATACCATTATTAAGTATTATAAAAAAGTTGCTTACGAAGCTTCTAATTTTTATAATTCATTGCGTCACAAATAAAAAGAACCAAGGAGGTGAAAGGAAAGAAAGACAGTAAAAATTAAAAAAAATAAAAAAATGCATGTGCACGTGTAAAATATTTTTTTTTTTTGCGTGTGGTATTTGTTTGCGTGTTTATGACTAAAATTTGCACCATTTTAGTCAACTAAAAAGAAACAACCTTTGGGGTGTTAGTGCCCCTTTAAAGCCATTTCACACTGCACCATCAAAAAATTGTGCCAAATGACCAGCATAACTGAAGTGCCTGCTTCGTTGGTTGATATGGCATTGACATTAGATATGTCCTGATGAGGATGACTCAATGTACACATAGAACAGGTTGACGAAAACCACATGAACTCGGCAATATCAGTAGTAGTTTGACCGTACAGGATTTTGGACAGGGGAGGGAAGCCTGTCATCAGTGTGCCGTGCAGCTCCGTTTTCCCACTTGTCGGCTGTGCCGTGAGAAAGGCCGTTGATCACACGTGTGCAGGTCTCGACTGCACATAGAGCTGAGTCCCATGTTGCCCGACTGTGTCCCGGTACTCTCGTCGTTCCTGCGAAAGAACCAGCGGGCACTCAAGCTGGCCACCCTCACACTCCTGGACACCCTGGTCCGAAACTACAGTGCGTACAACTGGCCTTTTTCTTTGCCGTTAGGCCTAGGCGGGGTGTCAACCCGGGCTTTTTTAGTCGTTTTTCTTTCGCCGCCCTCCGGCGTCACCGAAGAAACCCTTTTCTGGAAGGAGGGGGGAACTGGTGGGAAAGTGCAAGTGGCCATCGATCTAGCTGGACATCCAAAAACGGAATGGGCCGCAAGACGACGCTGGCCCTACGTCGCCTGTGCCAATAGAGTGTTTTACGAGATTCAATTGCGTGGCAAGGTACAATCGGGATCAAAATGAGCTGGCTCGACAGAACAACGGCCAGAGCTGCAAAAATTTTGCATGGGGAGCCCCTGTCGCGATAAGCCATTGACAGCAAGGCTGGAACAGGCTGCTGCGATTTATTGCATGGGGGAGGTTAGTTGTAATGATGAGCCTTATGGGTAAGTGCTCAACAAGCCAACAACAACTGATAGTAGAACGAAAAAAACACAAATGGCACGATGATACATCAAAACCAACAGCTGGCCACTCAACGAAAGGCGTCAAGGTCACTATAGATTCACGACTTATCGTTTCTAGCGACCTCCCCCATGCATGAAATCGCAACAGTCCGTTCCAGCCTCGCTCTCGGCGGCTTATCGCGACAGCTGCGCCACATGGAAGGTTTTCACCGCTCCAGCCGGCATTACGACGAGCCAGCTCATTTTGATGCCGACTGTGCACGTAGGGCAAACGGTGCGGTGCATTGACGTTGAAATCGTTGTCGTCGAGGCAACTGGCGATTCGCTGCGACAGATGCAGGTGCAACCTTTTGTTCGACAACATACAAATATTAGGACAACACCAAAACGGAATTGTAAGGTACATGAACAAAGCTCTCTTTATCGATATGTGCATGTCGGTGCTGCATCTCTGGCTATTTTAGGTGACGAAATGGGTTTTAAAAAAGGTGTTGCACGTACGTGTGACAACAATTTTTGATGTGTGCGGCGGGTGTGGTTTCTTTGTGTTTTAATGCACAATGTGTTTGATTAGTCGTTTTCTATGAGAAAATTGTCATGAACGAGCATCATGGAGAGCATCATGCATGAGTGACATGTTGGAAGTGTTCCAGGCGTTAAAGTTATAACAAGGCATATGTATAAAGTTAGAGACCCTGGCGGGACTCGAACCTGGGTCAGTGCAGTGGCAATCAGACGCTAAAACCACTAAGCTACTTGCACAGCTGGTCTGGAAGGGTAAATTATCTTATTTAAATGTGAACGTTCCGGCGAGAGCGGCAGGTTTTGCCGTTCTTGCTGGCAACAAATAAGAATGTTTAAAAATAACTTTTAAGTAGAGAAATAGTGAGAAAATAATAAAAATAAAATAAAAGGTGGAATGAAAATGAATCAAAGTAAGAAGTAGATAATAAAAATAATGATAAATCTCTTACAAGCTACATATGGAGTGTTTTTTGTGCGAGACGTATTCTGCGCAATCTGGTCTTTTCACAGTCGAGCGTGTGCAATTTTAATCTCTTTGGTTCCCCTCTTTTTCTTCATTTTCACAATCCTTCCAGAAATAAACATTTGGTTTAGTCAGTGCCTTGTGTGTATGTCTATTCTTTGTGTGCTTTTTTAGCACTGTTTTACCATTTTTGTTATGTACTAACCATCATTTTTTTTTTCTCCCTCAAATTTTCTGCTGATGGGAGCCACGTAGAGGGGAAGTGCGGGCTCTTGCCATTTTGTGAGGGCAGCACTCTCTTGCAGGTTCGTCCCTCTCTCCGGAGATGGTGAGCACGGTGATGCGCGAGTTGCCGCCGCTCATCAGTGAGGCCGACCTGCACATCTCTCAGGTGAGTTCGCTCAGAGTGGTCAAGTATAACTAAACTAGACTAGAGCCTGCTTTTATTTACTCTTACGGCAATAGCCATCGTAGGTACTTCCCAGTTGGAGTCACTGCGTATAGTCTGGCACCAGGCAAAAAACTCTAGTTCCCCCATGGGACGAGTGATGGCAGGCGCGCCCGGCATTTCGGTTAATGCAGCTGAGCACTGCAAAAGTATGTTTCTCGCTGCTAATACGATCAGGCTGTAGAAACCACAGAGAGAAGGCTAGAAAATTGGTGGCTGCGAGTGCAGCCAAAGAGAAAACTTCACAGGCTATGTCCGTAACACTGCAGGACCGCCCGATTCGAAGGGAAGAGCAGCAAATAACCATCGATAATCACCCCGCGGATCCGGCACCTACCTCGGGTGTCTATAGGAACGGGAATCATGTCGGTTCTCCTTTAGATTTCGGTGCAATCACGTGGGGAGGCCGCACAAGGTTCAGACACCTTGTGAAGAGAGGAAAGCACGAGGCTCACCGTGTCGCACACTGAGCTATCGCCATTACTTATTTGCACACCGCGGTGAAAAGCTGCAGATTTATTTTTTGGGAAAACCTTTTCACTGCTATATCAGTATGTTCACTATGTGGTACATTGAATGGTTCACAAGCATTACGAGCACACCGAGTTCTCTTAATTGCACCGTTTCTGCCCAATTGTCCGGACCCAACAAGGATACCACATAAGTCCGTGTGAGAAGTCGTTTTCGGCCAGTCTAATAAATTCTCGCATGGCTTCCGGTTCGTGCCTGTCACTTCACTTGTTCAACATTTGCGGCTATCTTTGTAATCGTCATAATGCTGCATTTGATGCATGTGTCTTGAATAATTTTTGCTGTTGCTTGGTGCCGATGGATCTAGAAGTATAGATTGTTTTGCTGTGAAGCTCATCAGGAGAAAGTGTGGGACAATAAGACCATTCTGAATGCTGCAGACTTAGTATTTTGCGAAGTGTGCGGTTTCGGGAATTTTTTGCGGGCACGCAATCTAGCGATTAGGAATGGTATGGGTTTGCTATGTGTTTGTTACCATATAAATGATACATTTTTCCCTAAAATAATGTGAGCTGGTTGGTTAATCATAGTGAACATAAATAGAACAAAGGACAGACAAGGACATGAAGATGGGACTAGCGCTATTTTTTACACTACCTTTTAATATGTCAAGATCACGAAAATTAGGTCCTTGTTAAAGTAAGTAAGGGGTGGAATTTCGGAAGTTCCTTTTACCAAGAAGGTTTTGCCTAGAAAGGGATACTGCTATAGCGAACTTTTTCAATCAACCAGTAGTTAAAACTTGCTTTTTAGGGTGTTCAGGTGGTCTTGGTGGCATATATCACTAAAAGTAACATGCCAACTGGCCCCAGTAACTACCTTGGCATACCTAACAAAGTTTATAAGCTGTGGGAGCAGTGCCATTGCTGAAGATCCACTAAGGGGTTGGGGTTGTTATTAGGGGGACTCCAAGTTCCTCCGGTTTCCTAAACTTGGTTCATGGAGACCCAAGGGTTCCCCAGACTGTCATCATCGGCTCCCCCAGCCCCCAAATTTCCTTGACCATCTCTGCTTCAATTTAATTTTACAGCGATGTCTGTTATGGGCCTTTGCCATTACAGGAAATGACGTCCGTTGTTGATGTTGTTGTCGTTGCCATCGTTGTTGTTGATGTAGTTGGCAATGTAGGGCGTCCATCGTCAGTGTTGCCAAATCCTCTAGAAATATTGCCGACCGCTAGCAGGAATTGAACCTGGGCCCACCGCGTGCGAAGCGGAGATGTTACCACTCAGCTATGCCACAGCGTAAACAACCCGCTCTTTACTTAGGGTTTTTTTAGTACCCAGTGCCCACTGCGTATGCTGTCTGAAAAAATGCAAATAGCTGACAATAAAATGCCGTTGTAGTACTGTCAATGTTAAGAACTCGTGCTGGGAGATGCACTTTCACACGCCCTGGAGCAGAAAAGAAACGAAAGTGTTCGGAACAAAATGGTCAGACATCTATTTTGTTCCGAACGCCTTCGTTCGTGCACCCAACGGTGCGTCATCGCGACGTCGACCCCCGACGACATCGCCGTGACGGGTCGCGGCTATCGCTTTGACTGCACCGTGAATGAATGCGGGACTGTTAATTTTTTTTCCCCAGCTTAAGCGCCGTTTTAGTAAACCCGAGTCACCCGTCGATCGATAATTGCGAGCTAAATATTTCCTGTGGTCTGGTACATTATTATTTTGCAATGTCCCTAGAGTTCTGCACGGGCTTTATTTGCGTGGGTTCTCAAACTGGGTTCCTAGAGACGCAGGAGCTCCTTAGAGTACCCCAGGTACGGTTTCTTGGAGCGCGTTTCCGCGCTCCAAAAAATTTTAAATGCACCAGTCGGTGCGTTTGGAATGCCAAACGCACTGACTGGTGCATTTGGCATTTCATTCCGCCCACATGTCGAAAGCAGTCCAGAACTTGCAAGAAATGACGTCGCAGAAGCCGGGGAGTCGTGCCGTCGGACGTTGCGGTCCTGGCGTAGAAATGCCGGCGAAAAGCTCGAGGTAAAGGGAGCGTCGCCGTCGTCTCGGCGTCCCAACTCGCGGCTGCCGAAAGTTTCATGGACTGTAAAGCTATAGTTCGTTGCAACTCAAGAAGCTTGGGCGAGGAGAAGGAAGGTATGAGAGGGAGAAGCAGACGGAACGCTAGAGAAGAGAGGGGGAAACCTCCTCCTCTCTTCAGCATTCCATCTGCTTCCTCCTCGGCCTTCCTTTCCCTCGCCCTACCTTCTTGAACCGCAACGGACTATAGAGAGCGACCTGCAGCGAAACAGGTGTCTGCCGCATTCACCGGCGACGTCCAGCGGAAATCGAGGGATTGTTTTTTTAGACTCGATAGAAACACTAGTCCGAGACGCGTTCCAGACACCTCACACCACTACCCTAAGTAAACTGTTCTCTTAGTTAAAGCATTATTCTATGGAGTCTGATCCATGAAGTTATGCGTAACGATGTGGTAGGACACTTCCTAGCATGTGCATCATTCTTCGTAAGTTTCGGGTGCTCCCGTGGTGCTTTGTTGGATCGATGTCGAGACCAGGAGGAGTTCCTCGACTATCCGCCGGGAGAAGCGAGCCTTCCTGGAGGTTGAAAAGTTGAAAAGCTCCGGAGAAAGGAAGGCTCGAGGGAGACTCACGCGCTGCATTCTTTACAGCTGACGCTGCAGCTGCTGACGTCCATGTCGCGGGTGCACCAGCAATCGCTCAGCCTGGTCAGCAGCGCCATCTTGCCGGAGATTCTAGTCCTGGTGCGATCACCCCTGCTCCAGGGTGAGACCGCCTTGCGAACCCTCCAGCCTCGAACGTAAAGTCAAAGTGCACCCAAGTCGTGTCGTGACTGGCCCCTTTCGGAAGTCCTTCTGTAGTGGCTGTCGCGGCAGCTTGAAGATTTTGCTCTAGTGGTGGTTGGGAAGGCTCAGTATTCCAGACCCTCATCTTTGTTAATCGAAAGCAGCGTATGTGTCCTTGTGGTGTGGTCACTGGGGTGTCATTGCTGTGTAGCCCTTCCCCCAACTGCATGGGCATTTCAGTTGCATAGCCGCCAAGTCTCCTGTATTACCTGGAAGACTTTAGAATTTTGACCATTTTGTATGGTTGTACGATTGACAAGAAAATTTCCCAGAAAACACAAACTAACCACCCCTTTCCACCCCTACCCCTTTTCGCACTTAAACAAGGAGTTTTTGGCGTCGCAACAGTGATAATGATAGCATGGCCCATCTGTATGTTGCTAGCATGAGCAGTGCAATACAAATGTAATCAAGTTGTCCTTGTGTAAAGTCATTGTCAATATTTCTTTTAAAAAGAAATGCTACCCCTCTCTGGTTTAGAAAATTTCCCGGATTTGGCTTTCCCGAACTTAGCAGGTATGCAGTTATTTTCGAAAAGTGTGTATGTTTTTTCACCTATGCACTGGACCTTTGCACTGGACTTTTGCACTGGGCCTTTGTGCTGGCTTTTGCACTGGCTTTTGCACTGGTCTTTGTGCTGGCCTTTGCACAGGCATTTGCACATGCATTTGCACATGCATTTGCACTGGCCTTTGCACTGGTCTTTGCACTGAACTTCGCGTCAGCCTTTGCACTGGCCCGTGTCCAAAGTGTGCCAAACTCTGCAGGTGGTGCCCTGACCGCAATGCTGGAGTTCTTCCAGGCACTGGTGGCATCTAACCTGCCGGGTCTTAGCTTCAACGAACTGCTCCAGGTGAGCAACGGACAGGGGAGCCTCCTTGCACCTGTGCGAGGCTGTGAGGGGATTTCCTTTACACCATGCCTGGGAAGTGAAAGCGGCAGCATTGCTTGCTTTTTTACACTTGTGTTCTGCTGGTTGGCTCCGTGGCACAGCAAAAATCTTGACACCAAGAAAAAAGACAATGTTACCTTTCTTGCTGTCAAGTTTTTTTTTAACAAAACGTGCTACAGGCTTCCATGACGTCATTTCTTTTTTTGATGATATTTGGTTTAGGTTGACGTTGGCTTGTAGAGAAATTTTGTTTTTCTTTTATATTTTCTGATCCAGGTTGCACCCCGTTCTCAAACTTCTGTGTTCTGCGACACATAGTTTATTTACGCGGGTCAAGAAACACAGTTCTCTTTCCTCGCAAACACCCCGTACACTAGGCAGAAGGTGGCCAACCTCGTGACCTGGCCTCGGAGTCCGGGCATGAGAGTTTGTGCGTCTGCCGCAGGAGCTGAGCGGCCCCGTGTACCAGGCTGGTGGGGCGGGCGCAGCGGCGTGCCTGCACCGCCAGGCGTACCACTCAATGGCCAAGGCGGTGGCGGCACTCACCCTCCAGTGTCCCAGGGAGGCCCTGCCCACGGTCCAGCACCTGCTCAGGGACATACAGGCAGGTGTTCGGGGACGTGGCCCTTCAACCCACGAGCACGTGAGCCGGCCAAGATGCATGCTGCGGGACAGAGCTAGCGCGAATAAAGTAACCGAATAGGAGTACTCACTGGCAGCCATAGCTCTGTGTGTGAGTGCTGAAAGCGTGCTGACGGCCAGCTTCCACAGTTCTTTTGCAATGTGCATTCCGCACCATAGATTGCCAGTCTTAGCAGCCTATTAATTTGAGCTTGTTCTGAGCATGCACTCTAAGCATCGCCATCAAATGCGGCCGTTGCAATACGCTTTGCTTGCAAAGCAGCGTATCGCAGTGGTCTAAATCTTGGCCCCCAAGTATTCTGTAAAGCGACCGATGCTCTTGTAGGAAACGTGACTGGTGCCACAACACGGTTCAGCGATTCGCCGCATGTTCGCTGTCGTGCGTCTCCAGCTTCTTCGAAAGCATGCGTGCACGCGCTGCATCGTCGTCGTCATTGCGTGTGTTCACAGCCGCTTCGAAACTGCGCTCGCATTACAAGAAAGTCGCAATTACGTGTCACGGTGGCATACGTGATGTGTGAAGGTTTAAGAAGCTACCTGCTCGTCATACTTCGGTGCAACGTCTACATTTCGCAAACGCAGAGAGAGAAACATGTCCCACCCCAAACCCGGCACTCCGCAAGGCCACTTCCCCACTAGCACTTTGGGCATATTTGGTATGTAGGACCCCTTCTCTCTCACCGAGGAGCGTGCGGTGAGAAGAAAAGGAAGGCGAACTCTGGCTCTGCCATTTAGTTATTAACGAGACAATGTTGCTTTTTTTGCATATTGCTCGGGCCAGCCATTGAGAAGAATTAAACTTTACTGCTCAACTTGGTGCACCAAATGAGCTGTTTCCACAGCACAAGTAGTTCTGATGACGGCAATATGATTTTGAGACAAAATAGTCAAAAATCAATTATTGCTTTTGTTGTGTTAACAGTGTCGCATTGGTCTAGCCCACTTTAAATCAAATGCAAAACTTAGCGTTCCATGCTTTAATTCTGTGATTTGACCTAAATGGGGGGGTGGGGCTAGGTGGCAGATTTGTTTCGTGAAAATATTGAAGGAAGTGCTTGCCTCTGTCGAAAGCTACAAATGGAAACCAAAATTTTTAAATGGCTCTAAGGGAGTTTGGTCTTTTTTGAGCCAAAGGGGAAAACATTCTTGTGAGCCATTAGGGCATTCGATTGAACAATTAAGGGAAGGAGAGCAAACTGTAAACAATTTTCTTCGCTATGTTACTTTTTTTTTTTTTAATCTAATAATTTGCAAAAAAGATTTTTTTTTTTATTTTGTTTTGAAAAGAAATTTTATGGCACTAGTTCTGGAGTTTCCTGCTGCATTACATATTTGCAGTGCACAAGAACGACTCTTGCCATTAAGTCTAAAATGTGAACCACTTACTTTTTGGCTGAAGGTTCATCAAACGTTTTAATGGTGCTACTCACACATGCATGTATCCTATATAACGTGTCCACAAATACAACGCGAGGGCAGGTTTTGAAACCCTAAAAGGAAAAAGAAAATTATCACTACCGTAATGAAAACGTAAAGTTACCGCACTCGAGGGCATAGCAGACGTGAAAAGCGGACGAGAATTGAGAAAATGTTGCGCACGTTTTGTCTGCACTCATGGTCACTACTTAGTTCCTCCCTCACTCTCCCGTTCCCAACTTCGGGGATATGCTTGTCTCTTAGTTCTTTTTTTTGGGGGAGGGGGGGGGGGGTGAGCTCTTTGACCGCAAGCTAATCGTCTTGAACCAGGGAGCACTGTGTCAAGTCGATTTGTTTACCTAGCGCACGAAGCAGAAGCACCGATGCACAACTGTACAAATGCTAGAACACAATCGAGCAGAAACTAGAAGATTCATAGACAGAACAAAGACTGCTGGAAGTGATTCACAATCCTGCCCTTCATAAGCACACACCTGGTGTTTCATGGTTGCGTAAATATGGCCAGTGGTTTCGGCTTGTGTCTTGACTTGATCTGGCTTGGCTAGAACTGGCTGGTGTCCCACACTGGCATGCGGTGCGTCGTTTTTGCGGCTGTGTGTGTTGTCCAAACATGAAAACGACAGGATACTCGCAACATTCTGTTTCTCCCTTTATGTGGCACAAGAACTAATAACTTTCCTCCCCACACCCCCATTTGTTTTTGCACCCAATCTCCCGCATTATGCCGGAGGGATGGCTTTCTCCTGACTCACACCTCATGGCCGATCTTGATTTTGAATTTACTGCGAGGTGTGTCTTAAAGCACTGAATTTTGAGGGAAAAAAAATATTGTTATATTCGTGCAAATACTATGTCCAGTAATGTTCACCCCAAAGTCCGTACATTCACGATGTGAGCTGCTTCCACCGCCGCCGTTGAACGGATTGTCTAGCTCAGGGGCATCCTAACTTTTACAGCAAAGCTGTTTAATTCTACGCTCGCGCGTCTTCCTCGTATAAAAGATACTTAGTAAATAACTAAAATAAAGCGTTGACGAATGCGTGTGCAGGATGCCGTTTGTTTTAGGCTTTTGCTTTAGAACAGTTACTGCTGCAGACGCAAGCACGTGCTGCGCGTGGAGCACCATTCCCTGCATTCTCCTTGATGCTTGGGTAATTTAGCAATAAGTCTATGCAATAGATTAGTTATCAGTAGGCACCATTTTCAAGATCAGCAGACTCTGAGGTAGATAATAAAGGTTTCTCAAAGATTTGCCTCTGTGCGACCCGCATCGGCCATGTCTACGGTCGCATTGCCCTCTCTTTGTCGTTGTTCCAAGCGCTTGCATGCCTAGTTTCCTTTCCTTCCCCTCTCCCGGGGTGGCGGTTCCGCCGCGCGTGTCTAGTTTCCTCGGGCTCCTCGGGGCGGGTTGGTGTTGTCTGCTAAACAGCTTTGCTGGTCATCCACCTTTGTAGAATGGAATGGCTCGTGATTTCTTTTTTTTTTTTTTTTTTGTCTAAGGGGAGTTGTTAGATAAGCGATCTGTCCTAGTGTCTAGGGCCGGAAAAAAAAAAAAGAGCAATTTTAAACTAAGAAAAACTAAGTAACTAAACCTAGATGATCATTTAAATGCAGAAATGAATGTTATACTAGTAAGTATTAAAAGCCTAAGGTGGATGAATACATATATCCTATTTCAAATTGAAGTTTAATATTTAGCTAATTAGGACATTACACAACACTTCTAACCACTTGTGGCACATTTGCACAGTGCAAAAGACTATTGAGAAGGATAAAACTAATTCTGACAATATGCAATAGTTGTGACGGAGAACACTAAGTGCAATGTACACGACAACGCAGTGGAATTTTAACATAGTTACGCAGACATGAAGCAGGGAACTAAGAATGGGAATGCTAGTGATGGCAATGTTCACTTAATAATATGGCGGGAGGACCCGTGTTGCAATGCAGTTTCTCTCATTCTTTCTCGTGTCTTAGTTTGTGCATTTAGAGCACGTCGCAGCACCTTTTCTTTACGCGCATTTCTTTTTCTGCGGCTAGCTCCGTGTCTGTTGGAAGCAGGTCGTCGGCCGGGCTTCATTAGAAAAATTGCGGCCAGCCGCGTGCCGTTCGGAAGACTTCCGCGTGCCGAATCTGCGTGTCTGTGAATGCGAGTGTGTTCCACCTGCCGTTTGTGTAGACCCTTTCCGTAAAAGTGCCAAAAGGAGACGCTGTTGCTCTTTGCATCCCTGGGAAACTTTCGATCGGATCAGAGGGCAAACGATGGCCACCACAGTACTGATTCTTGCAGCGTTCAGGAAATATATCAACACCAGTTCTCCCGGTGGTTAGCTAAAGGACCGGGTAGGGGGGGATTTGTTGGAGATGTTTTCATTCTCCCGTAAGATGGCCGATCCCTTCTTGTGTGTTGACTAGCACAGCAGAAGCACCTCGCTAAATCCCAAGCTTCGTGATTTCTGTAGCACTAGATCTCCCCAGAAATTTTGACATCAACAGGCTCGGGGGTGGCTTGCCCAAATGGAACGACCGGAAGTCTCTTGGGAGTTTGTATTTGTAAACATGAAAAGAGTCTATATACCATCACTTTGGGGAGTGAGTGAAAGACGTGTGTCTGCGCAGGCCAATCGCAGTGTGGACTCCATCCAGTTGTTTGCCCTGCTTGCCATTGGCGAGATCGGAAGGCACATGTAAGTTCCTTTTACCGCTTGCTCATGACTAAACTCTTAGCCTGAGACGCGCGAGGGCTTGAAACTCGACTTGTTGTTCCACTCTGCTCTTGCTCTAGCTTTTGGTAGTGCTTCCTTTCACGCAGCTTTAGCCATGAATCACATTTTTAGCAAGCTGGCCCAGAAAGCAGCGCGGGAAAGCACTCGCGGTACTTTGTACTTGGAGGTAGAGGTCTGCACGGGTATGGGCCACAGGCCGGGCTCGGGCTTCACGGCTACATTCGTGAAGGGCCCGAGCCAGTCACGGGCCTTGCATTCAAGTTTGTAAGGTGAGCCAAAGCAAGCCAAGCCAACCGTCACTCTCCTTTTTCTTTTTTTTTTTAGCAGCAGTGTTTTTAAAAGCTTGTTCAGGGTTTCTTTTTTTTTCTTTTGGCAGCAACGTTTTTAAAATCCTGTTCAGGGTTTTAATTTTTTTTTTTTTTTTTCAGCAATGTTTATAAAATCTTTTTTTTTTTTTTTTTCTTTTTTTATTAGCAGTGTTTTTGGAAGCTTGTTAGGGGGTTGGGGTAGAGACCACAGTGTGGGAGTCCCAAATGCTGAAAGCATATGCATGTGTTTGTATATGTCTTTATTCTGTTCGGTGTGTTTTGTACCGAATGCTCTTTGGAGCACCAGCGACGCCCATTATTTTTGTCATCAACACGCACACATACGTGCCTACACAATGCGCACCCTCACAGGCGGAAAGCATTTACGTACGAGTGTGTGCATCCACAATATGGGGGAGAGGTAAACAATTTCTCGCAAACTACCGCAACAAACAGTGGTTTTTACAGTGGAGCTGTAAAGGGCAGGTTTCTTGAGGATTGTGTCCCCCGTAAAGAAATGTTGACACAAAACTCTGGACAGCTACCGCCATCTATGAGCGACGGCGGCAACCAGACAACCGGCTTGCCGGCCTCGCCCATAGATGGCGGCAACCTTTCCAGCCTTTCCACTCTGTTTTTCACCAGAGTGGAAAGGCTGAATTTCTCTTGGTGTTGTCCTCGAGGTCGTCTTTGAGGTTGTTAGAGAGGTCGTCCTATAAGTTATCCTTGAGGTCGTTGTAGACATTCTCCTTGAGGTTGTCATTGAAGTCGTCCTAGACGTCCCTGAGGTCGTCCTAGAAGTCGTCCTTGAGGTCGTCCTAGACATTGTCCTCTAGGCATTGTCCTTGAGGTCGTCCAAGAAGCTGTGCCTGAGGTCGTCCCATCATAGTACAGCTTCGCTGGTCTGTGATGGGACGACCAAAGTAAAAAAACTAAAAGTTTTTTTTTGCTTTGCTCGTCTTTTGTTCGAGCCTGTCTCAATGTTACCCTTCCTTTTCAACTTTGGCACATGCTTTTGCCTAATGTTCCTAGCCATTTTTGTTTTTCCGTCTTCTCCAATATGCAGGTTTAGTCACAAAAAAGAAAGGATGCTTACTGCATTGACTGTTGGGTACTGTAGTCAACATGTGTAGCAGTGGCAAGCGAGCTGCTGTGCCGCGCAATTTGTGAGCTATTCATACCGGGTGAAAATAGAGTGCCCTCAGCGAACCCATGAAAATTGGCGCTGGGCCGGGCCGGCTGTCGAAATGAACAGCAAGCCGCTGGCAGGCCTGGGCCCAGGAGGCAACGGACCGGGCTGGGCCGGGCTCCTAAATGTCGGCCCGTGCAGACCTCAAGACTGCGTCTACTGTTTTCCCAATCTAAAAGTTTTGTTTGTGATTTAATCTTCATTTCATTTGACCTCTTAGTTTTTTTCATGTTTTGAGCATTTCTGTTTTACTTCAAGTATGTTCCAGTACCATTTAATTGTACTCTGCTCAGGGAACAGTGTGCAGTCACATTCTAACTGTACATATTAATTGTCCTGATTTCTTTTTTTTCCTTTTTCTTAAGGTGGTTTTTACGTTTATCACGGTTGGTAATGATATGGAATCGACACAACTGCTTAGTCTGTCAATGCAAACATTTTCTTCTCAAACCAAATGCCGAGCTGTTTTTATTCGCCAAGCAATAGAGGTGTGGGACGCGAGCATGTGCTCCCATTCTTGGCATTTGGGGAATCTTCTAGCGATGATTGAGAAGTCCCCATCCTTTCCCACCCACAGAGACCTGAGTGGCATTGTGGAGCTGCAGACAGTCCTCCTCGAAGCCTTCTCGTCCCAGAGTGAAGAAGTAAAGACGGCCGCCTCCTTTGCCCTCGGTGAGTCCCTTTGTGTGCACGGGAAACCCTCTTTCACACGGTGGCTCGGGTGGCCCCAACCAATGCCACCCAGAACGCAAGGCCCACGCCTTTCCCCCCAAATGTCACCACCGATTACGATGATGATTCTCAGATTCGCGCAAAGAAAGAACACTCACACTGTGTGTGGATGTTCTGAGTGTTCTTTCTTTGTGTGAGTAAACTTTTGAAGTGTGTGTTCTTGTGCGCTGTGAAGTGTAAGCATGAACCACCAGCTCACCCAAGCTGAGGTATTGATTAAATCATCCCCTGGACTAGCAAGTGAAGATGTCAAGCCAGCTTTCAAAAGAGCAGTTACTTAGGTATGGGCAGTCAGAATGGGATAGGGCAATCGACAACAAACTACACATTATCAAAACTTGTTTGCGGATGGGGGAGAGTTTCGATCGCAGGAATCATTTCCATGAAGTTTTGATGTCCCGATTGAGTACTGGCCACTCGCGCTTGACACATCTGTATTTGTTTTGTGGTGAAGGTGCTCCGCAGGGTTATCATTGCGGCAAAGTAGTGACTGTATTACACATTTTGTGGCAGTACAAGCCCCTACATCAACAGCGACAAGCATGTTTTTAAGATCCTTTTAGATACCATCTTTCGTTTCACTCTGCCTTCCTTCTTGGAAGGCAGAAGGTTGTAACTTCTATTCGTAATAAATGTCCCTCCCATTGTAGATAGTTTAAAGTGTAGCAGATTATGGGCAGTTTGATCTTAAAATCTAGAGACATCTTAATTTTTATTTTTACCCAGAACTCGTGTTCATGTTATACACAACTCATGTTCATAGTCTTATTAGATCATCAGCTACTATAGCTCTGTTTCCGCAATCCTTGTTTCTGCAGTAGCTTAGGCACTTGGTGCATTTTGGCCCTGGTAACTCTCGCACCATAAAACTCATCTTTCATTCAATTTTGGCATCCGTGACTCGGTTTGCAACCAACGAAGCAGGCGGCACGCATCTGTTATACGCCTACCGTATTTTCCGGACTATAGTCCACAGAGGCAAATTTATGGTCAAAAATTAAAGGTGTTGCGTAGAAAGTCCGCACCTTTTGCCTACCTTGCACATGAAGAGTTCTACACAGCGCACCTTGACAAACACCCGCCTCATTAGCTCACAAGGAAGCTTGTATCATACATTATTCATCATTGGCATACCCTGTCAGTCGCTAGATCTATCACGTCTCGTTAGAATCAATCATCTAGAAAAAAAAAAATTCTTGTATAGTCTGCACCGGGTAAAATTTCAACTTCTATACATGTGTGGCCTGGAAACAATGGTACTTCAGTTAGGCATACGGGGGGCAATGCTCCATTCGGTAGCTAACTGTATTAGCTTCCGAATGGTGTTGGTTTTTTCTCGCTGCTACCCGCCTCAGGGAATGACGTGACACGCCGCTTCTACAACGCATAGCGACGCCAAGGTTGCTTGACATTAATTTTCCCACTATATTTAGCGCGGGAATTAATGCGATGGTCCTTGGTGACGTTTTTTTGTGATGCTCCTTCACGGTTCTTTGCGGCAATTTCCTCGAGGAACTAAGCCGACAAAATATTCTGTCCCTATGGGACTTGGGCAGGAGGTAAGAAGGTACTGTAAAACCTTCGATGTTCGCAAATTGAAAAATTCACGAAATTTAAGGGCACGCAAAAATTCCTGTCCTTAAGAGTTTCAGTGCATGCGTCTGGAATTTGCGAAATTTAGTGGCCGCGATTATGTCCTCTGTGACGATTCGCGAAAAATAGGGGCCGCGAAAATAGAGGGTCTTTGCAGTATCCCGAAACCTGGTGTCCGTCTCTTGTTGTGCAGGCAGCGTGAGCGTGGGAAACCTTCCGGAGTACCTGCCCTTCCTGCTGCGCGAGATTGGGGAGCAGCCACGCAGGCAGTACCTGCTGCTGCACTCCCTCAAGGAGGTGAGGCGGAGTACTAGCTAGCTGCTTCCTATGCTTTTTGTGCATTTCGGGGTTTTTTGCTCATGTTTTGTTGCATAGATTGTTTTACTTTCTGGTGGCCCACATTAGACCTTTGGTGGTCGTCTTTTACTTTCTGGTGGCCCACATTAGACCTTTGATGGTCGTCGCCGTACCTGTACAACGGGGATATCACGTTTGAAAATGCCCGCCTACGTGCAAAACTGCGGGCACCGCGGGAGGTGTTGCTGTTTGTTATGTCTTTGGCGAACTATGAGCGTTGTATTTGCAAAATGTTTTGCTTTGTTGGGCTATTTATAGTTTTCAAGTCAGGTGCCTCGCACATGTGAGGCTCACTTCGTGTGCGGGCCGCTCTGGCTGTAGTGCCAATGTGAGCACTGGCTCTTCCAATTCAGATTTTCTACGCTTTTCGGAATCAAATTCAAAGGATGATAGCTCGTCAACCGACGGAGAAAGTACCTTCAGTTAGGAGCCCGAGGCTGCTGGAACGTTGCGGAAGCACCAGATTGAAGCCGAATTGGAGAAACTTTTCGCCTTCAATAGCTTTGTTTGATGCTTGTGCACTTGAAGAGCTTGCAAGCATTGTTTGTGTGGTCCCGCCAGATATTAAGAAAAAATTCAGCATGTTTTCTTTATACTATTCATTGTAAACAAAACCTGCCCACTGGGAAGCATAATTTGGGAAAAAAACTCGACCATCAACGGTTTAAATGTGCAAAACCTTTCCTCTAGTGAGCTGCGCTTTGCCACTTTGTCAACCAAACATGGTGTCCGAAATACACTTTGGATATTGGCACTATGTTTCAGTTATTGTATGGTGAAGGATGCTTCAACGTTACATGCATTTGTAGGAATTCATGAATCCACTTTTAAGAGTAATGTGACTACCTATCATTCTAGTGTTCCAGTAAGCAGTGAACAGTGTGCACGCAACTTTCTAGATTGAATGCAGGGCACCATTTCAACGTTTTCCAGCATGTTGGTTTGGGAAACAAACAAGGGTAGATTGAAAAGTTTCTGGAATTGCCATTCCCTAATATGTTCATGCTCTTGTGTTGGCAGCTTTCATATTACTTAACTTCGAATGTGAAAATGATTGTTCAGAGAGTTTCACGTTGACAAGCATTGAAGTCAAACAACGTGTGCTTTCCAATCATGAATAAAAACAAAACTTCAGCAGTAATAAAAAAAAAAAAATTTTTTTTTGGAGGAAAGATGAGCGGCAGAACTTATACCAAGGTTGTACAGTGTGGACCGCATATAACGTATGTCTGGGGAGTCGCAAAAGTCCGCACTATAAGCGGTACCGCGTTATAACCAAAACATTAATTTTTCAGGCCAAAATGCATGCCATCAGACAACTTACCTTTGTAAAAGAATTTATTTTATGTTAGATGAAAAATAAAGCTTAGTTTGAGGAAAGTCTTTATTTCACTAGACTAATACACTTCTCTCTCAAGTGTGTCACACATTTTGAAAGAAATGAGCGACTTTTGCCTGGCGCAGCCTCTTGCCTGGCGCAGCCTTTTGCCTGGCGCAGCGCGTCCACAATCCGCGTCGTGGGTTGCGGACGGTCGTTGTGAGCGTTCAGGATTGCTAACCCTAATCACTTTTCTCCGGCGATGAAAACGCATGAAAATTCGCATCCTTTATACGGTATGCGCCAGTAATACCTTCAACTTGAGCACAGGCATGAAATGCTCCAAATAAGAAATCCGGGCGATGTTCGAAAACACAAATGCTTAGAAAGTACCACTGTAGTCGAAGTAAACAAACACGACGACACGGGCGTTTCTGCCGTCTTGAAGAGTGCCGCCACAACATCGCCGCACGAGTAGGTGGACCTTCCCTTCTAGTACCTGCTGGGTTATCATAGCGACACTCAACGAAAATTCACAGACAAGGATAGCGCTTTTACGCGGAACGATGAACTTCCACCACGCCGCCTACGTCGACGATCAAAACCGACGCCATGTTTGCGGATAGAAGCAGCCGGCCAGCCTGCGACCGGCATGCAATGTGCGCGAACACTTCTCCTCAACCTGCGATTGGTCTGTCATTGCGGTTATTTCCAATGACAGAGCGGAGGGACGCACACACAGGAACGACACATGCGTGTGTCGCTATGGCAACTGAAGCCTCTCTCTTCGCTTCTCACCGCTTCTTCGAGCAACCTCCTTGCCCCGCGAGTGCCGCTTGCGGCTCGTGCCGTTATCTAGTGTCGCACAGGGAAGCGTGCTCTCTGCGTCGGTCAGTCGGCGCGGTCGCCGGGCTGTTCCGAAAACCGCACTATAACCAGTACAGTAGAACCTCGTTGATACGTTTTTCAGGGGACCGCGGAAAAAAAGCGTATCAACCGGGAAAGCGCAGCAACCGATAACGCACTTAAAGGCACTCTATATAAGATAGAAAGCAGCTCTTATGCAATGGTTTATTTTATGCACTTACCGAACTCTTTTGGACTCAGACACGTTCACAAAAACGCGTAATATCCACCTGCCGCTTCGAATTAATGGTATGCAGTAAAAGTCGTTTCTCCAGAAGCCGCAGTCCCCTCTCACTCTCCGCGCAGTCATGAACGTTTACGTAGCGGCGCAAGGTGTCCAACGCAGCGATCGCGTCCGCAAACGTGGGTGCAGCGTAATCGTTGGTTTTTTGTTCGTCTTCTTCATCACTTTCTTTGTTGTCGGCAGTAGTGAGGTCGGCCACAATGTCCGCTATGCTCGATATCCGAACGATCAGCAATCTCTTGCGCCTTCTCTCGCAGAATGCCTCCGTCGATGTTGACACAAGATGCCCGGGCTTGTTTGAACCATACCAACAGGGCCTCCTCTAACTTTGCGTGTTTTGCCCCCCGAGCCTGTTTAAAGCCTGGTTGGTAGAAAGGAGCCTTCGCCTCGATCTCCTTTCGTCTCGCGACGATACTGTTTAAAGTTGACGGCGCGAGTCCAAGCTCTCTTGCGACCTCAGACCTCTTCCGGCTGGGATTTCGATCCACCGTGCGAAGTATGTCAAACTTCTCTTTAAAAGAGAGTGCTTTTCTCTTTCGGGATGTCATGGCCTTCGTCAACGCGCACGCACTCAGAAACGGCACTGTTCACGCAGTCGAGCTGTCGAGCGAACAGAAACTGGAAATGCAGCCGTCGCGGCGTGCGTGCGGCGCGTAAACAACTCGCGCCGGAGAGAGAGGACAGATGAAAAGAAAGAGTAAGAGAGAACGAGCGTTTTCGCAGAGCTCAGCAAAGCCCAGTGAGGAGACCGGGAAAGAGGGGGAAAGGAGTAAAGGGAAGGGGGGCGCCCGCGTGCCGCGCGGCCGCGCGATCCGCGCTGCGTGGATCGGCTGTTCGGCTCTGCTTCGCTTCGCTTCAAGCCGGCGTGGCACCTTGGCTGCCTTGGCGCACAGCGCGCCGAGGCGCCGAGGCGCCGAGGCGCCGCGATTCCGGCACTTTTGGACGTAACAACCGGGAAAGCAAACGTAACAGGCAGGAAACTAATACATGTATCTCTATGGAAGTAAAACGGGACCGGCGTTTTTGAACGCAACGGACAGGAAAACGTATCAACCAAGAACGTATCAACGAGGTTCTACTGTATTTCCCTTCGCGCGCCTGCATTTTAAGCGGTATGTAATTACATGGAGTTCTTTGGGAGGCGAACTGGTGGTTTAAAAAAGCCGCGTTATACCCGGTCCTGCACTATAAGCGGATACGTTGTAAGTGGTCTATACTGTATACTGTTCTTGGATAATCAGCACCTGCATTTTCTACTATGTATTTGGATTTCGGAATTCATGCGTGGTCGCACGGACAGGAGTGATGAACCATGTTCAGGACGGTTGAAAACAGCTACCACACCAGAAATCGGGGACAAAATTCATGACATGGTCATGGCAGATTGCCGAATAAAAGTGTGTAAGTTCATATTTTACATAATAAACTATGGTAGGTTTGTAAAGTCTCCCTGCAAGATGGGTGCTGCATTTGCTCAGTCCCGACCAAAAACTTGTTTTAGTCTAAACCTCGGCCGATAATTTGGAAGTGTGCGAGAAAACTAAAATGCAATTGAACTAATGGACTGGACACGGTGAATCGGTTCCAAAGAAGGCAAAGACCATTCAGTCGGCTGGAAGTACCTTGAAAAAGGAAAAACAGTTGCAGGCAAATACTAAACACTTTCAGAGAAGCTGAAAGAAGCAATACAGGAAAAATGCCTGGAAATGGTCAAGAAAAAGATGTAGTTTCACCACGGCTATGCACCTGCCCATTCAAGTACAGGTGCTCGCCAAAAACTGACAGAATTGAAGTTTAAAATTTTTTCATACTTACCCATTCACTTCTCTTGGCTCCCTCGGACATCAACCTGCTCCGGAAACTCAAACTATTTTTGGGTGGAACGAAGAGGTTATCGGACACTGACAACAGCTACTTTGAGGACCTTGAGGAAGGTCACTTTCTGGAGGGTATCGAGAAGCTGGAGAGACGCTGGACCGAGTGCGTTGAGCTTCGAGGGGATATTTAAAAATAGAACATAACTTGAATCTGATTTATTTTGCTTTCATTGTCCATCCGGAAACTTTTCAGTCCACCCTCGTAAGTGTGTTTCAAAATTGATTTCAAGATGTAATTGTTACATTGCTTTATTATCCTTATGTGTTACATGGAAAACCGAGTCATTTTGGTCAAATGAAATAAAGCTCCTTACTATGGAGCGATTTGTTCCTATTGCCTCAGTAGCCTGCTTTAACTGGCAATAGCAAAGATAGTGGTGGTCTCCATCGTTGGGAGAATCCCCCATTTCATGAATGGTTCTCTGCTTCCTGTGTTTGGCCAGATCATCAGTTGCCAATCTGCAAGTCCAGAAAGCATCCAAGCCCTGGAGCCCTTCATCGAATCTATCTGGTAAGTGTGACTGGCACCTGGCTACTGAAAACGAAATTAGTTACTGCAGAAGTTGGAAATAATTCTTCGAGCTGACTTGCGATTGGGGGGTCAAAACTTCATTCTGTAGTTAGACGAGTAGGTGCGGGCATAACGCAAATAGGGGCGAAAATAAACCATCTCGTAACGGTGTAGAGAGCACCGTATGCAAAAAGGCTTTACAAGCACAGTAGTCTCAATTGAGGCTTGTACGTTTGGCTGTCCTTCTAGTTTGCAGCCTTTGTAGCATGATTTTGCACTCGTAAGTCTATGGGGAGGGTTGTAGAAAGCGACGTCGAAGAGAGGGCTTCTGAAGATGGCGATGGAGTTGTGCTGAGGCTAGATGGACCATGTGACGCGACCGCGTCGGTAGCTCTTGAGCGGCGCTCACCCTCCCTTCCTACCCCCAGAGGTGCGAAATGGAGTATATTTCGACATCTTGCACCTTGCTGCTAGTCCAGTGACACTGAGTTCATTTTGCATTTGGACCGCAGAAGAAGCCCCTTCTCTTTTTATTTGCTTCCATCCTCCCTCTCCTTCTCTCTTTCCATGAACAACATCATCCAAAAGCGAGCGCTCGACGCGGTTGGAACTGACGACTCTTTATAATCCGTTTCACCTTACAATGGACTGCGCTGGACGCTACTAGACACTGGAGCCAATCGAATCCAATCCCGAGCGAGTCGCGTGACCCTGGAAGAGGCGTGCCGACGCGCATGGCTCATTGTCACGCGACGGGCTCGCAACACTGCAGTGGCTGGGATAACTCGTGGTGTCCACTGTGGTCTCTCGTGGAGTGAATCGGGGTATAATTATGGGCTCTCTAATCTCAACTCGACACACAACAGCTCTCCGACAGACTTCGTTGCTACAGTATAGACCACTTACAACGTAACCGCTTATAGTGCAGGACCGGGTATGACGCAGCTTTTTTAAACCACCGGTTCGCCTCCCATAGAACTCCATGTAATTACACACCGCTTAAAATGCAGGCGCGCGAAGGGAAATATTGGTTATAGTGCGGCTTTCGAAACAGCCCGGCGACCGCGCCGACTGACCAACGCAGAGAGCACGCTTCCCTGTGCGACACTAGATAATGGCACTAGCCGCAAGCGGCACTCGCGGGGCAAGGAGGTTGCTTGAGGAAGCGGGGAAAAGCAGAGAGAGAGGCTTCAGTTGCCATAGCGACAGAGGGATGCACGCACGTGTCGTTCACGTGCGTGCGTCCCTCCGCTGCGTTGGAAACGTTGGAAACAACCGCAACGACAGACCAATCGCAGGTCGAGGAGAAGTGTTCGCGCGCGTTGCATGCCGGTCGCGGGCTGCGAGGCCGGCTGCTTCTGTCCGCAAACATGGCGTCGGTTTTGACCGTCAACGTAGACGGCGTGGTAGAAGCTCATCGTTCCGCATAAAAGCACTATCCTTGACTGTGAATTTTCGTTGTGTGTCGCTATGATAACCCAGCACGTACTAGAAGGGAAGATCCACCTAATCGTGCGGCGATGTTGTGGCGGCACTCTCAAGACGACAGAAACGCCCGTGTTGTTGTGTTTGTTTACTTCGACTACTGTGGTGCTTTCTAAACATTTGTGTCTTTGAACATCGCCCGGATTTCTTATTTGGAGCATTTCATGCCTGTGCTCAAGTTGAAGGTATTACTGGCGCGTACCGTATAAAGGATGCGAATTTTCACGCGTTTTCATCGCCGGAGAAAAGTGATTAGGGTTAGCAATCCTGAACGCTCACAACGTCCGTCTGCAACCCACGACGCCGTTAAAAGGCTGCGCCAGTCAAAAGTCGCTCATTTCTTTCAAAATGTGTGACACACTTGAGAGAGAAGTGTACTAGTCCGCTGAAATAAAGACTTTCCTCAAACTAAGCTTTATTTTTCATCTAACCTAAAATAAATTCTTTTACAAAGGTAAGTTGTCTGATGGCACGCATTTTGGCCTGAAAAATTGATGTTTTGGTTATAGCACGGTACCGCTTATAGTGCGGATTTTCGCGACTCCCGCGACATGCGTTATATGCGGTCTACACTGTATTTTGGGGACGCATGGGCGGCGACGGGACGTAAAGCACGCCACTTGAAACTGTGCTTGAAACGCATCTCAAGCCGGTGTGTTTAGCGTCCTATTCCGTCCACACATCGAAAGTAGTCCCGAAGGGGCAACGAGTGATGTCACAAAAGCCTGGCGGTTGTGCGTAGAAGTCCCGGAAAAAAGTGTGAGAGAATGCGGTGCTCTTTTGCTGGTCATCGCGGCGTTGCCGGAGCTTCCGTCGACTCGAGCTGGAGAGCGACCTGCAGCGTAACAGGCGTATGGCAGATCCATTACCGCCACTGTGATACGACCAGGATCGCGGCCTTCGGTAGCATGACACTTCTTCGATGCCATCAGTTGGAAATGCACGGTGAAGTGTGTCAACGAGGCTGCCCTTGACCCCCCCCAAACCTCCTAGGGCCTTGCTGGTGCAGCACTGGGAGTGTCCCGAGGAAGGTGCCCGCAACGTGGTGGCGGAGTGCCTGGGACGCCTGTCCCTGTCCAGGCCCCAGGAGCTGCTGCCACGCCTGGAGGCCTGCCTGGCCTCTCCCTCGCCCCTGGCCAGGGCCACCGTCGTGGCCGCCGCCAAGTGGGCCCTCGCCGAGCGATCGGGTCCGTGGGTCGCCGTGCCACCTTTCACATTTTTAATGCGCGAAATGCTTCTCTTGAAACTTTCCAATCCCAAAACTTTGTCCTTCCATCTGTCAGCGCAATTCCCGCTAAATTTTGCCGGGAAATTAATCTCGCGTGACCTATACACTTATTCGTCCTCCACGCTAAATTTAGCGGATAAGTTGACGTAGCGTGGCCTATACACCAATTCAGTTTCCCCGCTAGATTTAGCTGGAAAATTTAAATTACATGGCCCGACTTCAGGTGAGCTGTGCACCAATTCAGTTTCTTTGCTAAATTTGGTGGGAAAATTAATATCGCTATCACGTAACCTAGTATATATCAATTCAATTTATCCCTCTAAATTTAGAGGGAAAATTTTTTCGCCCGACATCACGTGACCTATGCACCAATTTAGTGGGGAAATTGATCAAAATGAATGACTGTTTTCACTCCCCGAAACAACTGTTTATTGTCTTCCAAACAAATTCAATCGATTATTTTTCAAATACCGTATTCACTCGCAGAATGAACGCACTTTTTTTCCGGAAAATCGATGCAAAGTTAGGGGGGGCGTTCATTACGCGAAGTAAAATTTCTGCTTCCGTATTTACTCGCATAATGAACGGACCTTTTATCCTGAAAAATCGAAGTAACTTCTTATCTCTTTGCGCGCGGCGCCCGACACCGTAACCAAACCAAGCTGTGAAAAAAAAAAAAAAAAAAAAAAACTTTTTTTATGTCTTGGGTGTTTTTTTTTTTATTTTTTTTTTTTGCCGCATTTTGCAAGCTTTTTTGTTTGCTTAGGCGTTGCTCAGGCGAGGGCTCTCCGCTTATCTTTTTTATCTCCTTGCGCGCGGCGCGTGACGCACGACCCCCCTACCAAACTGCGCTGTGCAAAAAAAAGAAAAAAAAGGTTCTCTTTTTCTTTTTTTTTTTTTTTTTCTCAGTTCCGTGGGTCTTTTTTTTTTTTTTTTTTGCCGCCTTTCGCAAGCTGTTTTATTTGCTTAGAGGGCTTCTCCACTCCTCTTTCTTGCCTCCTTGCGCGCGGCGCGCGACCCCCCGTAACAAAACTGCGCTATGCAAAAAAAAAAAAAAAGAAGAAGAAAAAAAGCTTTTTTTTTGTTTTCTCTTAGTTCCGTGGTTTTTCTTTTCTTTTTGCCGCCTTTCGCAAGCTGTTTCGTTCGCTTAGAGCGCTTCTCCGCTTTTCTTTCTTACTTCCTTGCGCGCCGCGGCCCGCGAACCCAAAGTCCAGACTGCGCTGTGCAAAAAAAAGAAAAAGCTCCTCTCCATGTTTTTTTTTCTTGCTTCCCTTGGATCTTTGCGAATTTTTTTAACGCCTTTCGCAAAACGTTTCGTTCGCCCACGCTGCCCATGCATTCGCGACCTCGCTGCACCAGGATAGAAAAGTGCGTTTATTTCGCACGCGTGGGAGGAGGGGGTCAAATGTTTGACATCCGAGTTGGGGGTGCGTTTATTACGCGAGTGGAAAAAAAAAATCGAAGTTTTGAGAGCCGACTTGGGGGGTGCGTTCATTACGCGAGTGCGTTCATGGTGCGAGTAAATACGGTACTGCATTTCATGCATTGTGAGACTTTGGAGATTGAGGTCGCAGCCAATTCTTTACGGTCGCTGGAAAAGTGAGAAGAGCGGTAGGAGCTTCAGTTCTCCGGCCTCCAGTGTGAGCTTTTTACCTTTGACGACACTTGTACTTCTCGAGCGCATGCGCGCAGCCAAGGCACGGTGATAGGCATGGAGCGCTTGCCGTAGGCTGGGCGTCTGGAAGACAGGCCGTGCCATTCTCACTCTTATTCGAGTAGATCGTGCAGCATGATAACACGGATAGTGTGCAGGGTTGATGCAGACTTCTGTGAAACCTAAGGTTCGACTGCTTCGGAAAGCCTTCCAACTTTCGACATATTTTTACAAAGTTTGACTTTTCAACAGCGTTGCCCAACTTCTGTGCAAACATTTTATTTTTGTACAATAGTTTTAAATTTGATTCAGTTAAAGAAAAACATACCTGCACACTTGTAATGGTCTAGTTAATTTTTTTTATGTGAAGCAGTATGCTCTAAGTATTGCACCGGTCATCCGCAAGGGGACATCGGCTTGTCTTTTATTCTTGCACACACTCATAATCGTCTAACTTCAGTCGAACCCTTCACCACCAAAGTTAGAAGCCAAAGCTGGTAGAAACCTGGTTGTATTTTACGGCCGACTCTTCACTTGCTGTAGCGCAAGTGAAATGGCTGGAATGCGTGTCCTCACTTACTTGACACCAGTTCCATCTGCACGCCGACGCAGCACTCGCGTCCAATCTGAGCATGGCAGTGGCCTCCAGAGGGCGACGTCGAATGTCCAGTGCTACGACCTCTTTATCTAAAAGATGTTGAACAGGCGCACTCGTGCATATATGGGAGGAGAGGGTCAGGAAGTGAGAGGGACAAGGAACATTTTAGCGATTGGTTTTTAATGGAAAGATTTGGAATCGGAGCTCAATCGCAGTCCAAACAGACATAGCCTTTTTTGCTGGCCTCTGTTGGCCATTGACCGGTGTTATGCTAGTGTTACAGGATCGTTGCCTGGTGTTACACCAGCATTGTCTGGTGTTATCTCAGCATTGTCCGGTTTTATGCCATCATTACCTGGTGCTACACTGCTAAAGACTGGTGTTTCATCGGGATTGACTGGTACTAAACGGGAATGGCCCATGTTTTGGCGTCCGCCAGTGTTGCACTATAATTGCCGGGTGTTATACCGGAATGCAGCAGGTATAGCAGTATTGCCTGGTGTTACTACAGCATCAGCCGGTGTTGTACCGTCACTGACGAGCGTCGTACCGGCACTGTGCGGGCAGAGGGTTCCCAGGTGCTGGGTGCCCGCCTGTCGCCGTTCCTGGAGGCCCTCGGGGACCCTGATCTCGGGGTGCGGCGGGTGGCGCTGCTGGCACTCAACTCTGCGGCCCACAACCGGCCACTGCTCGTCAGGGACCTGCTGCCCTCCCTGCTGCCCAGGCTGTACCAGGAGACACGCGTGCGGGTGAGCCCACGCTGAAGGGGTCATGAAGCAGCATTGGGTCTAGATCAGTGTTACAAACTCAAAAAAATAGAAACCTGCAACGAAGATTCTGGACGACCGCTAAAAACGTCTGTATTTCAGATGCAGGACAAGGATGACACATTAATATAATTAATTGCTGCTAGTAATGAATAGTAAAAAATGCAATGGCTTAGCTCGGCTATGCCAGGATACATGTAGCGTGAGCTTATGCTCACAAAGTGAGAGGCGCTATCAAGCGGCTCTGGTGCAGCGTCAGACTTGGCTTCTGCGCAACGGAGGCGCATAGCTGGGCACGCAGCGGCGCCAGTGCGTCTGCCACGGCTATGATATCACTCCTCTGGAATGCGCAGATGGGCGAGGCGAGCGCGGCAGCGGCGGAGCGTGGCTCTCATAATGAGCCATGCTCATTATGAGAGCCACGCGAAACTGCTCAACCTCGGCCAGTGTAGCTAACACTACAAAATATACAAGAACCCATAGAAACCTGAGCGGCACGCACATCTAACGAAGCTGGGGTCGAGGAATTCGCCAGCCTCGTACATGCTTCGCCCATCAGATGCATTGATGTCAACAAGCACGCCGTCGTCTGTGGTTCGCTTTCGGACAGAAATCGTGAAAGTGGTTACGCCTAAGAACAGTCGCGTCACAGTCCATGCTGAGTGAGCTACATAGGGCTCTTTTCATTCGGCAAAAGGCACACCGAAAGCACCCTAAATAAGGTTCGCAATTTATTGAGCACGGTTACTGTGGCACGCCCACGACCAGCCATGGGTGCGCATCCGTCAGTGGGGACGTGCAGCAGTGCCCTGCACCTACAATGACATTTATAATGACATTTGCGCAAAGTGTGTAAATGCAAAAATTTTACCCCGCGTAATGAATGCGCCCCCCCCCAAATATGTAAACTTTGGGGGAAAAAAGTGTGTTCATTATGCGAGTAAATACGGTATCGTTAGCACCAAGTCCCACCAGTGTAATTCATACGGAGGACAAAACAAACACTCGCAAAGAAAATCGAAACATAATGCGAAATTTATGATTCATTATGAAAGCACCTGATAAGTGTCTCGAGCACACCATCGAGCTCGCCCTCATCCTTTTGCCCCGCTTTAATATAATCTCTACTTCCCCATTTTTTTCTCTTGGATATGGATGGCAGCTTGCACCATTTTTGGTTGCATGTGTTGTTCCACCGCAGAGAGAACAATAAGGAACCACTGTGCCGCATCCAAAAACAAGTGGTCACGCCGTATTGCCATGGTGCGCGGTATGTAAACAAATCGGGCATCCTCAGATACCGGATATCATGTGACATTCACGTGCTGCTCAGTGGCACCACCTAAGCATGGTTCTCGTCACAAATATACAAAATGGTCTCCACTGCATCAGCTTGGTTCAACTTCAAATTGCTGCTCGTTTTAATGCAAAAAGGTGTTATATGGCTCTCACCCAACCATATCCGGTTAGGTGCCAGCAACAGTCGGCTGACTGCCAGCCGAATGCCGATGCAATGCTCATCTCCTTACTGATTGGACACCAGTTCCAGCCAAACCCCTTCCTCAAATGCCTCCGTGTATCTCCCAGCAGGCGAAAAGCATCATGTGTTCAAACATACGGCGGCACTCTTTTCCGTGAAACAAGCGTGCTCTGGGCTTTCCCAGAGAAAGAGTGTGAAGAGCGACAGAGAAATGCAGACAGAAAAAAGAAGGCAGACTCCTTTGCCGCAACAAATTGAGATCGTTCCAAGCATTTGGTTCTCTTTTGCTGCAAGCCGGTGCCAGGCCTCTGTTGGCACTGCCGCGTTTCAATTGTTTTGTTTTCCAAACTTTCCGTCTACTGCAACTCAGACGCCAACAGACTCTGAGAAAGTCTCATTTACGCTGCAAGGGCAGAAGGTGGCACCCTCAAGTAAAGCAGGGTGCACATGGGCGTCGAAAACTGGCACCGCGTGGCAATTTCCATAGCAACTTTAGCAGGTGCTGCAACTCGGCGGCATGGCGTAGGTCCACGTTGCGCCGTCCGCTAAAGTTGCTGCGGAAACCTGGTTAAGAAATCCATGAAGCGCTCGCGTGCTTTCCCTGCACGACACAGGGCAACTTCGTGCCATCCGGTCTGCACATGTCCACAGCAGTCTCACACAGATGTTAGCCTCTACTTCGGTGATTTTTCGTCGGCACATATACACTCATAGCCAGAAAGCCATCACTGTCTTTGCGGCAATAGTATGTCAAAGGGAACTTTGCCGTACTAACAGACTTTTTTTTCCCAGAGACTCGCATGTGTAATTCCCAGGAGCATACCCCTGCTTCAATCTAACTGAAAGTTTGAATAAGTTGACTTCGAATCACCAAGAGTTAAATTATTCCAATCAGTATATTGGAATGTTCGCATACATCACGTTTCTTAGTAACTTTGTTTAACTCTCAGTGTTTTCGTGAAAGTTGCGAAGGTGAGGATTTAAGAGGGTCTGCTCTAAACATTATTGTGTTTGCACGAATATAACACAAAAGCAAGTTTTGAAGTCCCCAAAAAGAAAGAAAAATATTATTACTACTATAACACCAACACCAATTTGCAGCACCCGAGGGCATAGCAGAAGTGAAAAGGGCACGAGAATCGGCAAAATATTGTGCACGTTTTGACTGCACTCGTCATCATCGCACAGCTCGGCCATAAGGTGTCACCGCTTGCTGTCGCATTCACTACTTAGGAGATGCGCTTGTCTCAGTTTTTTTCTTCAGTGTGAGCTCTTTGTCTGCAAGTTATTCCTCTTGAACCACGGTACACTCTATCAAGTCTGTCAGTTTACGAAGTGCACAAAGCAGAAGCACCGACGCGCAAATGCCAGAACTTTTGAGCAGAAACTGAAAAGTTCACAGGCAGAACAGTGACTGCTGGAAGCGATACAAAATCAGCCCCCGCTACAGTCCCTCTACCTAAGCAAACTCCTCGAGTTCCATAATTTCGTAAACACAGCCAGCGATCTTGGCTTGGCTTATGTCTTGACTTGGCCTGGCTTGGCTTGGTTTGGCTTGAACTGGCCGTTGTCCCGCACTCCGGCGTGGCGCGTCATGTTTTTGCCAGTTCTGCAGTCGCTTGCATTGTACAAACATAAAAAAACGACAGAGAATGCTTTTAACATTCCCAATTTCTCCATGTCAGTGGCACAATAACTGATAACTTTCCTATCCACACCCCCCCCCCCCCCCCCCCTTTTTTTTTTCACTTAATCTCCTGCATTTCACTTAATCTCCTGCATGGCTTTCTCCCGACTCGAACACCTTGTGGCCGAGCTCGATTCCAACATGGGGTGTGTTTTAAAGGGATACTGCAATGAAATTTCGGCGCTTACTTTTTGTCTATATGTGTTCAAAAGAGCAGCATCACATCGAACATACCAATATCTTGTTAAAAAAGTCACGAAAAGAAATTTTAAAACAAATTAAACGATTAGCAAAGAGCACCTGGTGGATGTCGCTAATGCCTCGCTTGTAATGTCCGTCTAGGAACCTTGACAGCTAGTGACGGAGGTTGTCTTGCCTCCAGCCACGAGGAGAAAAGAGAGGCAGGAGGAACTCCCCTCTTCCCAAGAATGCCTTTTCTGTGTCGCAGAAGTCGCTATTGTCCCCCTACAAGATTACAGAAGATTAACCCGTCACCTAAAATTCGTACAAAAGCAGTCGCTTCGGTGGCTGGAACGACCAGGCCATCCTCTCGACGTCAGCCTGAGACGACCTACGTGACGATTGCGTTGGATGTCACGTGGTCTTCGCTGGGCCTTCTCCGAGCGCTTGCCAGAGTGGGCCGTTTATAACGAACATGGAGGCTCAAAATACAAACGTGCGATTGTCATTTACGGGTATTGTGGATCATATTCAACCTATTTTTGAACATGACGGGAATATTTCAAATTTCGTTGAAGTATCCCTTTAAAACATGTAATTTAAAAAAAAAAAAAAAAGCTTGCATTATATTTATGCAAATAGGGTACTTGGTCAGTACCACTAGTGAGAGTGTTATAAAGGAAAGATTAGAGAAGAATGTGTCCTGTGACTAACGTCAGTTACATTTCACGCGCGGGCTTTGAGTCTGGTCAGTGCACGCTTGCAGTGTGCTGATGCTTGTGTTTTTTTTCTCAGATGGAACTGATTCGGGAGGTAGAAATGGGACCCTTCAAGCACACAGTGGACGACGGGCTGGACATACGGAAGGTACGCCTTTTTCCCGCCAGGGGCTTTTGGTTGCAGTTAGAGCGAGATTTATCGCAAGGTGTGTAGTTGGGCAAGTCTGTGCACGACAAAAACACATGGATTAGACCCACACAAACACAGCGCTGACTGCCAAATTGTTTTCTTTCGTAACAAAATGCATTGAATTTTGTTATACAAGAAGACCACCGTCGATAGTCTGCGTTGTGTTTGTGTGTATCTTGTTCCCCTTGTGTCTTTTTCACACGGGGTTATTTATTCTTAGCGAGATCTAAAGTGACTTTCACAGAGAAAGCAACCATGCTGTTAGCAGACAACTCATCGGCTAATACAACCGAAAACGGGAGCTCGTCTGCTACATGGTGTCATTCACAGACATAAACAAAACTATACCTATGCATTGTCTTTTAACAAAAGGGAAAAAAAAGTAGGCAGAGACACTGAAAACTGCTTACATGTAGGAATGCAAAAGCATTCCCACAACAACTTTTTAAAAAAAAAGATAGCTTGGGAGTTTGTCTGCTACATGGTGTCATTCACAGACAAGTTCAACAAAGGTACACCTATGCATTGTCTTTTAACAAAAGGAAAAAAAAGGCAGACCTAAAACTGCTTATGTGTAGGAATGCAAAAGCATTCCTACATGCAGTGCATTTCTACAACACAACTTTCTAAAAAAAAATAGCTTGTCATGCCCTCACAAGGTTATTTAGAAACAAAATGAAAAAAACTGCATGCATATTTATTAAACAGTTCCCGAGATATCGCTGGATATAGTGCCAGCGGAAAACTCCATTTTGAGAAAATGGTAGTTGAAAGTTGCATACACATTTTCAGCATTGAGCCCGTTCCACATGGCGCAATTCCACTTACGATTTTCATTCTCTTGCGGCAAAGTGCTTGTGGACATAGTATGCATGCATATAAGTCACCGTCCACAGCTTTTATTCGTCCGTTTTCTCTCAAGCGAGTAATGTAGCAACTGAAAATCACGAAAATCGCAAGCAGGATTGCGCCACGTGAGATGGCTTTGCCTGCGGACTAGGTAGAACTGCCCTTGCATACTTTCTTCTTGTTCCGCTGTTGTCTTTGCTTAATTTCGACGGCCAACGACATAGATGGAATTATTGTAATCTGAAGTAGCGACGCGATAAGCATTAGTACCCTGCTGCACAGAGGCGGGCCGCCGATGGTGCTTTCTATCGTCACCATGCAAAGAAGCTTGCATGGGCCGCTTCCATGCATCAAATGGGTGCACCGTCTGCTAGTTTATTTATTCCCCGCATCTCTTGCGGCCACGAAACACGCAGCCAAAGTATGCAAGACTACTAAAGCAAAGGGCTGCGAACTATGATGGCAGGAAGTGAAGTGGAGTTGAGAAGATGGCAGAAAGTGAAGTGGAGTTGACAAAGCGCAAGAACAAGCAATAGACGCAAGGCCAGCGAGGCGGCGAGATGCGCCCTTGGCAGCATTATAGCCATGGCAACAGAAGAACAAACATCTCGGCCAATAGTAGTCGCATGCTCCCTTAAGCGGGTACTTTGGCCAATCAATACTTAGCAATCGCAAGGCATGAAGATGCTGATCACGCCAAAACTATGTGGCAGACACTGTTTTGAAGAGTGGCAAAAAGAAGGGAAAAAACGAAAGACGTTTACAATTCTCTAAAGCGGGAAAATTTTTCCTGCTAACTTGAGCGGGGAAACAAACCCATAATGCAATGCACGGTTACGCCAACGGCAGCGCCGCTCAACCCGGAAATGGGCACCTAAAAACTCCGCTTCAAAACGACCAAGATGACGGTCGTCCACTGAGTAGAAAGAGAGTGGGAATCATTCAAAGTCCAGTTCGATTTTGCATCTGTAGCACAATTGGGAAGCCGCTGGGAGCTCTAAATTTCTTTTTAAACATATTTTCTCAATGAATTAAGTGCTGATAAAAGGAGGTAGTTTATGGAATATACGACCCAAAATTGTTCTTTCAAGAATCAACTTTTTTACGATTTCAATCTTCAATCCCGCATCCCCCCTTAAATTGTAAAAGTGTGCTATTTCACGAAAGCAGCTCTTGACCACCCATGCTTCCTTTGCAAATAGCAATTTGTTTCGCTGCTGTTCATGTGCTGAAACCAGTGATGTGATTGCTGCGCCAATTGCGCCAAACTGCGCCAAGAGGCTAACCGTGCTACATCCTGCTACATTTCGCCAAAATATCGGTAATCTGTGCCAAGCCTGCGCCGAAGGACCAATTTAGGTCGCCTTTCAAAACTGAAACTAAACTGAGTACTGTAATTGAGCAGGCCTGTGTTATGTGGCGCAAGCGGCCACCTGACACAAAGTACCGTGCATGAATTGTCCACCCGCTCTTGCATGGTTTTCCCGACGTCTCGCGTTTCGCGCTCTCGTCTCGTAAATCTCGTCTCTTTTTTTTTTTTTTTTTTTTTTTTTTTTAGCGATAGACGCGGATGTGTGCAGACGCTCCGACGCTAGCGTGCCGGGTACCAGTCACGCCGTAATGCTGTGGAACAAAACCACGTTTTTGCACGGCAGGAGTTACTTTGTGAACTGAAGCAACGGCCGTGGGAAAACCATGTTTGGTCACTGCCTTTCAGTCACCGTGGTTGCGCGACGTCGAATGTTGCCGTCCCCACACCACTGCACATATGGTACTTTCTAAAATAAAACTAAGTACCGCCGCATGTTCATCAACATTCCTGTTCTTGTTTAAATCATACGTTACTACAAAAATCCATCTTTAATTCAAAGACTGCTCTGTCAAAGTATTGATTATCTAGATTCCTCTCGGTGGGCCTTCTTTCGAGAGGGACCTCGGTACATGAAAAATCTGCCGTGAAAGAAAGTTGGTGAAGAGAAGTGAGCTAATGCAAAGAAGGCAATGTCTGCACTCTGAACCCGCACGGCGCGCTTGTTTATCTCAAGTTCAGTCGTTGCACAAAGCGCTCCAAGAACGTTTTGAGGCTGGCTCGCAATGTCTTGCATCGAAGCACTCAGGTTCTTTATTTGTGTGTTTAGCTTGTACCTTGTTTGCCGGCCTGGCAAGCATGCGCCGCTGGACTGTTTTTGTCGCATGCTCGAAAGTTACATTTTGTGTACAGTTTTGGGGATAAGTTAGCTACGGAGCTGAGGGGCATGGTTTCGGTTTCGATCGGACAGCCGTTGTCTGCGCTCGTGCGACAAAGCATGCCCAACAGCAAGCCTGCCGAAGTTGGCCTCACGTACATGCAAACATGATTGCATGACTGATTCACCAGCTGGGACGCTTGCAATTCATTGTTCTATGTTTGCTTATTTTTGACGAAAATCTGGCACATCGGGGAACCAGGAAAACGGTGGCAAGCGGTTTTTCGAAATTGCTTGGCAATGTCTACAGCACTGTACACTTGTGGGATGCCTGAGCAGTAAAAACAGAAGCAGCGAGTTCCGTCACAACACGTCACGTCAGAACACAACACAGCACAAAATGCCCTTTGTTTGTACAGCACTTAAAACAAATATTTTTATTTTCCTAAGAATATCTGCTCCAAAATCCCCTTTTGCTGCTCCGAAGCACTGTCTTGGCTGCTCCAAAAGCCGCTTTTGCTGCTCCAAAACACTGTTGCGGTTGCTCCAAAAGCCACATTTGCTGCTCCAAAACACTGTTTTGGTTGCTCCGAAACCTGCGCCAAAATGGCATAGGCCAATCACATCACTGTGAAACTCGTAGATGGATAAAGAGACAATTGGGAAAAGCACATCAGTGACCGCGAGACCTCTCTCACCAGGTCGCCACCAGAATACTGCTAGATCGGGGAAGTACTTGTGCACTAGCACTCCCCTCTCACCACTGCCTACTGCATAGGATTGGAGGCTGCATAGTAGGGTAGAAACTGCATATTCTACTCCGCTTCACCTTGTGTTCTGCCGCTGCAGATGCTACGAGCCACCGGAGCCGATCCAAGGTTGTGCAAGTGTAGCGTAACTTTGGAGAGGGTGCACAGTGACGTGCTACGTTTGGAACTGGATTGGTTGGGATGGCTCGTAGCGTCCGCCATAGCCAGATACTACGAGCCAGTATAATGATCTAGTAGGCACAGAGGCATTTCAAAGTGCTGCTCTTAAGAACTCCATAAAGTGGCATCGCGCCTTTAGTGCATTTGTTAGATTGTCTCAGCCAGCTGATTTTTCGCCTTTTGGAGCGAAGCCCTCTGAGAGGGCAGGACACCTGATTCTGTTGGGTGTCCGTGCAGGCGGCCTTTGAGTGCATGTACACGCTGCTGGACACCTGCCTGGAGCAGCTGGATGTCTTTGAGTTCCTCAACCACGTGGAGGAAGGGCTGAGGGACCACTACGACATCAAGATGCTCACTTACTTGATGCTGGTGCGACTGGCCTGCCTCTGCCCCGCAGCCATCCTGCAGAGTGAGTGATCCCTGTCCGTATCCAGAGGCTAGGGAGAACTGCCAGTTGTTGGGGAATTTTGGTGAGATGCCAGGGAAATGTGGCTAACTTAAGGCAGAATAATCAAGGCGCTTACCTGCCTGATCTGGTGCAACTGGCCTGCCTTTGCCCCACAGCCGTCCTCTAGTGAATTTACTGAATTTGCAGAGCTAGGGTAGGGAAAACTGGCAGTTAAGATTGTTGGGGAATTTTTGGGAAAAGGCTAGGGAAAGGGGGTAAATTTGAGCAGAGCAATTAAGATGCTCACCTACCCAATGCTGGTGCAGCTGGCCTGCCTCTGCCCTGCAGCCATCCTGCAGAGTGTGTTTACTGTTTGTCCGCAGATGCTAGGGGAGACCTGCAGTTCTCGGGAAATTTTGGATGAAAAGGCTTAGAAGAACTTGCAGTTGAACTATGAGGAGAGGCTAGGGAAATCTGGGTAAATTTGGGCAGAACAATAAAGAAGGTCAGGTATTTGATGCTTGTGTGACTGGCCTGCCTCTGCCCTGCACTATCCTCCAAAGTGAATGATCCGTGTGTGCCCAGAGAGGCTAGGGAAAACTGGCAGTTCTTGCGGAATTTTGGGGAGAGGCCAGGGAACTGTGGAGAAGTTTAGGCAGGATAATGTGAGAGTTAGGAATATCCTTGGAAATGAGGACCGCTCCGTTAAGTAGGAGTTCTAAAATTGTTCGATCTCGTGGAAGACCTTTCTGCCTTTAACAAGAACAGAGGAATCCCATGCCGACTTTTCAACACTGTGGCAATAGAGCAGTTCAAAATCTTAACAGAGTAGAAACATGTACCAATGCATGCCTATTAGCGGAACAGACCACCTTTCTTTGTAGTATGAGAAAGATGTGGGCGAAAAATGGGCACTTGTGTGTTCAAGCCAAATCTGTAGGAAATGACGGCTGCCAGTTTGAGAATTCTACACCTTGTTGCACCTTAACTCGTAGGGCAGTCAAAGGCTAGATGACCCACAAACACAAGTGCATACACCAAACACAAAAACACGGCGCATTCACTACTCTCAGTTTGTCTAGCTGGTGATAAGATACACACAGACAGACAACGAACCTTGTGACATTACACTTCAGAAGCTGCTTGATTGGCCCCATTGGCTCGTAGCATGGGCGGCCCCCCGACTTGTGGCCAATGAAGTACAGGAGGTTTTTTTTTCCATGTGGATCGCACTTTATTTCTCAGCTCGTGGTATGTTTCACCCAATATACTTCTCACTTCATTTAAAGTGCAAAATCTGCCATTTGCCTTGTACACTGCTTGATACTGTTAGCACAAACACAACTTTGGCACTTTTTCACATTTTACTTCAAAAGGGTACTGACAGGTACAAAATTTACCAATTAGTATCTCATGTGAGCAGTTTCTGCCACTATAGTAGTTTTGATTACAGTCCTTCAATACTGAAAGCAACAAAAAAAAAAAAAATTGGCGATGGCTTATTCGGAATAGCAGTATCACGGAGGGTACATACTTTGCGTCACATACTTGTGTTATGTGATTTTCCAGGGCTGGAACGCCTGGTGGAGCCCCTGAAGGCGACATGTGGCAGCAAGATCAAAGCCAACTCGGTCAAGCAGGAGTTTGAGAAGCAGGACGAGCTCAAGCGGTCAGCCATGCGTGCCTTCACCGCCCTACTAGCCATCCCAGATGCAGGTCAGGAGAACCTCCCTCTCTCTCTCTCTTTTTCCTTTGAACTGTGCAGGGACAGGCGACGTCTAGTTGGTGCCAGCAGGATGCCCACAACACAACAACCCTCCCAAGCGACTAGCAAAGCATTAGGGGAATTTCACCTTTTAAACCAGTTGCTGGAGAGCTTGCAGTTGAACTCTGCTCAAGTTCACTGTACATATTTTTATTTCTGTAGCTCAACTTCATGATGAGCTACAGGAGGAGGTGTACAGCTATTGATTAAAAGTCGCCTCACTAAGTGAGAAAATCTATCGTTTAAAATTGCCGCAAAAGATTGAGCATTTTTAAGAGGGGGCGCACCTCAGAGCCCCATAGAGAATACATGAGGTTTTTCACCAAATTAAAAAAATTCTCACATAATAACGGCTGCGCGGATCTTCTTGAAAATTTCGGCTTTAAAGACATTGAGTCATTATCGAGACACTAAGCGCAACAAATGTTTTATCATAAATTTAATTATATTCTTTAAAAAATCATGAAAATGGTCAAAATCGGCTAATTCGGAACTCTTGCGTTCGGAGCGAATTTACAAAATTATCTAAATTCAAACATAAGAAGTATTGTGCTTAATGTCTTCTAAATTTATTACGGAATCGAATAATATTCAAATTATTCATGTAAGTCGATTTGTTCCGTAACTACAGCAAATATAAAGAACCAGGATGTCGGTGCTTGTTTTCGTCGTTTTTAAGGTACCTCTCTCTCCCGTGCGGTGGCGCTCGCTGTCCACGAAATGCGAAATCGTCCGTTCGGAGATCGGCCGGATCGGCACTGTGCGAGGTGTTCTTCCGCGGCCGTATTCCGCGCCCGTATCCTGTCTCATTCTGCACGCCGAGGCGTCAGTGTGCGTGTCTTGCTTTCCTGGTTCTCGCTGGGTAGGTCTCCGTGTTTTCGCAAGTGGCAAATTCACCTTGGAGCTATGGGTCGAAGACAACCGTCCTGTGGCAAGCGGACCGCGAGGTGTTCCACAGCCTCGCGGTCCGTCAACGCATTGTGCTTGTTTTTACTTTTTTTTTTCTTTTAAAAACGGGCTTTTTTTTTTTACGCAAAGTTTTATTTTATCGTTATTCTTCACACAAACGTCCTTCGGCCTTGGGGTCGTGGAAATCGAGGATGAAGCGTGCACAGAGTAGATCATTGTTTGCCTCCTTTTTATTTTTCACGGACGTCCTGTGACCCCCGTACGGTTCGTGGTCACCGCAATCTAACGCGGGGAGAAACGGGTCGCCTGCTCTGTATTCAGGGTATTCCGAGGGGAGGGTGATAACTCGCTGTTCTTCTGGAAATTCACATATCACCCAAAAAGGTGACATGGGTAATGATTACGGTACGTTTATTCCGGTGTTTATTTTTGAGCGAAAATCGGTGCATGTTTTTCGGTGCTTATTTTTAATCACCAGTGTATTATGGGTTGAACGTCTTGTGATGACGCTAAAAAGCGTTGATAACCAAAGAAAAATGCGATTGGACAAGAACATTTCAAATTTCCAATTCTATTCACATATCCATTACGCTCTTCTCGTGGGAGCATCTATCCTGACGAAAAATGCCTAAGTCATTGAGCTGTGAACGCATACTCAGTGTACAATCTTTCGGCCTAGAGAGGTATTGCGCACGCTCGAAAACGCGCTTCACAGCCCAGTAGACGAAGTTGGTGGCACCCAGAAGGCGAGTTTTTGAATGGTCTGTAGTAGGCAAAAGAAACAAATGACAATCAACGCATATCAGCTCTTCAAGCGAAGAGGCGCGTTTCTAAGGTCAATGGTTCCGGACGGCACTAATGTTGTTGGCGTTGTCGTAAGATGACGTCAGTTCGCATGAACTGACGTCATCTTACGACACGTGATCTTACATGATCTCGTTACACGAAATGACGTCATCTTACGTGATCACGCTGCACGAAATGACGCCATCTTACGTGACCACGTAACACGTCATCTTGTAAGTCAACCTCTCCCCACAGCAGCGCGCTCCGCGCTTTCCGGGACCGTGCAGTGCTGTAGTCGAAAGCAAGCTCCCTATGGCAAGCGAAAGCTTCTGAAGTCTCACATTGAGAATACTCGCAAGCGACCGTCTGTGGAAGCTTTGCACGTTGAGGTTTTTGTTGAGATCGAGCCATCGTGTTCCATTAACTATAGTTGAAGTTATCGTTCAATAAAGCCCTAAAAAATATGAATGTAGTTGGTGTAGACATCAAGATCTAGTAAAAAATGCGGTTTGACGTCGTTTAAATAACGTGTATATACAAGTGTAGAAAAAAATGAGTTATTTGTGCATAGATGTTTAAAAAAGTGTTTATTATTCGACATAGGACTTTGGGAGAAGGATGTGTTCAGATTTTTCTTCATGAGCGCAAATATACCTGACGCAATAAATAGTGACGATTTCATCAACCCAGTGGTGAGCAGGTGATTTCTTGCTCGAAACAATGATGCCATTTCATAAACCAAGTTCTGTGACATGCTTTTCCAATGTCTGGTCACTATTTTGTAAACCTTTCAGTCCAAACGAGTATACTTCTGTTTGTTTTTGTTAGCTTAGGAGGGGGGTCACAGAGCCTATCTTTTTGTCTTCCTCTAGGACAGACGTACAGAGTTATACCGCAACACGCATATGTGGAACACACAGAGCTATCGCTCTCCTGTTGGCGGTACAGTAGCAGACGACACAACGCAGCTCCGTAGTCTATCGAGGGCACGGCTAGCCGCGGCCCGTAGCGCGACCGTTCAGACTAGGGAAATGGTTTTGAAGAACCGGGAAATGGTATCTTGTGTACAATAATCACATGTCGTTAGTATACTAGTATTCTACTTGCTAAGCCAAATAAATATTTGCAGCTTGTGAGAATATGTTTGCGTGACGATTTACCGTTCACACTCCTGACGGATGTTAGCGAATCCTTCATGTTCGTGGCTCGCAGTTATCGGTACCCCCCTCGGAGTGACTTCACCATATATATTTTTTTCTTGCTTGCAGGACATCATAAAAATCACAAACACGCGAGAAAAAAAAATCTTATCAGTACGCGTGATTTTGAGCTTCGCAGCTCTAAAGATGCCCGGTAAATGTCGTCCAGCTTGGGAAAAAACTAATCCTTTTTGTTGGAGTTTGACTAACGGAAGGTGGCAGCTCGTTTCCGGTCTGTTTTGTCTATACTCCGTTTCACCGTAATTTGGCAACCCTCAGTCAGAGCTGCTGTGAGGGAATCACAGTCGCGGAGCAAAGCACGTGACAGCTACTTTTAGGAGCAGTGCTATGGCGCCAGCAGCGCGTCTCTGACTGGCGTGTTTAGCGTCTTATGCTGGCCATACATCAAAAGTGGTCCCGAAGTGCAACAAATGAGGTCACAGAAGACGGAGTGTCACGCTGTTGCATCTCGCGATTCTGGCAATTCATCGTAGAAATGCTGGCGAAAACCACGAGGGAACACGAGTGTCGCTGTCGTCAAGGCGTCCCAACGAAAAGCAATTACACAATTTCGACGTTTTTGTAATTCGGTAATTTAAATTACTGTATACAATTTTTAAGAAAATAAAGACATCATAACTAGGGTGTGTACTTTCCGGTGTTTATTTGTGAGAAAAATCGGCGGATGTTTTTCGGTGTTTATTTATTTTCAAAACACCGGTGTATTTCGGTGGAACGTCTCACGACGAGGCTAAAATCGGTGAATATCGGTGAAAAAAAAGCGATTGATCACAGAAAGAGAGTTCCAATTTTATTCACACAGTTCATACACTTCTTCTCTAGGAAGCAACTATTTCTAACACTTGGTTATTATAGTAGATGCAAGCATACTTTTATGCTTGCATCTACACGCAAGGAACGTGCTGCCCTCATGGCACCACGTTCCTTGCGGTTCGCAACCCGCAATTATGAAAACGCACGCTCCTGTACGACACGGACGTTGGCAGTGTCTTCCAGGAACCACAGCAACCTCTGAATACATGGCTTGCACCGACATCACTTGGCCAGACACAATGAGGAAAAGGCACGTGAGAGCCTACCCTCCACTGTGTTAATTTTTCCACAAAAGGGGGCCATGGGAGACACAATAGGGGAAAGGCGTATGAGAGCTTAGCGTCCACTGTGTTCACTAGACGCTTTTGACCCCCAGAAAGGAGGGCGGACTGACGCCACCTGCAAGCCATGTATAAACACTGGAAGAATGCAGGATCCACGAGATAACACGTTTGACGAACCTCTACGGGGAAAGGGTTTCGATAGGTCGGAAACTAGCAACGACCGGTGTTTTTCGGTTTTAACCAGGGCGAAAATATCCAACCACCGGTGTTTTTCGGTAATAACCGATTTTATATTTTCGTCACCGACGGACGTTTATCGGTGTTTTTCGGTTAAAACCGGAAAATGCACACCCTAATCATAACCAAATAGGAACTTCCGTGCTAAAACATGCAGTGCGAAGTGAAGACAACTACTATCTTTTTTTTTTTCTTGATGTCCACAAAAAAAAAAGGCTATGCAGCATCGATCCTACCTTTTTTTTGTTGTTTTTTTTCGCACATTATGTGATGTCCTCTAACACGAAAGTACCGACGTAAAAGCGCTGTAGAGACGATATAAAAACAAAAATTTAAGTGAATCGAGCTTTGTAGTGGAACGGAAAAAAAAATAATTAACGACTTTTTACGGTCAACACTTCACGTCTAAGTAGAACTTCAAAAAAGTGACGGTTACGCGCTTTCATGCCCATTTCAACAAAGTTGGGAGAACGATGTATTGCATCTTGTGAATAGACATGTGGAGCAGCATGTTTATGTTAGAGGCATTGTGTGTAATCGCTGCGCAGTACCTGCCAAAAGAAGATATTATTTGGGCACAGTCTCAACCGTTTCCGTCTGTGTGTGCTACGAATACAGCAACTCTTTTCGTAGGAGAAGTGATGAGGAAATGGCGTGCCCTTGATGATACGATTGTGATTATGAAATCAAATTTTTAATCAGCCAATAATTGCGACCTGTCCGGTCGCCTGGAACCCCGACAACAACTATCGTTCTCTGGAAAGTTCATTCTAATATTTACACTTTTTGTGGAGTTCATCGAGCGAATAAGAATGTTCCAACAATAAGCTAAACCTACACGAGTTCCCGAATCCAACACGGCGCTTTTGAATTTTAGCGCCGTAGATAGTTCTGCGAACAGTGTATACTTCTGTGCAAATATTCGTCTAACAGTTTTGCAACGTTGGAAAGCATCGGAATGATTCAGAATCACTGCGGAGTTGATACTCGGGAAGATAAGAAGGGCACTTGGGAGAAACGGACCGTGGCATTTGAGACAGGAGCACAACCAGGGGACAAACGTGCTATAATACAATCGCATACCCTTCCAAAGTCATCGCTTGGGCGACCGCGCGCGCGCCCAAGAAACCTTTCTTTTCTTCTTTTTAGGGGTGGTGGGGGGGGGGGGAAGGGGGGGGGTGGGGGGAGGGGAGGGGTGTAGGCGCTGATTGTCTTCCTTCTTTGTGGCTTTTGACAGACGCACAATGAGACTGGCAGAACAAGCGCATGATTCATTTCTTTCGATAGAGGCGTTCTGTCTGTGTATGCGAACATAATTTTTTTCCCCTTTTAGTAGTTAGTTGTTCTTGCCTTGACCGGGTCCCAGTCGGTGCGTTGTCGTTGTATGCCCACTATTTTTTTTTTTTTTTTAGTTTATGGTAGTTTTTGCGCTGATGGGGTATCAAGGTAGACAAAAAGAAAAAAAAAAATGAAATAGCGCCTCGACAAAAAAAAATAAAAAAAAAGTTGTTGCGATCAGGAACGTTTTCAAAGCGATTTTAGGAGCCTGCAGTGTTACCACAGGTGCAGGATTGAGAGCGTAACCCACGCACTTGAAGAGAAGGGGAAGCTCTCGTCTTATTGGAACTTTCTTTTATGGGTTTCCACGTCGCGATTGTCCTTCAAAATCAACTGTCATTTATTTCTCGCTCGTGGCTTCCAAATACTGGAAGCCACGACTCGAGCCACAATGTTTTGCGAAATCAAGGTTTCGCTGAAATGGATAACTCTCACGTACAGTTCGTCGCGCAATACCTTTGCCGTATTGACTTGCGAGAGATGCACGGCTGAGTATGGCGGTGCTCCAGACCTAACATCTAAATTTTGTTGCCTTACCTGTTACTATTTCGCGCCCATTTTGAGCTATATCAAAATGAAAGCGCATGATGAAATAAAAACGACACTCGTTTTCCGCTTGATGGAAATTTCACGCCAGCTCGCTGTCTTTGCTGGTACCTTGAGCGATTCCCAGCGATGCGAAGAGTTAAAAAAAAACAAAAAAAAAACACGTACGATGGCATCCTTTGCACACTCATTACTTCTATAACACTGAGCCACCTCGTATCCTTTCGTTTTTCTTTCATGGTACTAATTTCTTTCTGCGCATTACGGCTGTTCCGACGCTAAGTCTGTCTGCCCTTCGAATTTGAACTTAGGCTCAGATCAGGGACGAACCAGTTTAAATCAGGAAAATATAATTAACACTGTAGCAAAGTAAATCTATCATATCGATCGGAAATACGATTTGGCACATTCCATCTGAACACATATTGTGCACAGCGAATGCAATAGCGAGTCAGCGTGCAAAACGCCGCCACACTGAGCTACCATAATATCTCAGCGATTTTTGCAAAGCACCGAGCACGGAAAAGAGAAAACAGTTGTTCATTCACATAAACGAAGCAAATTTATTTAAAGCCCGGACACTCCGTACGTCCAATCTAGCTAAGGTTATCAATAGACTCGACCATGTCATTTGTCGAAACAGATAAAAGACGTTGGCAAAAATGATTAGACTGAATAAGTGAATCTAACGCACGTATTTTACCAACCGACGGTCGCGCGCCTTCAATACCCTTTCCAATTGTCATTACGCACCTTGGACACACTTTGGGGAGCAATGCATATTTACATCGCCGCCCGAGGTCTCCATTGAACGTGTAGTGCTGACCCAAATAAAATGCTAACCTGACTCTCAATCGCTCACCGCAAAGGACGATTTCAAACAGGCGGTATTGTAGGTCACTTGAGATAAAAAAAAGAAAAACAAGCTATAGAAACGAGAGACGTAAAAAAGGGGACCGGCATTTTTATTCCTACCTCCGAACAGAAACGAGCGCCACCCACTGCATCACACAGCGCAGAGGCCGGACTCGGCCACCGCGCGTGCATACCAAGCGCGCGCGAGGGAGGGGAAACTTCCTCCACCGGGAAAACACGGCACATTTCGGGATCTATTTCACGCAGCGGATAACGCGGCCCTTTTCACACCTCGATACTGGCGCCATCTAGAAGTTGCTCGTTCAACCACGTTTCGAGCCGCGCGCCATCTGGTGGCTGAAATGGACGAATAAATAGAGGTACCGCGCCCTCTTAAGCTTCAGCTACAACTAGAACACATGAGGAGTTGATGCTATCTATTTTTGACGCTGAAATATGCACTTTTCCTGAGCAAAATATTGATTAATGTTTTGCAATCAGCGACATTTCCTGCCCTTCAAAAACTTGCTTTGTTACAACAATAAATTTGTGTAAATAGAAAAAAAAATAACTGGCCACATTTCTCATTAAATTTTAATTCAGAAACATCATCGATGAAGAGTAAATGTGGAAATCTAATGAAGTGATAGATTTCCTCAAGTGAAAGTTGCTGTAAAAAAGTGAACCAGAAAAACCTCTTTAAAGTTTCCACACCACTACCTTCATTTTATTCTGGTGGTGCAAGCAACTAGTAAAAGGCACCAAGAGCTTAAAAAAGCACTGACACCCCAAATTTTTTTTTTTTTTTATAGCCTAAAACGATGCAAGTCATAGTCATAGACACGCAATAAATACCAAAACGAAAGAAAAACAAAAAAAAAAAAACAACATATGGGCATTTGCTTTTTTGAGCGCAGCTTTTAGGCACCCGTTTCCGGCTTGAGCGGCGTCACCCTTGGCATCGGTGTAACTGCACGTTGCATTATGGGACGTTTCCCATAATGTCTTCAAATGTGACGTCGCGAGTAAGGAGGATGAGGAGGAAATTTATTCTGCTAAATTTAACAGAAAAATTTCTCCGCTACATTTAGTGGAAATATTTCCCTACTAATTTTTGCGAAAAGAATTCCCCACTAAATTTAGCAGAAAAAATTCCCACTAGATTTAGCAGAAAAATACCCCCCCCCCCCCCCCCCCCCCCCCCCCGAATTTAGCGAAAAATATTCCCCACTAAATTTAGCGGAAAAATGACTTCGCAAAATTTACCGGAAAAAAATCTGCCTCTAAATTCAGTGGGGAAATTTCTTCGCTAATTTTACCGGGTAAAATTCACCGCTAAAATTAGTGGAAATATTTCACTGCTAAATTTAGTGGAAAATATTTCTGCTAAATTTAGTGGAAAAAATTCCACTAAATTTAAAGGAAGAATTTTCCTACCAAATTTAGCAGAAAAATCTCACCCGCGAAAAAATTTCCCTGCTAAATTTAGCAAAAAAAAATTCCCTATTTAGCTGAAAAAATTTGCCTCTAAAGTTAGCGGGAAAATTTTCCCGCTAAATTTAGCGGGGAATTCTTTCCTGTATTTGGTGGAAAAATTTCCCCGCTAAGTTTAGCAGAGAAGTTTTTTCATTGAATTTAGAGGGAAATGTTGCAAACATTTTTCGCTAAATGGGAGGGGTCAGGTAGGGAGGAGGGGTGTACTCTCCCCTCTACACCCTCCCCTCCTCCTTCTCAAGAACTGTGCTCTAATTCAGCATTACAGGGAATTGTAAACATCTTTCATTTTTTATTTTGTTGTTTTTCTCTCCCTTTTCTCACCTCCTCACTGCTTTTTATTTACGACGTAATTGATTATGAAATTTATAAGCTTTCTAAACAACATTTTTTTAATATTTAATACTGGCATTTGTAAAACGTTTTATAACGCAATAAAAAATCTGAGTCCTGAAATGATGTCGTTTCCTGGCTTTTTATCCTTCATTGGAACGCATGGCAGCGCACGCCAAATGTAGCACTGAGATCGGGGAATCAAACAAAGTTCTCTATTTGGTGCCCGACGACCTCTCAGACATTCGAAAATGAAATCATCAAACAGTCAAAACAACTGGGTTTGGGGCCTGTGCGCCGTAGTTTCCGTTGTAACTTTGCCGGGGCAGCCTTTCACGCAGCACTGGTGCGACACGGCCCTTCACGTCGCTCACTTCGGGAACCTGTGCGCATCCTCTTTGACCTCGCACCGTTTCTAAGAATTTGAGATCGCTGAAAGGGCCCTAAAAGAACTTCAAACTCGAAAGTGAAGCGTCGTCTGCTAGTTTGCTGGTACGTCACAAACCAGAAAAATGCTGATTGGTCGGCCCCTGTCTTTGCAGACAAGAACCCCCTGATGAACGAGTTCCTCTCCCAAATCAAGTCCACGCCCGACCTGCAGATCCTCTACGAGGGCATCCAAAAGGACACGAGCGCCGGCATTGCCGACACGGTCAACACAATGGACGTCAGCTGAGGGCCACCCTTCGTATGCCTCTTTCTATCTGAGTCTCCCGAGAGCAACGACGGCTGTGCCCGCCGCCTTTCCTAAGTAAAAGACTGGTTGCGTTGTCTGTCTGTGGGGGCTCTCTGGGGTGTCTACGGGGGGACCGCTTCTTTGCGACGCAAGCCACTTCAGCTCACCGCTTGTCGATTTCGAGAAAGAACCGGGTGAGTACGGTCTGTACAGGTGCCGTCTTTTGGGAACTCGTCTGCTATCAAAAGGGCAAAACGGTGCTAAAATAGACAAACCCACAGAATGCTGACTATCGACTGAATATTTTATTTCCGTGGAAATAAAAATCCACAGCCTTTTGCCGCAGTGTGTGAAGTGGTGAGAGTGATAGCTGTTATGCTTATTAAAACGCACTGTTTTAAATGCTCTCGCATTTAATACCGAATGATTCAATGACGTTTGGAGGGGAAACGGCATGGGGTTTTAATACGCTACAAATTGGGCTTGTGCAAATGCTCCAGCCTCGTTAAAGCGAACGGTGGTTTTGACCGAATACTTTATTTAAAGGGTCAATGAAGGCAATTTCGGATACTTTTTGGCGATTTCATTGTGTTCCAGGCACGTCTCGGGCCACATTGCCCGAATTTCAGCCTAAACCGACGCTTGTGTGTTAAACAGTTGCGGTAATAATCATACTGGGATCGACTGGGGCGACGCCCCGAGAGTTGCGGGAGAAGCGGAGCTCACGTGACCGTTGCGGGGCCAAGAAGCGCAACGTCGCAAGAGAAGTGATTGGTCGAAACGAGAGATGTGCCCTCGGTCATGTTTTGGTTCGCGATTTTTAGGAATACTGTTCTAATTTCCGCTTGAATAACCATGAAAAGTATAAATCGAACCGAAAATGATTACTAAACTGTAAATAAAACAGCATAACTGTTTTTCTCTTTGTTACGCTGGACGCGAAACGGGCAACGAGCCACTATAGGCGAACAAAATAAAATAAAAACGAGAGCATGCGGGAGGAGTTTGGTTTTGGTTTCAGATGTCGGTGTCGTGTTTACTTTGGGAACACGGTACTCGAAGGATTCTGCAAAAGGATAGTCATGCCAAATTTGTTCACTGTAGATGGCTGTTCTACCGGTCGACTGAAGACCAGTATTCATTCAGCGACGCTAGTTTTCACGTGTGGGTTGCTGTTTGTGTTCTTTGACGACGAAAAGAGAGGACGTCCGACTTTGGTGAAAGCCAAAAATGGGGCTGTTTATTTTCTTCTTGGGGAGCGTCCCCCGCGGAGGAACCGGTTGCCAGAACGGCTTGGTCGCTGCCGCTTTCCCCTCAGCATCTCCCCCGCGTCCCCGTCCTTTGGCAGCACGCCGCTCTCGTCTTGCCCGCGCAAATGTTGCTTACTGTTTTGGAGCCTCCGGGCCGCTCGTTGCTGGCTGGGCGGTCTCCGTTGGGTGATGGCGAAGGCCGCCACAGATACTCCCGTTCCGTTGGTGTTAGGTCACTGAACGGAAGCTTGAACTCGCTCGCGAGAGCGGCATTGTCGTCCATGTTGACAGATTCAATGAAACGACCTCGCCACCGCGCTGCTATAACCCACTGCGGCAACCGACTATTCACATTTGGATGTCACTACCTACGTCACCTCCGTTTTTGGAGGCCCGGAAATGAAAATGGAGATAGTTCAGTTTCGGTTTCTTCAGTTCTATCGTAGGCACGGAAATACGCGTCACAAATGTCTACGAAAAATTGGGGAGCGTGCTAGGTTCCCAAGAGGCCTAAAAACCATTTAGAAAAAATTTAATGAAATTGTCTTCATTGTCTTTTTAAGAGTTAGAAATCAACAAAGGCATTGCCTATGGGTTGCAGAGGTTCAAAACTCAGCACCGTGGTAATGCAGGGCTACTTGAAACAGTAGCATTTTACAGAAATAAGAGGGGAAAAAGGCTTCTTCCCAACTATAGTGTTGCACTACAATTCATTTTCCATCCTTTTTTTTTTAATTCCCCTTGTTAATTAAAACTACTCTCACCAGAGCCTTCACTCTAAAAAGAAAGCTCTATTCATTTTGCACCCTATCTGTTCTTATTACAAAGCTAATAAGTAACATGCTCCAGTATCAAAGAGGAACCCTCAATCATTATTAAAGGTTAACTCATTTAGCTATGCAATTTTTGAAGTGATAGGCTAACAGATGTTAGCATCTGCTCCAAAAGTGTCAGTGGCTGCTTCAAACCAATATTTGCCTACTACAGAACCTGCTACAAAAGGACTAATGCCACTTCCATCAGTGCAAGCGGCTCAGGAAGGACTGGTATCGCACAACATCATGACGCCTTGTGACACCATAGTGTCACATAGCGCTCCATGCCACCGTGGAGTCTAGCGACATCACAATGTGATGTCATTTGACACCCTGATGTTACCAACGTTACTAGATAAGCTGTTGCAGAACTGCCCATAGACTCCGCTTACATGAGCAGTACCTCCCTCTCTTCCTCCCTCTGGCTCGCCTCCCGTCTTTCGACTTGCTATCGCTTATGGGGGACGGCTGCTGTGGTCCTTGCAGTGTGTTCTATGAAACTTGTGTTGTGGAGCACAGCATCTATACTCCGTTTCACCTTGTGTACCGCACCAAAGGCTAGAAGCGCACGCTCATAGCGTTGGCAGCAGCCCTTAGGGCACGAGGGCTTGTGCCGCCGAGACGTGCCCTAGAGCAAGGAGCTCGCGCTTGTAGCCTTCCCTGCGGTACATCATAAGGTTAAACAGAGTATAGATGGCGTTTCACTGTTTTCCTTCGGTGGGTCAATGTATAAATTTTTACGGCTGTAGGACCGTTCATTGAATGATAATTCGTTACACTTCAATGGTAGCAGGGCCATTCATCATAGGGCAGTTCATTGCTGACAATTTGTCAAACTATTAACAGGTACAGTCAAACCCGGATATATAGAATTCAAAGGGATCGTAAAATAATTTGATATATCAACAATTTTGTATACAAAAATATGTTAAAGCTCGAGTTGATATTTCCTGGCATCTGCTAATACCGAAGGTCGCGACAAACGGTAGCTTACTAAATAGGGCATATCCAAGAACTGGTAAATACAGTAGAGCGTAGTTGGCAGAGACCGCAAACATCACCGCCCTTACACGCACACCTGGCCAGAACCTCCACACATCATTAAGAGCAAAGCACGAAAAAAAAAAATTAAAAAAAAAATACGGAGAAGAGGCGCATGAATAAAATCTGTTGAACCATAGAAAAAAAGTTAAGCAAGCATCAAAAAGAAAGCTCATTAAATTCAGGGAGCAAAAAAGAAAAGGAAAAAAAAAAGGCAAAGCAATAATGACAGAAAACTAAAAGATAAGGGATTCAAAGTGATCGCTCAACCATTGTGGACACCTGACTTGCCGAAGACTTCTTTTTATTATTTTTTTTTTTTTTATTTTATCTTTTTTTATTTTGGGATTAGGGAGTTGCGCAGCGTCAGCAGTGTTCGGGGAAAGGTCGCAGGCTACCGGTCCAACAACGGGCACTCCTTGCTTTTCCTACGCGCATGCGGCACCAGTTCCCCCTGCTTTTGCCATCCTCCACTTTTTCTTTTCTTTTTTTTACTACTGCTTTTTCACTGCGTATCTTCACGCATGTATGCTGGCTTGGCGGTCTGCCAGCCACGCAACGCAAGCGATGTGCTCGCCACCGACGCAATCGGATCGCAGGAAAAGCAACGGGCGGCCGAGCTTCATTCGCTATAGGTTGTTTTCACTGACGTAATTTCGTCCACCATTTTGTTGTTGTGAGCTGTCCGGCGTGTGCCAAACTCGAGCATTCCAAGGATTTACATGTCCCCTCAAATGCGTAGAGCACCGCTGACATGATCTCAACCGGTTACGATGTAATCCTTCAATGTAGTAAATTTGTTTGAAAAAACAAACTAACAACAAAATGGCGGATTGACGTCATGTGCAAACTACCTATATTGAGTGTCGTCCCCGTCAAGGGGAGTCGGATACAAAAAGAAAACGCTCCTATATTATTACTATTACATATGATTTTCAAGGGGCTGTTTAAACTTTTTGATATAAACAATTTGAAATACCTGTGTGGGATATAACCCCGCTTTACTGTATGTCTTATTTTTGTAGCATTTTTTTTTAATGTGCATTGAGCATAGTTCTGTTTCGTTTTATGTTCTTTTGCGAAGGGCACACATAGACAACCTTTCGTGCCGGAGTCAGGCTGAAGACTGACGTCTCGTTTATTAAATCTAAAACGAAATAAAAGAAAGGCGCCTCTGGTACGGGGCGCTCAGGTTACGCGCGAAGCGGACGAGCGGATGTTTAGATCTCGGGCTGCGCGCGAACGGTTCTTCTCGGTCGCCTTGGACTTTGGAGCTCGCTAGCGTCGGCGCGTCGGCGACTCCATAACACACTCAATAGTACAATTACTAGCCACCTCCTTCCTTGATTTCGTTATTCTTTTCTCGACACAAGAAATCAGAATTTTACTCATTTCTAACAGATGCTGACTCATTATGTCTTCACCAGAATCCTGGCACGTCTCAATCACTAATGGAAAAAAATGAATGGCAAATTGCTTGGCAATTGTGGTGTGTTACGTCAAACGTTTCGTTCTCGCATGCGAAGTCTGACCTTGTCATGCATGCACAGTCTGTGTGTCGCGCACGTGGATGAGTTAGATTCTTTCCGTGTCGCACATACGTCATCTGTGTCGCACTCGTGAACAAACTACATTCTCCCCGTGTCGTGTGTGGGCAGTCTGTGCCGCGCATGTGCAGTAGCTGTCGCACTCCTGAAAGTTTTATATTCTGTGCATACAGGGGCGGATTTAGAGGGGGGGTCCGGATGTCCTGACCCCTCTCTTAATTTCTGCATGTGTAATATTTAGGGCGTGAAACGATCGAGAGGGGGAGGGGTTTCCTAAACAAATGGTACGCCGACCAACACCTGACCCCCGCCCCCCCCCCCCCCCCCCTCCTCAGGAAATTCCTGCATACTTCCAAACTGTAATTTACTTACAAATACAATTACTTGGCTTCAAAGTAGTTTAGTTACAATTGCTACGTAAAAAGTAATTAATACAATTATAAA